AGTGGTGGGGTGGGGTAAGACCCTTTGTCCAGGGTGGGACACACACACACACACACGTCAGTATCTCCCAAAACAGCTTGAATAACACGAGCTGCGCTGTGTGTTCTCGTCTGTCCGCTTCGTGTCTGGAATCAAACTGATCCATCATCCCCCCCCGAAAAAGAAAGGTACAAAATCTAGACCTCTAGGACATGAACAATCTACACTTGCTCATCCTGGCTCATTTTTGGCCATCGAAACCACCAGCGGAATTCAGTGGTGGTCCCCCGCCGTCGGCGCTCCTGGATCCTCCGCACCTTTCCCAGCTCCGCACGCGCCGCAGCCCTGAACCGCTCCAGCTCCTCACCGCGACGGGGTCGACCGGTCGGTCAGCGAACCGCGAACAGCGGTCGACCGGTCCGTGACGGACCTGCGCAGGAAGGTGAGAAGCGGCAGTTTTGGGTAAGTAGAAGCACCAGCTGTGCACCCAAACTTGTGGCTGAATCATCTATTTCCGCTTGTGAGAGCTTTAAGACCTTTCGTCATGTCCTGGATCCCTGGCATTCCCTGGCGTCATGATGGTTGTCAGTGGCGTCATCATTCAGGATTCATGGGTTCCCACACATCCAGCATTCAGCATCCAGCCAGGCTGCTTGAGGGATTGCCGCGAATGGATGTGACAACGCGGAACATCAATGGAGGCCAACGATCCTGCGTTACATCTCCAACCTTGCCCAACCCAGAAATCTTGGTGTCTTTGAAGAACAAATCACGGCACTGCCGGCTTTCTGGCTTGTACTGGGGTGCCTCAAACGGCGATGATCAACAAACTGCCCACCCGGACCCCATCTGCAATGATCCCCAGCCTGAAACGAGGAATTGCACCAACTTGAACAACGGAAACCCTCAAGGGCCGCCATGTATCGATACTGTTCACTCTCTGCACATTTCAGTGCGCACCATATACATCCATATACGACCTATATTTCATCGGCGACTCCAACGGGCATCCTTGCAAATCATCCTGCAGCCCACCGCCTCGCCTTGAAAATTTACTTTTAGGGGGCCAGAATGGCAATTCGACCCAGCAGTCCTTGAACCAGAGTTGTACATGATATTATAGGAAATATACATACATATATATATATACAGTAATTATATATATAGTGTATATATTGATAGGATTGATATATGATGTTTAGATGCCAAGTGCAGTTCACCAGCTCGCCAGGTATTCGTCCCTGTCTGTCTTCAGGTCTTCCCAACATGTAGAGTCTTCTCGTTGGGCTTTCCGACTCGGTCCCTCCGAACCGTCCCGGAGCAGTGCGCTTGGCGGTCCCGCTTGGCAGTCTCACGCTGCTGGGCGGTGCCCGTCGTCGTTTGCTGCGTCAGGGTCACTGCACGGCCGGGGCGATAGGGCCCGAGCTTGCCTCAGCGATAGGGAAAGGAGCAGAACTGACGGCAACCTGCAAAGTGTGGAGATGAAGACCGAAAACCATTCTCATTAAGACCTATATATATATATGATTATACATGTATATATGTTGCAGTCAAAAGCAACAAGTGGTTGCGGCTAGCTTATCAAATTTCCCTGATCTACCAGCCAAGACCAATGTCGTCTTCAGAAGGCACTTGACTTCTCTGTTGATGCCATCTGTGCCATCATGGCTCCTCAGCTTTCTTCCAGCTTTCTTCAAAACCTTCTCAGTTTAGGTCTGGTCGTTTCAACCCAAGACGAATCTTCCGCATTCTGCCGCAAGACGAATCGAAACCGAAACACCCATGTCTAAGGCCCCAAACAACGATGGATGTAGTCGTCCAAGGCGCTGATGTCCGATGACTCGCAGGCCACCGGACATACCCCCCAAACCGGGGTGTCCGCGGACACGGTGGAACGTGGGTGCCAAAAACGAAGTAACTCACTCAAGGTGTTCAACAGTGTAACAGTGTAAGTTGTCTGGAATGTTTTATAATGTTTTATAAGCCTTGAAGCTTCATGCAGCTTCATAAGCCAAGCAAGTGACCAACGCGAGAAGGTAATCCTTCACAAAACCATCAACCAATCACCCGGAACGGAGCCGTGAACTGGCTGCGTGGTAAACGGTACACATCCCTACAGGTCAGCAACTGACCTCATTTTACTATTTTCACATATTTTTTACATGTTTTTACTGGAGTTGATTCAATCAAGGATACTCAAGGAGGTAAAGGATCAGATTTTACTAGGTCTTTGGACCTGTAGGGGTCCCCTTTCTAAACCTCACTACAACCCTGGACCCTGGTCCAATAAGCCAAGCTATAGTAGATTCAGAGCACAAGTGAAGATATCACGGCAAAGGGATGTGACAGAATTCTGTCATCGCCCAAATAGATACAATCTGGTCGACATACAACATCCCCTCACCCATTCTTTGAACAACTAATTTTCCAACATCCCTTTGTCCCAACATGTTCAATTTCTGCAATCGCCTACGTCTACGGGTCGTCCACCTCCGTCCTTTTGTCCCATCCATCCGCGAGACCGTCTGCCTGGAGCTCACGGCCACAGGCCCAAAAGCGCCCAGTGACAATACCTGAGAGTGGGCGATCAAATGACATAAGGGTGGTGGTCATGAGGGTACTCCATATTGGCATCACTGGGATAGTCGATTTGGTAGCAAATTGTAGCAGTTAGCAGTTTGCCGACAAAAACAACAAAACGCGACCCTATTCCTGATGTACTTTGCTCACTTCTACCACTACTTCTACCATGTTTTCTTAACGCTCCAATTCGTCTATGCAAATTAATGAATGCTCACATTCCTGGGGTGTTCAGCCTGTTCAGCAGGAGATTTCCATAGATGTCCATAAACTGTGCTACAAAATCTCGAGATGTCAGAACTCCTCAAACACCGATAGTTTCAGCTGAGGGTCCCAAGTGTTCCTTGAATCTTCCAACACCGAGCTGTAAATCAACAATTTACACCTGAACGCAGTTGTATTTACCTAGGACCTAGAAACACTTGGGGAAAAAGAATCTGCCTCAGTTCATGGAAGGGCACAACAAAGTTCCAATTCAACGCATTGCTTTTCTCTTCTCACAAACCTGCCCTGTTACCATCGAAAAAAACTGCTCCGGGCCGAAGAAACGCCGGCCTTGGCCTCCAAATGAACGAAGACGCCCCGTCGCCCGCGCCCATCGACCAAGCGGCAAGTCATGGCCAGGAATTTCCCATCGACCAAGCGGTGTGGCGCCGAGCGGGTGGGGTCCACGCGAAGCTTGAACGGTGGATAAGGCCTCCGACCCAGCTCACGGGTCGGAAGCGAAGGGAAGAAAATCAACAACTCGGACAAATTGGACTAACATAGCTGGTTCATAGATAACATGAGAGATATGTTTTTTGGGCCATTGTTAAGAAGAACAAAGAACATCCGATGTTTGGATGGGAAAAATATGGGTTGTCTTAGTTAGACCCCGTGTCAACCCCCCCAGGATAATTAATCTATTCAACTGAGACGCTGGGAGTTAGATTCTAATAATTTAACTTAGATATCACCATTAGTCAGATAATTTGTTTAACATAAAGGTCTAGGGGCCCCCTACAAAAGCATGCAAGAGCAATCATAGACAGCAGATGTTCATAGCTGCAAAAACACATGTAGAGAACCCATTGGTTTCAACCCATATTGCTGGAAAATCACACCGGCGTGGACCAAAAGATAACCCACAACATCCCAAAACCATCATGATGCAGATACTTGATTAATACTCCCCCAATTTGGATGCGCGAACTTGCGGTCCTTGTCTGACGCGCGCCCACAAACTCCCGTACTCAGATTGTCTGATGGGTTGCTGTGGGACTTGAACTGTGAAACATTGTAAAACCTCTTCAGTCATATTATGGATATTTTTTGTATTATATAAATCAATTCTGGTAGTCGGAGTCACCCAAATCCAAAGATTTTCGAGCATCGAACAGGTCGTTTGTGTCCAGCCAGGACCCCAGCAGTAGGCAAGTGGGAAAGCCCGACAGCGGACACAGAAGAGGAGCTGTGGGCCGCGTCCACCAGCGGACCTTGGAAGAAACTCAATGCGGGGAAACATGGGTTGTGACAAGACTCAAGCAGCATTGGCATGGACATTGTCAGACTTTCAAGGCGGTGGTGTGGTTTTTATGTTTCCATTGGGCTGGGATAGGCAGAGCTGTGGGTAAGTACGCATACTGTGTGAAAGTTCTGAAGAAGTGTCAAGCGGCCTAACCCTGCGTGACACACACACACACACCATGCACAGCTGCAAAGCAGCCGCAGTCCTCAGCACCTGAGAAAGACACATCAAAACCATCGTAGCCCATAAGAAAAGACGTTGCATGTTCATCCAAAGCCGTCTCGTGGCTATCCCCTTGAAGGCCACATCTGGCAATGTTTTCTGATGGTGCTCAAAGCAGGTGGAAAGTCGCCGAAACCGCACTATGCATCCAACCTTTGTGGGTTCAAAGCTTCACTTGGGATGTTTGTTTCATTAGAACGATTTGGTGTTTGAGCATCTATGAATTTCATACTTATATAGCTCCCGTCAGCTGAAGTCCACGGTTTTTGCTCTCCATGGCATTGTTACAAGAGGGCAAACATCTGGGCGCCTGCGACTCGGCACCATCCACCCTTCCGGCGACTCTTCCCTTGGCTCTGCGAGTCATCCAGGTCCTGAGTCTCTGGCGCTGTGACTTCCAGGTTTCTCCTTGCCCTGAGAAGAACCGCGACGCGTCGTGAGGATGCGGTGTGCGTCCGAAGGCAGCCCGAACGGTGAGGTGTGGGCAAGCTTTGGAGCAAGCAACCAAGAACAACACTATGTCCAAATTGAAACCAAGGGATTTGAGCTTGAAACTTCCGAAGCACACAAAATGACACCAATCATCACCGGCGCATTTACGGAAATTCCCCATCTGCAGGTTGCAGGCGACCAAAAAAAAATATGTTTGATTATGTTTGCACGTATGGTATGGCTCAAAAGAAGGGTGCCGTCCACATGGTGGTGTATTCTTGTCTAGGTAGTACAGACATCAAAACAACAAAACAGTCCGTGAGGGAGTGAAGCGAGTAGACACCGTAGACACCGAGACAGCTGTGAAGCAATCACTGTCTCTAGTGCCACCAGCAACTGATCCTCCCAGGATCGCCGGGCCGCCAGGCCTTCCCCTTCAGCTTGTCCTGCAGGCCAAACCCATGGAAGGAAGGAAGCCAATTCCGGGAACGCACCCGCACCACCAGCACGCCATCTTGTGGCCAAAAAAGGGGGACCCCCCCTCAACCAGCTCCGTTCCGAACTTGCTTCAACCACAAGCTGCGCGCGAATCGAGCTGCGCGAGACCTTCACGCCCTTCCCAAGATTCAACTTAGAAGCTCAAGCAGGTCTGCTGCATACTCCCCTGGGTCTGGCATAAACTATAGACCTTTATTTGGCTTGAGTCCAAAAAGATCCAATGGATCATGTCTTGACCTAGTATCCCTGATCCTTGGGCACTTGAGGGTGATCCATCCACTCCATTGCGGCATCCCAGTGTATCCCACAGGGCCACACAGGGTGGGTAGGTCATCCCTTCCAAAAGGATGGAGACTTCCAAAACACGCTTTAAGCACACACCAAACACTCCTGGGCGGTGCCAAACAAATCCAAACAGCTGATATCCACCCTGTCACCGCGCCTGGCACAAGATGTCTTTGAGCACAGGCTCAAGCGCCTTTTCGATCTCGGCTTTTTCAAAGTCAGGGCACCTTGGGGTGGCGCCCCTCGGGTCAAATAAAAAGCCGGGCTTCAGACCAGGTTTCTGATACTGTAGTCACCAGCAAACATCTTTCCGGTGCAAAAGAATGGCTCACCCCAGGGAGCTGCGCCAAAGATCACGGACCAACAGAGCTTCCCTCAGTCTCCACTGTAGAACCACAATGTCTCCGTGCTTGGAATGTTTACATCGGCGACCATCGGTTGTCACAAATATTTGGAGGGAAGGAAAGGAACCCCACACAATGACTTTTCCGCTCCATGGAATTGAGCTGTCCCCACTTGTTCAGAACCAAACACACCAAGGGCAATCTGTAGCAGGACCATCCAACGGGTTTCTGAAGGACTACCCTAGAATACTTATATAAATCTCCACTTGACACCTGTTGTGAATTCCCTTTTTCATCCTTCTTCACATTGGTTTCTTCTCATTGTCCCGGACACCGGACACGTACTCGAAGCGCTGAACCCAAAACGGACGCCGAGACGTGACGCCGGCTCCGACTTCTTCCGGGGCTCACACCAATAGGGAGACCCCCCAAAAGCACCAGAAAAGGGTATTTCCAGGTTTATTTCCGCCAAGAAGTCGATGGCCGGGGCCACGAAATGGCCACTCTCCTTGTTCACACATGTGACCCACCTGATTCCAAAGGAAAACACCTTCATCTCGGCCCCTCACCACGACTGGAAGAACTCCTCCACCTGCGCGTTTCGGGTTGAAGCCGCGTGCAGAACCCTTCGGTGTCCCACCGGTGTGGACCGGAATTAAAAAGTCTCGGCCGCACGCTTTGGCATTTGGCTATGCTGGGTGGTGTTGCAATCTATGGTGGTGGCTTGTCTGCTCAACTGGATCTCTTGGCATTCTTTTTCACGCCTTTATGGTTGTCTCCGATGTCTCACCAAAAGTCAACTGAATGTTGGAAGTTGGATGAAGTACCGCTCTGCACGTCCGCATCTTCTTTTTGAGTTTAGTCTTCAAACACGCATGATGCGTGACTCAACGAATGATGCGTGACGGAGTCAGAAAGCCCTGGGGTCAAATAACCACAAAAGTCAGGTCAGGCACCTTGAAATACGACAAGTCCAAAAACGTGCCAAGTCAAGGGAAGGGATGGAAGAGAAGAGTCACACCCAGAGGAGTCAAGAAACCGACCGTCCCAGGAAACAAGCGGCCAACCGCGAGTCTCAAGGAGAAAGTCCAAGAGCAAGCCGGCAAAGAAGAGTCAAGTCCAAACAGAAACCGAGGGATCGTGTCCAGAAACCAGCTGGAAACCATGTATACACCGGGTTTGCTCACAATGACTACTGGTCATCCTGGACACAAAGCACACTCCGAACTAACCTTTTGAATGTCTACTGCTGCTTCAAGCTTCCCTCAAACCTGGAAGCTAAAACTGTACGTTTCAAGCACATTTGAACACCACATCCTTACGAAACAACATGTGCCATGCATCGGTTGAACCAATGCATCAAACGCCAAACGCGTCGACCGGTAGACCGGTAGACCCATCAGCCGATCGGATCTGTCCATCCACCGTAGCTCAAGTGAACCCTGACAGGACCAGCGTCCAGGTTTTCTGATATCAACCTGTTTTCGAACAAATGTTTCCGGATATTTTTCCGGACATTTGCAAGGAATGTGTTCGGAACATGAGTCTGTGCCACGGGAGTGACTGACTGAAAATGGGTTGAACAAAAACACGGGTTGAACAAGGTTCTTGACACACAAAGGCCTGGGTTCTTGACATGGTCTCTCAATGAGTGACCAATCATCCCGGGCTTGGCAAGCGGACCAAGTGTGTCCATCGGTCTGCCTTTCAAGATTGTTTCCCAGCAAGAAGTACTTTGGAAGCCTTTTGTGGTCCACGCTTGAAAATGTCCAGAAACCAGTGATGGGATGTGGGAAAACTTAGTGGGTGATAATGAGGAGCGATTTCGTATCGTTTATCTCCCCCTTACCCATAACTCATGCAGGACAAGGGGTTCGGCCAACACCTGAAGCAAATCATGCAACTGGTCCACTGTTGTTCCAAAAATCGCAAAGACACGCCGGCCTCATCTTCTTCGAACGGATTCTGGCCCCTGACCAGGGCACTGAATTTCTGTTTGCGCACACCATGGGATTGCTTGGACTAGTGACCAGTAGGACTCTACTGGTCACTATACTGTCCCTCTCAATTTGCCTTGAGAGTCAAGGTTGCCGTGCGCTCAACAAACATGGACAACCGGCAAAAACCGTTTGGAAGATGCTTTGGGTGTTCGAGAGTTTTCGATGTCAGCCTTCGGAACCATTTTCTATCTGTCTATAGTGGAAAGTTCCCCAAATCCCCCCCAGTCGGCAGGACTCGCATTCCAAGGACCAATCGGCGTACAAATGTGCTCGAAATGCATCGTCCAGGGAATGGCGGGGGGAATCTTGGTCCTTGGTTCCAGGGAGGTCCTAGGTGTAGAACTTCTGGGTAGTTCTTACCCCTTACCCCTTCTGTCTTAAGCAAGCCTGAATCAAGTGGAGAATCTAATTCGTATCCAAGATGTGTATGTGGTGCGGCGAAAACATTCTCACCACCTGGCTTTCTCTTCTCAGTTCTACATTCTATATAAAGAATTTGTTGGCATTGTCCATTGTACTTCATTGTTTTGTTTTATTTCCTGAGCTATCATCTGCTAATGTAGCTATGTACTCCCAAAACCACTCCTACCAAAGTATGTTTGCTTATCTTTTGTTCTTTGGAACTCATGAATTCATGAATACATACTGTATATAACTTAAATTGAATGTGCACAATGCTTGCAATCTACAAACCACGGTTCATAATTATCTATTGAATGCATATAATGATTCATTGTCAATCCTTTGTGCTGTGAAGGTTTGTTGTGAACCCACCTTTTTTGTATCTAAATACAGTTTGTTGCAGACTTCTCAGCTTTAGTATCACAATACAAGTTCACCCCGCAACTGCTACAGCACGCATGACAATGCCTTTAGCACCATTTCCCATCAACAGTATGTATCATTATGTACGTATATTTACAGTGGATTGATAGTAGATGGCACAATCACCTAAAGGTGGTTTATATGGATCCCCATCTAAAAGACATCTTGGGGGTTGTGCCATCTTGGTTCTCATGATGTTATATTGCCAAACTTTTTATGCAGTACTTCTGAAATTTGTTCGCTGTATATTTTGTAAAAAAAACACACACCACAGCATCTGATGATAGCACACCACAGCCACTGTTTGTTCACCGAATCTGTTCCTTGCCATTCATGTACGGTAATGTGTCCACTTATCGATGCCCCTTGTGTACATTGACAGGTAGCGCACTCAGCATATCTGAAACACTTCTCAACTTTCCCACTTTCAACTCTCACATCCTTGTTGTCAGGCTATCTTTCATTTCTAGAATCTACCATCTGACTTCCACATTGACTGTAATTGAGAGAAAACGACCAATGTACGAAACTTCAAATACTGCATGGACCAGGCGATAGAGAAGGCGTTCAATCAATGTCTCATGACTCAAACAACGTCTCATGCCTTAGATTATTCCTTTCCAGAGCATGTTTCGTCGAGATCAATTTGTATTGTGTGTGTTTTTTTTCTGTCGACCATGTTGACCATTATTACTATTACCAAATCTTTTTTTTGCCTCTAGAAATTCAGAAAAGACTCATGACTCATGACTAATCATTGCTTTACATTCCCATGTCCAAATAAGAGGACTTTAAACAACCAACCTCCAGTTGACTGCTCGTTCACGTGCTTCAAGTTCTTGTAAGCATGCTAATTTGATAACAAGCACATTGCTTATGTCCAGAAAAGATTTGATTGGCAACTCCACAATCCAAACACTTTCCTAGTCTCAATAGGCCATGCATAGTCTCGCAAGCGAAAATGATGGATCTTTTTGGGGGATAGCAAGCTGCATGCATAGCCTATTGAGACTAGGAAAGTGTTTGGATTATGGAGATTCCAATCAATTATATTGTATATAGTATACAGTAGTATAGTCAGTATAGTGGTACATTTCTACCTGATTCATTTCTTCCATCTGTTCGGGCTTTTCCTCGCACGGTCTGGGCTGCGCACGGTGGCATGGGTGCCTGGCGGATCAAAAACGTCTCCAGAACTGAACCCCAAACAGGTTGGTTGGAGCTAAGTATGGCTAAGTTGCATGTTGTTAAATACCCCATCCTTAAATCGGAACACATCCTTTAAAAAAGGAAACATCATGAAATTATAGAATGAAGTTTGAATGATGGCTGAACCGTTCTTACATCCAGTGATTGCAAGTAAGCCAATTTTTGAGGCAGCCCTGACGTCCCAGTGAGAACTTAACACACTGGAATATGCAGCGTCTCCACATGACAGCTTAGAAACACCGGTCCATGTTGCATACAAGTCCCACCCACAGATCTAACAATTGCGCTTGTGTTTGATACCATTCTAAGCATTTCCTCACTATGCACTGTGAACATCATCGTTCTTTTTGCCAGGTTCTCAGGCATAGTAAAACGTATACGTGTCCTAACTTTGCTCACATCCCACGTCTTTGCAGAATTGATCCGGCTTGTTTCACAACTTCCCCATCTTGACTGAGTTTCACATGCAGGGCCAACAACGCCAGAGATATTTTTTTCTGCACTATTGAATATTGCTACAATTTTGTACGCCTACACCCCAACGCGGCAACATATTGAAGTGTTATAAGATGTTATAAGTTATACATAAATCCGACACTACCACAAGACTGCTCACTGCTCTCCAGCGCACATCAGAACAAGCGACATAAGGAACCTCACCTCTGACTGGCCCAATACCACAACATCTTTGCAACAATCCCCACATATCATTTGAAAAAACTGCACATCATGTAGGTGGGAATCAGGACGTCCTTGGCCCCTACCACACCCCACACCTCACGGATGCTCCATGTACAGTATATAGTATATCGATGGCAATCGGACGTCAAGACACCACATGCACACATTGGGCATCATTGGGCTACCTTATCAGTACACATTGGCAACTGTGCCGCAATAAAACAAAAGTGGACTTGGGCGCGCATTCGTTGGTGGTGGCACCAGCGAGTAGCACCGTGGTCCAAAAAGCATTAGACTGTAGACTCTACTCCTCTGACGCCACTCGCGAGGACGTCCGACGGCATCTCCTTTGTCCACGCTCAGCGGTGCAGACGCACCGCCCCACGTGGCCTGTGGAGTGGGCGGCTCATCGGTGGAACACCTGACGCAAAGTCCGATGGGCAAACTGCTAGGTTTGGCGAGTAAACCTTGTTGAACCATTTTCGGCCCCCTCAGTTTCTTTCATACTGTATATAATATAACTATAATATTCTTATATTGCCGAAACTTTGCATCTTGTTTCAGTGTACAATCCTGTTTATGAATGGAAATGGTACAAGCATGTCCTGAATTATACTCATCAAGTCTTGCAAAACTCTGGGATTTTAGTTTCGCACTCATTGGTCCGGATTTTGACGAACTCTGATCGGACTGAGTTTTGGTGATTCAAACACCCCTCCCTTTCTGTACAGGAGGGGTGTCCTCGATACATGTGTATGGTTTTCGCTAAGTGTAATTACTCCATGTTTCACCTTCAAAAAACATCAAACACTTGGCTTTTTGGGTGTGTCGGATCCCTGATGCTGGCGGAGTCTGAACAAATATTCCGAAGAGGGTTCGTCCCATACAGTTTGTTTTCTTTCTGAGAGCCCCTCACTTTTGTCTGGGCAACCCATATGAAATTCATTCTGCCACTACAGTATCATCGCAACCGTTGCAAAGATGCAGAAACATCTCTTCCTCAGTTTCCTGTTTTGTTGGTTGCTGGAACCAGCACAGCTTCACTGCTCCAAAGGCTTCAATAGTCCATGACCTAAGTGAGATAGAATGCCCAGTCTGGACCTCTCTTCAACTGGGGACAGAATTTGGATCAAGGCCAGATGTGTCAGGGGAGGGTCGAAGAGCACGACTTGATGTCCGCCTTGCCGACCCAAAGGTCGCGGCGGTCGCGCCGGTGCCCGTTTGGACTTTGACCGGTCCGAGCGGCAGTGGGGGTGCTGAACAGATATCAGAGCAAGTGGCTGTAACAAAACACAGCCTGAAAACATGTCAGAAGACATGTGTTGGACATTCATGGTAGGCACGGATGTGCAAATCTCAGATTTTGTGCCAGGACATGTATCAGAACAAATTCTGAACACTTGTCACACATAATCTATGCCACAGCAAATGTCGGAATAGGTGACCCAACACACATCAGGACACGTAACAAATGTCGGAACATCAGAAATCTGTGCCAAACGTTATGTCAGAACACCTCTCAGACTTGGATCTCAGAACGCATGCCAGAAAGGATCTCAGAAAGCATACCCTTTTTTTATGCCCTTCATGCCAGAACAATGTCAAAACATTGTGTCAGCGCACGTGTCAGGCAGCGTCGTCAGGATAGTCATGTCAACGTATTACATGTGCCGTGCCTTCTTCCAAATCACCTTTAAAACAGTGGGGATCACTAAGTACAAACAGATTTTTTTTTGGAGCCCATGTCTTTCAACAGTACACCGCTCGAAGGGCGCAAACACGTGGACACCGAGCAACGCCGCGCGCTTGACGGTCAAACCACCCGGCGCCTGGTTCCGACGCTTTCTGGGTGCCGTGACACGTCTTTGGCGCCTGGAGGAGTCGTCCGAAACCCATCGGAACGGACAATCGGAACGAAGGGGCCTTCCTGACGCCCTGGGGCCCCGAGTTCGGGGCTTCAGCAACTCGGAGGAAACCCATGAGGGGAGAACAAGGTCCGATTTAACCTACGGGTGCTGTGGAAGAATGTCTATGTTTTTTCAGTGCTGGAAAAGCAGTGCAAGCGCACTGCTTCACACCGGTTGGAGTTTGAATCCCCCTCCCCTCCGCAACGTTCTTCCATGTACTCGCATACTTGGTCAACACACAAGCGCTCAAAAGATCCGCGACGTGTTCATCAAACCAAACCTCACACAGAAACGCACTACATGACAAGCACATCCTTGGAAACTCGGTCCAATGTTCAAAACCAGCTCCAAGCGCATCCAGAAAATGCCGCTCTCTCGTGCGTGTGATCCAGGGGACGACTGGACATCCTCACCGACTGGAATTTGGTCGACTTGCACCCATCGATTGCTTTCGGATCGTTCGTTGGGCAGACACGTATTTGCCAGGACGTGGACAGACAACGTATGGCACAACGATTCGTTGGGCGCGTCGCTTCCTGATTCAATCGCTTTGGGCACATGGATGACCAGCCCCACACACGCTCCCAGATGGGCCGCACGGCCATCTTGGCTCTGAGGAAACCCATTGGGGAAAGAAAAGCACCATTTACACTGAAGAAGCAGGTTAAACTGAAATGGGGAATTCTATGTTTTGCCTCAACACTTGTAATCTGCTTGCGTTGGTATACCTTCCAAAAAGGGTTTGTTCCAACATCACTGCTGCTAACATCAGCAGAGGATCCCCATTGGATTCTTCCGTTGATGAGTCCTGTGACCTTGCTGAGGGGTTCGAGACACACCCTTCTCCCAGAACCGCTCGTCAGGAGCCTTCAGTGTCCACCATCGCCTCAAACATTTGGAGATAGTCCAGTGACTCGTGACCCCAGGATTATTGTATTAGACCTCTCTGATGGGAGGGACCTTCGATTGAACTTCGACAGGTTCTTAGTGCACACTTGAACCACAGGCTTCATTGGTTCACCTCACAGTTAGCAACGACCACCTAGAATCTTATGACATGCGAAAAAGTCTCCTGCCAATGGGCCAATGGGGTAAACATTGATAAACCACTTTCGTTTGTAGTTAGTTTCAACATGTTTAACCTATGCCACCTTTGCATGGCTGAAGATTTCTATCCCACTTTCCAAATTTGCAGGGTGAGGAATTTTGCCGGCCAGCTGGGTCCCCCCTTGGTGTCACTCCCTTCACTCTGGTTTGTCATAATGCTCTATACTCCCAAATTCATGGAATCAATTCAAACAAAGACTCTTGTGCTACACACTTGGCGGGAATCCATCTGCTGCATTTGGAATGGAGGCTTAGGCTTCCACACGCATTCCAGCAGGCTTACCACGTCAACCACTGAGAGCATTTCACAGGCGAAATGCTGCCAAATCAACGAGCAAACACTAAAAGAGATAGCGGTGTTCCCCAGCAAAATGGTGATCGTGTATCCGTCTATCCATGCCAAATCGTTCGCACACATCCGGGGGTGACCCCCGATAAACCTGGTTAACAAACAATAAACCAGTCCGTCCCGGTTGGACGACCGAAACACGATTGGTTGGGACCCAAGAGGACGTGATCCACCAGGCCTTAACCGTAAACTTTACGAACGATGTCATTGAACATTGGGTGAGCCCCTAAACATCTTGGGCCCATTTTGGCCTTTTTCAAGGCTTCCCTCTGACCAATGTCCACCTTTTATGGAAACGACAAAAACGATTATATAAAAGGCTAGGGACGTGTTGTTCCACCAGTGGGACATCTTGAGAAATAACTGTTTGCCCACCGGACCGTCGAGCTTCTGGACCGCCCGGGAGACCCACGTGGGCTGGTGGTCGTCGCCCACAAGTCGAGCCCGTCTGGGAGACCCACTGGTGATGCACGCGCCCACGATCGGAGGAGCTCTCCAACTGGATGGATTCCAACTCCTCGAGCGTAGCGCAGCTTACGGCGCAGCATGGGGAGAAAAAAAAAGGATGAAAGCACACCCGAGCGGATCAGCCCAACATCTGTTGGTCAAAAATCAAAGGGATTCCAATCGTCGGTGGTCGATGGCTGTCGTAGTGACCTCATTCAAAAACATAAAAGCAACAACAGGAAAAATGCGACTTATTGCGCTGCGCTGGGCACTGCTTTTTGATCTGCTCAAAAACAAATTTGAAAACGTCCCGTAAGAGTGTCCCACAAGAGTTTCCTACAAGAGTGACCCACAAGAGTGTCCTACAAGAGTGCAAGAGTGTCCGACAAGAGTGTCCTATAAGAGTGTCCGACAAGAGTGTCCCATAAGAGTGTCCTATAAGAGTGCCCCACAAGTGGTGGTAGTGGAAGTGGAAGTGGAAGTGGTAGTGGTAGTGGTCGTGGTCGTCGTCCTGGTCGTCGTCATCATCGTCGTCGTCGTCGTAGTAGTAGCAGCAGCAACCGGTCAGCTAAGCCTCTGTAAAACTTCTACTTAGAACCACTACCACAGACTAAAGACAAAAACTGAAGCCCCGTTGTTGTTTTTGGACTCCCCTCAAAATATGTTGTTTTCTCTACCTCCCTAGAAACAAAATACGTTGTTGTTTTTTGATCCCCCCCCAGAACAACACTCCAAAAAACATCAAACAACAAGAAACAAACCAACCAAGACTTGAGTACCACAACGACAAGAAGTCCAGCTACTAACATCTCTCTAAACCTTGGACCCTATCCCTAACAGTGTCCCTTTGAAATCCCTGACTTGCAACATGTGACAACTATGTTGGGCAGCTGTTTTTGTCTCTAACAACAACAACAACAACAACAACAACAACAGTTATTACAGTACATCAATGATCTTCAATCTGTGCAGCTTGGAGGTCTCCTACCAACAACCAACGTGTAGCATAATTAACAAACCAGGCCCGCTCCAACGGCCGCGCAATTGATGTCCTGGAAACTCCGGTGGAGGTAGCCCAGGTGGTGGCGCGAAGTGGTCAAATCTGGGTGGCACCGTCAGTCTCATCGTCTCGTCTCGACGTTACGGGAGCTCCCAAGAGCTAAGCACCTTGCTAGTAGCGATGCACTTGCTACTGATAGCTTCTTGCTACTAGCAGTAATGCACTTGCTACTAGTAGCGATGCACCTTCGAGTTGAAGAAACAGCAAAGGAAGAACACCTTTCTAAGACATTGAAACACCGGACATGATGAGGATCCTGCGACCCTTGACCAAAGTGTTTAAAGGATACAAGGGAAGAACAATGTACACAAATGATCCAACAAGTACAAAACACAGTCGTCCTTTTGTGGGTACGTGTGGACCGTTTTGTGTCGTTCTCAGCAACAACTCAGTCAACTTGCTGACACTTGCGAGCTGGGTACCCACAAAAAAAGAACAACAAAGTGTCTCTCCCCTTCTTCACCCAACAATAAACAGTGAGCTAAACCGAACACCAATCAAAGAAAAGAACCAACCAATTTCCATACACTGGTTGCCTTTCTTCTTTCAGAGTCCGTCCGTCCGTGCTTCAGCACGGCGTTTGACGGTTCGCCGCCCGTCCGGGCGCGAAGAAAGTCGCCGTCTCCGCCGGAAGTGTCTGGGCGTTCCCCGACTGGATGGTGTCACGCAAGGCACCTGGGGCCCGGTGGAAACAAAAACCGAGAGAACCGTTGTATGTCCCACTGGCCGATGTGTCCTATATGATACTATATGCATATGCATTTACATGCGCTTACGTGAATTTACACTTTATATAAACATTGACTAACAATTCAGGACATCCGAGAGGAGGCTGCAAAAAACTCCTCTCATGTCATCATAACGAAAAAACAACTCGTCGTTCCAGAACTTGCATGTCAGCAAGCTGATCTGCAGAACTGGCCCGACTCTCCGCTGCAAAGTCGAGTGGCTCAACTCTGCAAGGCCCGGAGGAAGCGGAATGAACATGGGTCCCTCACAGCTGTCCATGTCCTGCCAGCGAGTCGTTCGATGTTCACGCGCGAAAATAAGCGCGCCCGCTGTAGGGAGATCTGAGTGAGAAAGTGAGAGAGATTGGGTTTAAGGGTTTTTGTTTTTGTTTTTTGGACTCACGGTGTGGTTTTGGATGGTTTTGACGTCTTTCTTCCCTCCAGAAAATTAACACGTCCTAACTGTCACGTTGAACTCGCGGCCTGGGTCTCTCGCGAGCTCAGAGTTGGAGCTCCGCTGCGAGACCTCCACAAATTCATTACTAACAGGCCATAACACACAGTCTTACAGGTCTCGCAGGCCATTCTAAGTCCACAAAGACTCCACAAAGTGGAGGTCATTATTCCACATTTTTCATATTTTTTCCAATAACACATAGCAACACCAACTTCGAAATCATCCCAGAATGATGATAAGTGTGCCAACCCCACTGTTAATATTAGGCCAACCATGGCCAACCCCACTAAAAGAGTCCAACCTCACCAAAACCCCTCACCTTCGGAATCTGCCCTCCCCCCCCCGCTCACCCCCGAGGAGGCCTGCCCGGTGTGGTCACGTCTCGCCGTCTCGTTGGTTCCGACTACCCGGGAGGTCGGCTGTGACCCGAAGCAGCGAAGCGAGGTCGGGTGGGAGAACCCAAAACATCGCCAGCTGTGGTGGTTTGGAAAAAAAACATCTTTAAATATCATTAAACATCTTTAAGAACCCTCTGAATTGCGCCATTTCTGCCCTACAGTGCTTTTCAGGATCTCCCTTGAATGATCCGGCTTTGAAGAATGGTTTGGGATGTCTTGAAAAAGGTCCAGGGCCCCAGGGCACCAAGGTCTTTGGCAAACCCCTGCAAGGGGAATCTTTGACAACACATGAACCGTGCAAAGAAAATGGTTTTGGCAACATCTTGCAAAGAGACACCTGGATTTGTCTGCACATGTCTTGGCCGACCTGGTGGACCACGGTGTGACTCAACGGTATCTGAACACCTCGTGTGTGGAGCCACGTACACCGGGTCCAATGAGTGCTTTGGAGCCACAAAGATCCGAGCCAGGGCAGGGTCAGCCACGAGTGATTAAAGTGACACTCAGAGATGCTCAGAGTGTTTTTGTTGTTCCAAGTGTTTTTACATGTGCATCCCACACCTGGCATTCGATTTGTTGCGGGATCCGTTGTTGGTGGGACTTTTGCAAGAGGAATTGAGAGGTTCCGGGTGATCACGTTTTTCGGCGCATGTGGCACATCGAAGTTGCTACTGGAGGGCACAGGTGGCCGGAGCATAGCCTGAACTGCACGCACGGCAGGGCCTCAACAACGAACGAACAAAGAAATGCGGTCGAATGTCCAAACAACGTAATCTTGAGATGCTGGTTCCAATCATTTTGATGTTTGTTTGTTGCCTCCACACGGCGCAAACAGGCCGCACAAACGCATTTTTTGGTCCGCCCTGCCCCCCCCATGTTTGACACATGTGCGAAACTGGAGTTGGCGGAATGATGGGGAGCTCTCCCCCAATAGCTCGGAATTAGCAAACTCAAGACTCACAGGGCCAAGCATTTGTAAAAACACACGACTGAGGTCCAAGCTTGAACTGAAGACGCGATTGCCCTTGCACGTAGTGGAGATACTCCTTGCAGGTTCGAGGGCGCTATCACAGGCGATTAGCGCCATAGTCACTTGCCCAGCACAAAAGCCGCGTTGACCAAGCAAAGTGCCAAATGTCGGGAGTGGCCTATGCCGGCCTAAGGATTTTGACATGTTCGATCAATGAAAAAGGCATTCTCCTCAATGGACACAGGCGCATTCAACGCTTCCTGCACCACGAACTGCAACCTCCCCAGCAGCTCACAAATGCTCACAATGGGCATTGACATACTGTCTTGGATTGAAGCGATGATGACAAGCGTGAGGCCCAGGCAGAGTGGACTGGATGCCGAACATGGATGCATTGCCCAGAACCTGAGGGGCACTGAGATTGGAGGGTCTAGGGTGCCAATGGCTGGACCCCAACATTCAACTGAACAGGAACCGCTCTGAACCCAGCATCTCAAATCCCAAAAATCAATCAGGCTCGATCACCTTGATATTGCCATGGTACAAGCACCACAATCCAAACAAGAAGGACTGCGCACTGCTTGCTCTGCGACCCTTCGTGGAGAGGCTTCAACAGGATGAAAGTCGAGTTTCACCGCAGATGATCTGAACTTGGATTACGTGTCCCATAGACATTCTTTATGCAGGCTCTTGACGGTATTTCAGACCCCCGACGAAGAGTTTGTTCAATCCTATTCGGGGGTTATATATATTTATCGACACTAAATGAGTCTGGAAAGCCAAACATCTACAATACTTAGACCCTCCAACAATACTTAGACCCTCCAACAGGTCACCACCTGTCACCCCTAAGCCTCCAAAAGCCACCAAAGCAGACCTGTTGGAGGGTGCTGGTACCCCTCAGCCAGGTAGCTCCTGCCGGACCAGTACACCTGGAAAGTGGGGCCTGGTATCCAGCCTGAGCGGCAGGCGGATGTCTCGGACAGCCGAACTTCACCCCGTCATTGAGAGTGAAGTGAGTTTTGGTTCCGTTCGTCTTCCACTTCCATGTTAGGTGTGTTCAAGGGTGCTCCAAAATGCGGTCAAAACCGGTTGGTCACAGCTTTGAGGCTTGTTTTTTGGACCTGGAAATCCGAGCGTTTTCAACCGAAGTCTCTCCACCAAGCACCCTTCGACCATCAGTTCACCAGTGCCACTCGGACGGTTGGACGGCCCTTTTTTCGGTCGCAGAGATGTGTGGAGCTCCTGCGAAGAACGAGGGAGATGGTAGACCTGGTACACACCGGACATAATCATAAGCAATGGGAGGGCCATCAGAAGAGAATCTACATGACCAAACTCATCATTGTGACTTGGGACCTCTTCCGCACACCATTTGGATCCATTTGGGTCCCCTTCCACGATCTTCAACAGGGATCTACTCTCTTATAACCTCCGTCTTATTCACATGTCTGCTGACAAAGTATGAGCTTGCATTTTGTGATGCTCGCGGGAGTCGGCATCTCTGGGAGTGGAAGACCTATCAACGCAGCATTTTCCCTGTTCTGTCGTTCAAGTGGTCTCAAAAAAGATAGAAACGGCTTGATCATCTTCATGTGTCTCTCTCTCTCCCTATAGTATGTATATACAATATGTATACAATATATGTATTTCGGGTAGCCTGGCTAGCTGCTTGGCCTCTTTCTTCTGCCCTTTGGTGGCATCCCGGGCAAGATCTGTTGTCACATGTTCCATGAAATCCTCTACAAGTGTGCTAGTTCCTATCTACATGCACCGACTGTTCCACCCTCGGGTTCCCAAGTTTGTCTCAATGTGGAGCCACAAGCTGTAATCAGCACAGTGCAGGGTGGCAAGCAGGGTGCTAAAGCATTCTAAAAACCCACCACAAGGACTTACTATCATACAAATTTGTAAAGAAAACACGCTACACACATTTGCATCCTGTCCATTGCCCCTGGTGCGGGTCCATACTCCTTCACGACTCTTGGACCCTTGGGCACCTCTCCCAGTCCCACGCGTGGAGCTCTTCACACGCAAACCACCGAACCACAGAGTTTGCAAACACATGGCCTTCCCTCTCAAAACCTTTTGATTGGCTTCTTCTTCTATGCCAGTTTGGGTCCCAAGTGTGGTCTTCAAAGCTGTTTTTCTCACGAACAAACAGAGGCCGGGCGGCAAGCCATTCCACGCTTTGGATGGCCAACCACAGTGCGACTTGGCTGCTTTGGGATGTCTCTGCGGGGCACAACATCCAGGGCGCGAATTCACGGAACACCTTGAATTTAATTTATAAGAACTTGTCCTTGGAGGGGATCCCTGCAAAGCAGCAAAATAGAGCTAGCAGCCAGCGCGCATTTCGCGAAGCCGACTGGTTCAAACAAAAACGATTGATGGACTGCATACGATTGTTGATGCAGCAATGAACTGAGGTTGGGCTATGCCCCCCAAACTCAACCTCTCCACGTGGGTTTTTCACGCACGTGCTGCGGACCTGGCAAACCTGTACAAGCCCCCCAAAGCCGTCTGACTATCTCTGACTTGTCTTTGTTGGTTGGGAGTGTTCCCTTTTTGAATCCAGCTCACCACCGGTGGTTTTTCTTCATCTCATGCCATCTGGTGCCATGCTCCCATGGGATGCTCCTCACAGGTGCTTTCAGCCCCTCAGGGGATCACAACTTCATTGCCAACCATCTCGTGCATGTGCCTGTCCAGGTGATCAAGGGAACAATGCGGATCCCGGTCGAGACCCCTTGACGCAACACCGCCCCAAGTGGTTCTGCTTCGTGCGTGACAAGGAGTTTAAAGAGGCCGCCCTCCAAAACATGACATGGAGAAATGCTCCATGTCTGCATCCTGTGGGTTTTGCTACCTTCTTCTCTTGTGGGGCCATTTGCAAACAGGGCCACCCCTCGTTACAATAGGCAACAGGCGCAACAGATATCCTTTTCCACCCTCTCCCTTGCTCTTGTCTATCATCTTGCGCTCGTCTTCCCCCTTGGCCTCTCTCCATTGGAACTCATCACGCTTATTGAGATGGTTTTTGCAATGACACATGGGAAATAGCTCGGCAACGAAAAGGACGTGGACAACAATAAGGATATCGTTCTTGAAGGGGCCTATAGCACTCTAGCCTGTTTTCAGGCACCAGCAAAGGAACAGGTAAACAACCATTCAACAATTGATATACTTATCGGACTTGTCGCGTTTCGCAGGAGGCTCTCACGACCGCTCTTGAATACATTGCGGCGGCTTTGGGCAGTTGCTCATCTAGAATGCAACCCGACTCCCTGAGTCCCTGGACAATAGATAGCCTTTTCCCACCTGCTCTTGTTTAGTGGGGAAACCACTTCCAAAACAAGGTTAAAGGTTCTCCTGACTGGGTAGACAACATGTTGGGTCGAAGCGTCTCACTGGATCCCACCGGCCTGGGCTTCTCGCGGGAAGGCCTCGGTAAATAGTGCCTCAGGTGGATCGACCCAGCCGGGATCGACCCCAATGCCACAGGGGTCCACTGTGACCTTCCGCAGCTGATTCGGCCCCTGAAGATTCTCAAAACATGTGGCGGTGACCATGAGATTTGGATCGTGTTTGAGATGCTTTGGGAAGGTGACAGGACATGTTCGAGCTTCACCTAGGTCCAGAAGCAAGACAATCAAAACGAAGGAATGTTGCAACAACTATTCTAAAGGATGTCAAAGGCATGGGAGAGACAATGGGACAAACACACTTTATCCTTGTGATTGCTTTCGGACTTGCTCCATAAATGCAGCGCCTCAGAAACGTCAACATAATGCAGCACCTAGCCAGAAAAGGAAAACAACATGGCACCACACCACGGTAGTGACTCCTAGTCATTCCAGAAAAACCTCCGGCTGACCGAGTCGGTGTCCGCAGATTTCATCCTAGTGGCTTTGGGATGGAGCCTATGACCTGGGTGATGGGATACATCTTCATGGGTGCAGAGCGAGGCCGCGGTGGAGGCCGTGGTCGAGGCCTCCGCTGTTTGCGTGCGCGCGCGCCCAGTTTTTGGGGCGTGGAACGTGGAAACAAGATCTATAATTTAATATAAATATACAGAATCAATAAGAATCATATTTTGTGGAACGTGTCGAAGGAACCAACATCAAAAAACAACGGACACTGGAGAAAACAAAACATGGTCATGTCTTTGAATGGTAATCATGTTCTATCCACCTGAGGCAATCGCGAGTTAGATTTCTTTACAAACTACCGCTTTTGGGCTCAAGGCTTCCCAGCCAAACACCTGTGGCTTGTGGAGAATGAGGGCTCAATTTCCCCAAACTCAGCTGTTCTTTCATGGCAACTCACCAAAGGTTAACACTGAACCAAACTGAAGAACATCCTCGGCAAGGCGCCTTGCATCTGGGTATGCGCCCAGAAAGTGAGCATCCCTTTCCTTGCGTAAGGCTGCAGCCTTTTCGATTGACGCAATCCTGCCAGGGCAAGTGGCCAAGTGTCGAATGTTACCTGTTCTGCGCCAAGACAAAATGAAGCACGACCATGAGCACCCGCATCACAATTGATGCACTCTCAGCTGAAGCCACTGGAGTTGATGTAAGTGATGAAAACGGCACTTGCTTCCGTGAATTGATCATCCTCTATCAAGCTTGCTGGCATCGGCAACTGACCGGCTGCTCCGTCCTCTCGTGCCCCCAAGCTTGCAAATCCGCACTGAATCGGTGAGGTGCAATCCTGACCGGCTCGGCGGACACCTCATGGCCTCCTAGAAACCACCACTACCTTGGGAAGGTTTTGGAGCTACAGTAAGTCTTCTCAACCGTGAAGGATCCAACAGTTGCGATTTCAATCCATTGGGTCTATCCTAATAGCTGTAACAGTGGATGATGATGGTTATATAGGTTGTAGGCCTTTTTCTAAAATGATTATCATTAGCTTACTGACTGTTACAGGTAAGTTCGGACATGTCGGACAGACCCTATGAATCCAGGTGCTCTCGTAGTTGGAGGTTCCAGGTTTCAGGAAGGTTTTGGTCCAACCGGTCCAACGGAACAGGGCTTTACTTGCTTCCACGTGCATCCGCAAACAAACATGCCCAGACGGAAAATCAAACAAGAGGGCCACCGGCGGCCAGCATGTAGAGAACATGTGGACAAGTCTTCCGGTCGGCAGTCATGATAAAAAAGGACCATCCAAAAACAAAGCCATCGTGCCTCTTGGATCCAGGACCGACCGATTGGTAGCCCGTTCGTAATTAGCATTGACTCCGCTTAAGCATAGCTCTGGGCAAAATGGACGGTACGCTAATAACTCTTTAGTTGCAAACCTCCTCCGTTGGGATATTCCGGTCTTTTCCTCCAGTTTCCAGCACATAAAGCCACATGGTCAACCAGGTGACCAAAATCTTGGAGTCACTACTATGACAAGTCACCTGTTGGCAAGCCTTTGACTGAGAATACGCAGCGGCACCACAAGTCATTGACCTTTCATTGCGCCACCAAGTTACCAACAAATCTCCCCCAAAGAGGTAAACTTAAAACACTCACCACCAATCATCTCCTGTCGTATGCGTGCCTTATGTATAACTCCTTTGGGGGACAAAGGTCCACCTGCAAGAACATGTCAAACATGTCACCCTTGAACAAATCTGAGGGCAGTGCTGATTAGGACCGTTTGAGTTCCCTTTTAAATTTTAGGGTTCCCTTTTTGGATCTCCTATGGTTTTCCTCGGCCAAGGTTCGCCCGTTGCAGCTCCAAGCCCAGGAAGGCCTGCCATCGGGAACTGATTTTCGCCGGATCTGCGAGGTTTCTTGGAGGCCCAGAAGGCAGAGAACATAACACTGGTGATGCCCCTCAAGAGTTTTTGTCTGGCTGCACGGGGTTTTGGGTATTTTGAGGTGCATGATGTTGCACGTGCAGTTCGGCAGTAGATTGAGGCAGGAAATAGCAGAAATATCTAGACACTGCCAAGCCTATAGATTCAAAACCACGCCGGACTATTCCCTGCTCATGATGCAGGCCCCCGATATCGCACATCCTTGGCCCCGCATGTCACACACCCGCTTTAATGATAGGTGAGCTTTTGAACAAATAACTAATACATCACACTCATAATAAATAACGAAAAACCGTTGTAGCAGTATTAGTCGTCGTTGTCGTCGCAGTAGTAGTAGCAGCACCAGCAACGGAAGTAGTAGTGGCAGTAGTAGTAGTAGTAGCAGTAGAAGTTTCTGTTGTTGTTGATTGTAGAAGAAGAAGTAGTAGCAGTAGCAGCGGCAGCGGTAGTGGTAGTAGAAGCAGGAGACGCAGGAGACGTAGTAGTACTAGTAATGGAGCAGGAGGTAGAGGTAGTCAGTGGCGGTGGGGGAACAAGGAATGCGACATTGGATTGGCACCTCGCTCCTCTTCGCAGGGCTCACAACAGGTATGTTACATTGGAACGGCACCGTCCTCCTCTAAGATTGAAACTTGGGCGGCTCACAACAGGTATGCTGCTAGATTGGAATGGCTCCTTATGCTCCTTCCTCTTCTGAATTTTGCCCTCACGTGGCTCACAAACGGAAAGCTACCTCGGAATGGCCTATTCCTCCTCCAAGTTTTCCACGCGGGTGGCTCAAGAAAGGTATGTGTCTTCTTCCTCCTCTAAATTTAAACCTCGGTTTGCTCACAAAAAGTATGCTGCATGGCATGGCCCCTTTCTCCTCTAACGGTTTTTTCTCACGAAGGTATACTACCTCGGAATGGCACTTTCCTCTTCAAATTTTGCCCTCAGGTGGCTCGCAAAAGGTATGCTAGTCTAAAGTTTACCCCTGGGTGGGTCACACAAGATATGTTACCTTGGAATGGCCTTTGCCGCTTGCCTCCTCTAAATTCTACTGTCGGTGCTGCTCATAAAAGGTATGCTACCTTGGAATGGCACCTTCCACCTTGAAATTGTACCCTCAGGGGGCTCACACAAGGTATGCTACATTGGAATGGCACCTCCCTCCTCTAAATTTCATTCGCAGTTCGAAACACTCCTTTGAGACATCGCCATCCCCTCCAGGCAGTCACGGGTGACGCTTACCTGGAACCAGGCATTATTGTTTGTTGGGTAATTAGTAACTGTTTTTGTTTGGATCCTCATGCCTTTGATGATAGGGGACGAAGGAGGTAGATGAGCTCCCGTGGGCTCGAAAGTCAAGGCCTGCACCATCAACGAGCATGAGTGGAATCACAGGCTCTCAGAAATGTCCGCTGCATGCCCACCTGCCTTTGGTTTGGTCTCAGGACCCCTGGCAGAAGGCAATGCGAACCACGGAGCATGATACATCCATCATCCAATGATCACACTCCAAGTAACACAGCCACTCCCCTGCACATCAAGGAACCCCCTTCTTTAAGGCCAGCCTTCTGGGTCAATTTATATTTGCAAGAATGATCTTGCTTCACCCGTTTGATAGGTCACATGAAGAAACACCTAGCACTGGCTGCCTGGCACTAGAACCCGTCCCCAAACAAAACAAAGCACCTGTTCTTACCACGTTCCCCAACCTCTTTTGGACACATTACTTCCTTATGGTTTCTAGTTTACCCAACCAGTGAGCCAAGTTCTCGCACCAAATGAAGCACAAGTAGTGACTAGCGACACATGTCAAAAAATGCGGGTGTTGTTGGCCTCATGCAACTCCAGTGTTGAGTGTTTTCGAAACCGTGCCACAAGAGGTCTCCAATCATACCAGGAAATGGCTTGCTTCCAAAACCTCACAAGAACTACACACAGCAAGAAGAATGGACCTGACACCTGCCCCAAGGACAAACACTCTGACACCTTTCACACACGCAAATGCGTATACCCTAGAATTATATATATAGTTATATTATGTTAACTGTTTCTTTTTTTTAAAATCATATCCACTTGTGCCAGTCTCCACCACCCTCACTACCACCAGTGGGGCATATGCACTTGCTTAAACTTGCTGGGCATCCCCACGTGCCCCTTCGCGGTCGAAAGGCCAGCAATGGCATGGATTCGTGCGAGGGAGGCCGACTGAGCGTGCGATCGGAGCACGGCAGTCGGCGAACCAAGAGAGGTCAAGTGATACATAGGGCCCCACTGGGGAACCTATGGGATAGTCTATAGATGATTAAAGATGTCTATAGGGTCCTTCAACACTTCCTTCAACCTTTGTTGGAAAGTCATGTGTCAGCGAATATGCGAGGGAAGTCTCTGATGGGATTCGCTGTCTGAAATGTTCTGAAATGGACAAGGCTGCTATCTGCGACATGAACGGGATTCGAGACGTAGTTGGAGCTTCTCAAACTTGCCGGGCTATGGCACTTTCCATGTCTCTAAACAGTTCTGAAGCATTCCCAGAAGCAAAGCCGGTTTGTTGATCCACTCTCTGGGGCTCCTCGCAGAAACATCGGGTCACCAAGGCTCTGTTCTGTGCCACCTGTCAGAGAGCGAGGTATATATATATATAAATATAAGGACAATTTTGAACAAGAGGATGCAAGAAGCACGTACTAGTGCGACTTGCGTTTCCCGCGTCGGTTACGGTTGGGAGGAACGTCAGAAAAAAAGAAAAACACCTCTGGGAGAAATGATCGAACTGTAGGGACGAGGATGTGAGAAACAGGTTGCATGTTTGGTCGTCTGACCATGTCTGATCTGTAAGCATGTATCCTGAAGGAGCCGGTCATGGACAGCGCCTCGAAAGTGGGACAGCGGCACTGAGGAAGAGCCAAAGAGGCTGGCCTTGCGGGTCCGCGCCGCGGAACTCAAGGGTCGAAAAGACTCGGCGCATGTGACACCGATGCAGAGATCTGCAGAGCTGAAGGGTGGCAAACATAGGAAGAACTACATGGAATAGCAATTTTAATGGGAATGGCCTCCACCTAATACGATGGCCTCCAACCTAATAGGAAGGGCCTCCACCCTAAAAACAAACTATTCACTTGGGTGTCAGGACACAGGAATAACTCTGGGTGACTCCTGTCATTGGGCGAACTTTGCACAAGTGAGGGCCCACACGATTTGGCTGGGACAACAAACCGCCATCTTGTGGGACATCCGCATGGTTGATGGACAGACTCCGCTCAAGCCGACACTTTACGAGTAGAGAAACTCCATAGACGAAGGGTTTTCCAACGGGTGTTGTTCGTTCGATGTTCGGTGTGGGAAGCCCGACGGATGGTAGCACACTCAAAGGTGATGGATTCACACCATCCCTGGCCCCTTCAGACGTCTTGATGCAGTTTTTTGTTGCTGATGCCCGCCTGAGTCTTCGTGCCTGTCGAAGCAGGCACAATCAAGCAACAACTACTGCACAGCTGGACCAAAAGAAATGACAGTGTCGTTCACGGTCTTTCTGACATTGACTCCACGCAACCATGTGCGGTGGCGTTCCAACAGGCTGCCTGTGATGAGATCAATGTTGGAATCGCAACTTGAAGATGTGAGGAAGCCGCGGCATCAAACTTGCCCTATCTACCTTGCTCTACCTGGAGGTTTCCTCATGTGTCCACTCCCAACAACTGCAAGTAGCAGCTGCACCTGTGTCTTGATCAGAATCTGAAAGCCTCAGAACCTTGATCCCAACCACCAAGCGTTGACGCCCGTTCCCTCCCAATTCTCAAAAGCCATCGTCATGTCAAAGGCCCCCTGTTACAGTAAATTTGGATGAAATCAGTGCCAGTATCAGTAGTTCAGCGCAGTTAGTTTGAGTGAACTTGGGCAAGAACAGCAATATTGTTTCTGTATGTTCAAACGGTTCTCTGTGGCTTCGGCTTTGATTGCTGCCGCCTCACAGTGAAAAGCAAAAGCAGCTCACTTGGAAGCGGTGAGAGGGGTCATTGTATATGCAATCAAAACGTAGAGGGCTCTTCTGTGCACTCGCCACAGGCTGGATTAGAAAACAACTTCGGATGGCTGATCATTACGGTGCAGCAAAGTATTAGTTTTGTTTTGATATCTTGCGATCCATTGTCTTCCCGCCTTGGAGCTAGAACGAGACTTGGCCACCTGTGACCAGCACAGAGTGTGATCAGAACGAAAGGCATCCCAACTAGTGCTGTAAATAGGAATGTGTGGTGAACGTTGCTAAAGCCACTTTTGATCTGTCAAAAGGGTCCAAGTCATAGACTTCTTTTGCTAGCAACTGTGCTGCGAGCATACTTCCATGAATAAGACAACGTGTTTGCTAAGGGGAGCGGGCAAGGCTAGGATTTAGCAATACAACCCCCCAACGGCGATGTTCCTTGAAAAGGCATTAGAAGGCGTTGTTATATACGATGTTGCATTTGCATGTTCTTCATTTCCATGTTCTTTTCGTCAAAGGGGATTCTATGATCTCAAGCCCCACCTACTCACAGCAAGTCGCTGGTCCTTCGGTCCCCAGCATCAATCGTAGGGACGACGTCGATGCAACAAAGTTCTCTGTGAGTTCGACTCAGCTGCTTTGGGCGGCCAGCCAGGGGCACTCACAACTTGCCTTTGATAGGATTTACCTGGAGGACTGAGTACTCTAATCATTCGTGCTGCATTCTGCATGAGAACTCACGAAAGCATTTGGTAAACATGCTGGGTGCTAAGCAAGTCCATGGAACCAATCAACATGGGATCTGCCTGAGGTTTATCTCCTTGTTCCATCCTTCTGTGTATTCCTTTCCAGCGAAGCATGCCAGCGAGCCCGGCGAGAAGACTCGTGCCGAGAAACGGCACCTCCGCACAGCGGGGAAGCAATGTCTTCACATAGCTCTCAGAGGCCGACCTGGCCAAAGACCTGGGTTTGGTCGCCAAGAAGCAAACTCCACAGCGAAGTCATGCGAAGTCCCAAAGAACTGGTCTAACCAAGGAATACGACATCCACTGGGGTTCAAATGCATATCTCAGTTCCGCTACAGCGTGAGAAATGAACTCGAAGAGCTCCCACGGACACTGTTTCCGGAAGGAAATCAAGGCGATGTCCGATGTCCTTCCTCTTCAAGAAATTCACGTCTTGACATGATGGAATTTTGCGTCAACACAAACTTCCCTGTAATTCACCCCAGCATGGGAGACACGGGTCCAATCATGAGCTTCTTTGAGGGTCTCTGACAGGGCAGTTTGGGAAGTGATCCTTTGGCAAGTAGGTGCTGTGTTGTTGAGTTCGGTCCTAGGCCTATCGTTTTCTTCCAGTATCAGGTCAAAGTGCCGGCGGTGGTTCCACTCAATATCGAGCCTCGAAGAAACATCTCCACAAAGAAAACAACTATGAAAAACACTAGTCGACCAAATGAACCAATCATGGTCGATCCAATCAACCTGGTCGTGACTCAGTGTGTCCATCTTGTACTCCTGAAACCGTCACTACACTACTAGTCACTACACTACACCACACCTCGCAGACTTCGCTTGGAAGTGCTCGATGGATTCCTTCTGAAAGAAACCACTCCACAAATGCCCCCTGCACTCCTCTTGTGTCCCTCTGCCATGAAACAGAAGATGGCTCTTGGTCAAGTCACACCTCCCCAATCAAACACCGCATGGCCGCATGGCTCCTGATCCTGCAGCTGCTCCTGCGGCTGTTCATCCGAGACCATATCCCTGCACCAACAAAGCTCGCTCTTAAAGTAAACATCCTTCAACATCTCAACATGTTTTACCCTCTGATTAATCAGCAATTACCGCTGGTTCAGATGGTGCAACAACATCGTGACATCACTTCACACATTGAAATGTAAAACTTTCAACTTCCACTGGGCTCAGTTGCTCCCGACAAAGGTGAACTCGATGAAACATGATGTGCCATAATTCTGGATCACTGAATCCTTCTAACCACCCCAGCGCAAGTTTCCAAAATGCAAGTAATGCAACAACTTGATGCCGAGGTTGGTGACGAAAGCTAGCTGCATCTAATCACATGGCCTAAACATGGACTGCATGATGTGAAACACAATGGTCCCAGAACGGATGCTATCAGAACTATTCTGCTCGTCCAAATGCGGAATATCATTGAATATCCCCCTCCCCTCGTCCAATTCACTGGGCAGGTGATTTCAATCCCCCAGCCAATCACTTGCTAAAGCAAGAGCAACTGGAGCTGAAGCTAGCTTTCGCAACTACAGCAGCACAGCATTACGCAACATTACGTAGAAGAATGCCAAGAGCAACATGTTCCACTCCCAGTGCTCTTTTCTCTGCTGTTGGCCAAAGCGCCCTCAAATCCCGTGACAAGTAGCAAGCTGCAAGGCAGCTTGGGTGGTCTCGGTCGTCCAAATGAGTGGAACGTGCAGAATTTCCAGGTTGGTCAAGTGAAGAATCAATCACTTCTTTCGCATGGTCAACGCACCAATTCACATTTCGGTAGCACACCAAGCCCGGAAATCAGAGTTGCAAAGCATTCCAGCTGAGACTTGGTCAGAGAGGCATCACTCACTGAATTCCTCGTTCTCCAAATCCAACTCTTCCAGCATCTCAGCTTTCCTCATCACAAGTCTGGACACAGTTTGTTGCGACCCGAAGTGGTCACGCTTTCCACAAGCAACATCTTGTTGGACGAATTGAGAGCATAAAGGATCATATTTTAACGTAAGAGCATGGTACCACAACAAAAGTGCCCCTTCAGCTCCTGTCATGAGCCTGTCCCCTAAAGTTTCACCAACGCCCCACCAGTGGTGGCAGTTCGGAGCCCAAAGCCACATCAACAGCCCAATGGCAGCCAAGGGAATACACAGTTTTCAACACTTCTCTGGTTGGTGTTTTCAACCCACTTGAAACATATTAGTCACTAGTCAGAGGGTCCAATGATCCCCAACTAAGGGTTGACAATAGAAAGACAATAGAAATATCCGAAACCATCACCTAGTTATGTAATGAGGCGAGCGGCCAAGATTGCAATTTCTGCAGCCTGGCGGGCTCGACCGAGCCAGCAAGCGGAGGTGCGTCTCAGCTTTGAGCGCACTCAGACTTACGCTTGGAGAAACCTTCTTACCGGTGCCTACCACAAGAGTTGGAGGCCACTGGTTGGATGGTGGAAGATTCAGGAAGATTCACACTCAAGCCTCTGCCATGATACACTCCCCTGAAATCAAAGCACTGGGAATGTTCCCCGTGCGGATCGGTATTTCCTGCGGGCTTACTTCCTCGGCTTACGGTGCAATGGCCCTTCTGCTCCGACGGTTGGCGACTCTGGACATAGACAATAGGAGAAAAAGGCAGCAAAAGGACATCGTCTATTATATTATACGAGAATTATACACCAACTCCTAATATATATATAATGTACGATATGTTACAGTAATAAAAGGACATCTATATTTTATTACTGTAAATTAATATTATATACACCAACTCTTCCTGCACAGGATTGCATCCTTGTGATGCGGAGATCAATGTTCAAATTTATTTTCAGGTTTCCAATGATGTTAGGTTGCGGGAAAACGATGGGTAGCCCTCCTATGTCAAAAGATCCTGACGGGGCCAAGTCGCCTCTCTTTGCTGGCTGAATCTTTTGGCACGATCTTGCTCAAAACTCCAACCATGTCCTGGCCAAAGTGGCTCTGGCCTTTGTGGATGATGGACCAGTTTCCGGTCTACGTGCAAGGATCTCAACTTCTACATGCTGTGCCACTGTGTAGATCTTTGTCACTTAAGTCTCCCAGTAGAAATGGTGCGAGTGGATGATGGGGGGAAGATCCAAAGAAACAGCCCAACTTGGGGCTCACACTGCAACTGCATGGACACCTGACTTGTCAACCCTGATGGACGCCAGCGGCTAGGAGGTTCAAGCACAAGGAAGCAGGCTAGCAGGTGCAACCTCGTGGCCTGAATGGTGGCCCCTTGCATGGCCAAATGACCTCATAACCCTCCTAAAAGCAGGCCAAAAGGAGACCATGCTATATGCATTCAACATTCCGTCTGATTGGGGCAGCCTCCCGTCACGCCGTCCGGATGAACATTGACACCGCCCCCCCAAGAAAGGGCAGCTCAGTTCTGAGGCGCCGAAGGAAGAGGAGCTATGACGCTGTGGCGGGAGTCGGAGTCGAAGAATCGCAAGTGGTGTCCTTGAGAGCTGGGCGTTGCCAACATGAATCTGGCCAAGTGTCCTGAACCTCTTTAACGTTTTTTGCGCTACAAGTATGCCGCGGAAGCCATCTGCCATCACAGAAGCACACGCTGCGGAAAGGTCTAAGACTTCAGCAGGGTTGGGGAGGCCCACTGGGAGTGCCTGGTGTGGTGCTGTTGGTGGCACTGTAGGACTGTTGGTGAATAGAGTCTGGCCGAGGGGTCTCACGAAGACGACTCACCCCCACTCGCATTGCCCCAACCCCAATTTAATCAAAGGGCAATGCGTTGACGGTGTTGTGAGACCGATGATGGTGATGTCATCGTTATATATTTTTCAGTGATGGACCGATGAATTGCGGCATCGAAAACACCATTCAAGGGGCAAGCGATCCACCCCTGGGCGAACATCGATTTTCTGCTTCTGCCATTGGTGTTCAACGACCTCAGAAACCCATTTTGTCCAAAAATGTCTTTGGCGCAGAGGTCTCGATGGGTCTCGCTCAATCTCTCGCGGTCTTGAGCGAAAACGAAGATGTCGCAGCGGGTCTCCCGATGGGGGACTTCGGAGGTCGGGGATCACATTAGGGTGCAAATCATCCTTTCAATCCTGGAATCCTGGCTGGCCTCTACGAGGTGGATAAACACAAATACTGAAAGTGCGATGCTTTCCCACAGTTCCTGCAATTGATCTCATTCACATGTCTACACTAATGAATCTCCGCAAACATGATGGAGGCACCTGAGGTTCCACGCCCAGAATTCCGCAGCAGCACAACGGCGACCCCCAAAAGTGCAACAGGTTTCAATGTCTTGGGCCACTGTTCATCCTGGTTGGTTCATTAAGCCACCCTCATTCGTGATTCTAATTGATCAGGCACCTTGTTGATCAACAAAAACCTGGCACCTCACCTAGCACTGCACTGTCATGCAATGCAGTGGCAACTTTTTGCAGGCAGAACATGGCAGCCACCACCACATCAACGCCAGCAGCAGCAGCAGCAGCAGCACCAGCAGCAGCAGCAGCGCCACCACCAGCAAGACTCACAAATTGCATCAAATTACTAAATTTGCAACAGCTGCTCTTCCTTTGTCTTTCTTGCAGCTAAGCCTCGATGCAGCATATTCCTGGGGCAAACGTGCCAGTCAAACTCATTGGTTGCCGCAGTGGTATACCTGTCTCTCTCAGGGATGAGGAAACAAAGCCCGAAAGCGCCGGCTCGGCGACTCACGTGGCTCGGAGACAGGGTCCTAGTGTCTGTTCTTAGCTGTGGGCGACACACAGACACACACTTATAGACGAATGCCGCCACATGGCAACAAAAAGAAACCCAGATTCCTGAACCAGGTAAGGAGGCCTGAGCGCCTTTAGTTGAAGGCCAAATTCAAACTCCACGATACGACGAACAGGTCGAAGTGACGGTGATCGCTCTTGTCTCCAGAATGCACTAGCCCTTTACGGAAGAGTAGAGTCACGGCTTGGTCAACAAACCACAAAGAAGCAGGTACGTGGAGTTGATCAGACTCCATATCAGTCGTGGCATAGCCCTCTTCGTTGGGCAACCAGCTATGCTCACGAGGTCTGTGCATACGAAACGTGTGTCTCGGCCCCCGGTGATGCGGGGGCAGGCCACGCGAAAACGCGAAAACCGCGAAAACGGCGGAAACAAAGTGCTTGGATTTGACACAGCTCACGGTTTTCTAGAACACCGCATCGGCGCGAAAACGGCGAAAACGCGAAAACGGCGAGTAGTTGGGGAAGAGTGCCAAGTATTTGCAAAAGACCAGTTTCAGAAGAATGGAGAGTTGCAGAATAGGACTTTGTTCCTTTGATAATAAGCCTCAGTAGCACGCAAAAAGGAGAGTGTTGAAAACGTTAAACTGAGAACTAGACGACGGTTGGCCCGAGATCGAGACATGTAATTGTCCAGCACTGTCGAAAAGATGTATAGAAAGAGAGAAAGAGAGGGTGGATGTGAAGGAGTGATAGTGTGGATGCGCAGGTGCAATATAGATTCTGTAGATGTATGGAGGTGGAGGTAGATCTGTGGATGTGAGCGTGCAAAGATGTAAATGCACAGAGACGAGAGAAAAGATGTGTAGAAAGAAAGAAAGACAGGACAGATGTGAAGGAGCGACAGTTTGGATGTACAGATGTGATATAGATGTGCAGATGTGTGGGTGTGGTGCGGTGGAGAGGTAGATCTGCGGATGTGAGCGTGTGACGGTGTATATGTAGAGAGGTGAGGGGGTGTATGACGTAGATGCGTCGATGCAACGGCTGCGCAACGTCAACCTTAGCTGTGCAAGTACAATGCTGAAGAGGTTCAAATAGAACTGAAGAACGTACATTTCACACTGAAGTTTCCACGAGCAGGGCGACCTGAGAGTAAACGACGTGACGATCATGACAAGCGACTCGTGTATTCCAAGCGAACATCGTTTGTCATGAAGGTGTGAAGTACACACATACTAACGTCACGATGACTCTTTTGTGGCAGCCACTTATGAGTAAGCAAAGTAGCTAAAATTTGTCAACCTCTCAAGAGAGCCGGGTGGCGCCAGAGATGACTCAGCCGCGAGAGATGACTCATCCGCGTACTAAAGTTGTACTACAAAGTCGCCAGTTCTCAGCTTCCAGCTCCCCAGATACTCCGCGTCACAGCTTGCTCCGCGTACTAAAGTTGTACTACAAAGTCGCCAGTTCTCATCTTCTAGCTCCCCAGATGCTCCGCGTACTAAAGTTGCACTACAAAGTCGCCAGTTCTCATTTTCCAGCTCCCCAGATACTCCGCGTACTAAAGTTGTACTACAAAGTCGCCAGTTCGCATCTTCCAGCTCTCAGCTTCCAGCTCCTGCGATACTCCGCGTACTGAAGTTCTACTCGAAAGTCGCCAGTTCTCAGCTCCACAGATTGCTCCGCGCACTGAAGTTGTACTACAAAGTCCACAGTCCTGCAGAGGGTTGCGCCGGACAAACACAAATCGCACTCTCACCTGCATTTCGCGCACTCAACACGCACGATCTCCGCAGAGGGTTGTCCCGGACTGGGACAAATCGCACTCTCGCCTGCATTTCGCGCATTCGACACGCACGATCTCCGCAGAGGGTTGTCCCGGACCAGGTCAAATCGCACTCGCGCCTGCATTTCGCGCACGAACTAACTTAGAGTCCATCGCAAGCCCTTGGTTTCCAATCTGTCCTTGCGTCGCAAGAGCTCGTCGATTCCGCGCAAGGAGAGCCATGAGGCATGCCACGGCTCTTCAGTTTGATGGAGAGGAATGGACGTCGTCTGATTCTTGTTTTTCTTTCATCCCTGGGTACCCTCTGGATAGACTTGGTCACGTTATCTGGTCGTTCATGCGTAGTGCCTGTGATGAGGTGATACCTAGAGGAACCGTTGGCAGAAATTTTTGCCGAGACACCATTGTGCCCTGATTTCAGCCAAATTCATCGAAAAGCACCGAATCCAAAAAATAACGCCGAGCAATCTGAAAACTGCCGACTTCAATGGTTTTCAGTTGCTAGATTCTCAAACCAACACTTGCCAGATCTTGCCAGTCTTACCAAGCCCTTCCCCGCCCCTTTCCCAAACCAAACTACAGGGTGACCATCCACAGTTTGGGCTTACATATGAGGACCAAGGGATTGGCATCCACAGTTTGGATACCTTGGAATCCTTGCACGGCGCAGATGAGAGTAAATCCACAGTTTGGGAGTGCTTACAAAGAACACACTTAAAAGATCCAACAATGTTTGCCTAAGTTCATGCCTTGTCTTCCAGACCTTCTTGATATTTCCCCTACGGTTTTCTTGAAAGGCCAATCCAGGCAAGCAAAGTTCTGTCTTTGCTTCTCCGGATCACTCTCCAAACAATGCTTTGCCGCTTTGCCCTTTCATGATCCAACCTATCTTGACAAGGGTGGTTGTAGAACAGCTGCAACTCACAATTGGGCCAACAAAAAGATCTTTCCAGTGCAGCCATCCAAGATGTTGATTCTTATATATAGGAAACCCCAACCAAGCAAAAACATGGTTTCGGACAATTGCGCCGAATTGTCGGGCAATTACGCCGAATTATCGGAGATTTACGCCGAATTATCGGGCAATTACGCCGAGATCTAGGGATGACAAAACTTTTGAAAGCTATGAACAACTTGACTGCCACGATTCACGCAAGGGTGCCCGGTTGGTTCACGGTGAGTTTGTGTTGAATTATGCATGGTCCATGCACAGTCCTCTAACTTTCACCTTGGTGATGGAATCAAACCTCTCCATTCACCAAATATGTTCAACAACAGCTTTGTGCCACTGCAAACATAGGAAATCAGGGAAGAGGGTTGCGTCGGGCCACAGAAACCATTTGGCATTTCTGCCAGGCCTTCTCTATTGTTCTATAATTTTAATAAACGGTTTCCTTGATCGGATCCATGGCTGGATTTGAGTGTTTACAATGAATCCCTAAGCCAACAATGCTTGGCAAGAGTTACGAACTACATACTGAAGAAAAACACTGGGCGTGAACAGCCAGGGCGCACCTGAAGAATGCCCGGTTCACCAGGTATTTGATCCCTAGAGGATTGTCGAGCCGAGTTATCATGAATCACCACAACCCGGATTGGGTCTGCATCTAATCAACCAATCAATATGTTCAAGAACCTCAAAAACCAAAAACGCCGAGTCTATCTTGGTTTTAGCAAATTACGCCGAATGCCCTTTTTCAGGGCAAATTACGGGTAAAGGCGCTTTTTGCTGAGGTGGCAGACTTTTTGGTGCATTTGGAGTCTCTAGGTATTCCTTTTGGATTGGAGATTAAGATCATTCTGATTCACTGACCTATTTACTAAGATTCGTGAATTGAACTTAAACTTCAACCGTTGAGATTTAGTGCACAACTAAGGAGCATAATTGAAAACCCTCGAAAGTGGCGAAACAACGACTGCGCGAAGCCGACACAAACGGCGAAAACTACGAAAATGGCGAAAACGACAAAAATGCGCAAACGGGCGAAAACGGCGAAAGCGACGAAAGCGGCGAAAACGGCGAAAACGCGAAAATGGCGAAAACGGCGAGAACGACGAAAACCGTTTTCTTGGTTTTCTCGTTTTGCCGGTTTTCTTGGTTGTGGTTTTCACGCTCAAAGGCAAGACAAGCAAGAAGACGTAAGCAAACTGGAAAAAGCTTCCACACGGGAAAACGCGAAAACGGTTTTCTCGGTTTTCTGGTTTTCTCAGTTTTCTCGGTTTTCTCGGTTTTGTCGTCGCATCGCGCGGGCCACGACGCAGGTTTTGTGTTCTTAGCACGAGGTTGCCCCCCCTGCTAAGAGAAAATCAAAACAGCCCAAAAGGAACCTCGTCACTCCAGAGGGACACACACACACAGAAACACACACCGAAGCATCATATTATTGACACATTGCTTCGGTGGATGCGAGAATAGAACGAAGCTCTACGCCCTCCGCGAGTGGCCTCCAACAATGATGAGGTCAAAACCGCTAAACCATGCTAAAACAAAGTTCCTCTACAAACAGGGAGTTGCCTCCAAAAAGCATGGCATAGGAGACGACAACGGCTGTTAGTAGAGGAAAATGGTCCACTTCCATGATTGTTGGAGGGAGCGTGACATATCTTTCTCACGTCAACAGCTGACACCGCTTCACTCAAGCTAGCAAAACAGCAATGGTCTTGTGATTGACTCATGCCCAACACAAAGCCACAATGATGCACGAGAGTATGTGCTACACCCAAGCATTAGTGGGACACGTTTTGGCACTTTTCCTGCAACTTCCTCAGTGTTCTTTTGTGAGCTACTCACTGGGCAGGATCACTCAGAAACACACTGCGATCTTATGGTGATTCCACCAGTGTGGAACCTCCTGATCTGCGACGTGAACAACCCATCTTTTGGAGGTATCACTCATCATGAAGGTGTCGTGCCGTGCTGCATGGCATCGCCGTAGCTGGGACGTCCCTCAAAAGCCAGGTGGACGCGAATCCTCGGACCGATGGCACGCCCCAGTGTGCAGAAGCTGTGCGGCCCCTGTGCGGACCCGTTTCAGAGAACAGTGGACTCCACGAAATCGGAAATTCAAGCATCCTAAGACCGGCTTACACGCAAGTGGACTGTTCTACACCCAAGTCGGGGGAGTTTGAGACGATGGAAGTTGTGTCATGCAGCCGTCGATGCGACCTACTGTTTTTTCTTTTGTGTCATGCATCTTGTAGCTGGTCCCCTGCCCAAATCCGTTATGTGACTGGAGTTTAAATCAAATCCTCAAGACTCTTGGCTCAACTCCCAATTGGTGAATTGAAGAAGGCTTTGCCAAAAAAGGTCACCAGCTTTTTTGGGGGCTGCAAACCACTCGTTTGGCCAAAAATATGGCGGTTTTGGTCGTAGCTCACCTGCAATCCAATGCCACCCAGCAGCTGATGCCGCCGACCTGTCGCAATCCGCACCACCGCCCAACTACAGCTGGAAGTGGTCAAATATCCTGCAAAAACACGTGCGGAGTAGGCGTTCAAGCGGCGTGTAGAAGTGTACTTACGGTGGCGTGAAGAGGTCTTGTGTGAAGTCCGGGGTGTCTGGGCCGGTGGGTCTGATTTCCAACTCAACTGGAAGCCTCAACAACCTAAGTTGGCGCAGCATGGCTCAGCATGGTGTTGGTCAATTGGTCATCTTATTGTTGAAAAAACATCCTTTGTCATGAAGAACTCTCCAGCTAATCTCGCCAGATTTTTAGCCTTGCTGGGCAAAGCATGAACCCGGGTTTCTAAGCAGGTCACTTGACTCGTCTTGACGTAGTTTGTTCAAGTGGCTTCACCCAACTGGCGGTTGGCCGCTGCAAGCACTCTTTGTTGGCCTCCTTTCAAGGCCTTGACTGAGGAAGGAGGACGGAGTGGGAAAGGGATGTAAAAGGGAGGGGGGTGAAGTTACTGAAGATCTCAACATCTCCCAACCACCGCCGCCGTCCATTTCGTGTCAAGCATCCCAGCGCCCAGTTCTTCACCACGCTTCGACTGGGCTTCCCTCGCCCGGAAGCGCGGCTGCGGCCCCCAGCATCGCTCCAAAGGACACCGCTGGAGATCACGGACAGAGCTGAGCCAAAGCCATGGCACAACACCAGGTACTCACGAAGGACGTCGCCTGAGAGCGGCGGCCACAGCAAGCGAAAAAGAGAAGGACCCATCTGCCCCGGCCCCCAAGGCAGCTAGCTGTGCCGTGTGATGGCCGTAGCTCGCACGATTGGGAGCTTTAAGATTTCCAACCCTGAGTTTCCAAAGGCGCCTGGACCCTTTAAAGTATCTTAAAGTATATCAAGCCAGCAGAACAACAAGTACACGACGTGAACGACATGAATGTAAAGCATGGTCCGCCCAAAAGTGACTTCCTCGACACGAGGCGATCAAAGCCCAGGTGCCTTGGGAGGCTATAGCTCAATCAATGACATCCTTTTGGGGGATGATGATGATAGAGGAATCAGTTTGGTACCGGTTGTGCACTTGAGGATGATCCGGGCATCTCCTCCATCAACCGACCAATAGCAAAAGGCAATCTATAAAATAGATTCCGTGCTCCGAGTCACCGTTGGCCAGCTGCACCCTGAGGTCGTAATAGGATTCGTAGCTGCAGGCGGCCAAAATGAGTCCTTTGGGGCAAAGGTGAAGGCCCCAATATGCCCCAATTCTTGTTGACTTGAAAACAATTCCTATTCAAAGATCGGCCCGATATGGCCCGCCCCTTGTCCTGAGCTTGGCACATCCAAGCGATGCAAAAAGCCAAAGGTGGCCCTGGCGTCCTGGAAGATGGGTCGTGGACCTGGGAGTCAGCTCAGTGGACAACAAAGAGACCAAACACCAAAATGGAGGTCACCAGGGAAGCAAGTAGCAAGTCTTGCACACTAGTCTTAAACCATCTTAAACCCGCCAAGTTCACCGAGGAGGACTTTAGGGTGTCAGGATGCTTCAGAGGTTTATCTTGTTGCCTTTGATTCTACGCGGGGCAAAGTGACGCGGCGATCATCTATCATACGCAGTCGTGTGCAGCAAACTCCACGGTCAAAGCTTCCCAGCAGTCACCACACAAATCAAGATCCAAGACCCAGTTGGCTCTTTTACAGTACTGTACTTCTTCGGATCACATAGCTACTGTAGATGATGTCAACTTGTGTGGATGTGGGTGTATCTGGAGAGGAAAACCAACGTCAACAGCCATCCGACACGGCGAATAGCCCGAGGACGGAGCCATCAGGACGTCAATAGCCCGAGGCGCCCAGGATGCGGATCAAGAACGCACAAAGGCTCGAAGATCCGCTCCTCAGCTCTTCCATCTCAAATCAGCCGGTGCGACCAAACAAGCCTGGTGGGGACAAAGTCAAGGCCAGTGCGAAACCCAACACGAGGAATGGCTGGAAAAAGAGCAACGTTTGGCCTTAACAACAAGAAGCTACTAGTAACAAATGGCATTTCTACTAGGAGCAAGGACGCTACTAGTAGCTCCTGGCCTTACTACTAGGAGCAAGAAGCTACTAGTAACAAAGGGCATCGCTACTAGTAGCTAGCTCTAAGTTCGCCACCGCCGACCCGACGATCGCACCGGGCTCTCACGAAAAGACCACGAACGATCCCGTCGGATCTTCCACTTCCACACGGCAAGGGGCGGGTTTTCCACTTCCCAGCCGCTCGGCTTAAAGATCATCAGCTTTTCGTCGAAGTGGAGGGCTTCCGGAGGGTCCCTTGGAACCCAAATCCGTCCACAGTCTCGATCTTGTACCCTCATGGGCGCCTGGCGAAGCATATGCCGTGAGCAACCTGGTTGGTACGCAGTTCGGAAGCCAGCCTCCTGCACCGCTGAAGGCTGCGAGGTCTCCTGAAGGCTGCGAGGTCTCCATGAGCATTGACGTCACTAAGGAGCTATGACCATCTGCCATCTTGAGGTAGACCTTTAGAGGGTGTTTGAGAACTTGTTTTCTGGTTGGCATCCTCAACCAAATTGGGCAAAGTGATAAATTCATGCTAAAACCAAAGACCTGGCACGCGAAGACCTGTGCGCGACATCTTAGACCTGCAAAGGCCTACAATACCATTGTGACATAACACAGATGACTCAACTGTGACCTCTCTGGCTGAAAAATAGGATCTCCAAATATCTCTCTCCTAAAATCTAAATCCTGCTGGTGCTGTTGGTTCCTCGGTCGTCTTTTTGGTTGCCCATAGACACTTATTTCTTCCAATTGTTTCAATCCTGAAGGGCCTGAAGGGGCAGAAACTCGAGCTCTGCAGAACGAATCCATTCATCCATTGGGAGTCTGAAGCGTTCATAAGGCTTGTCCATGTTCCCCCTTTTTCCCCTTTCTGGTGCCCCAACCTCCGCTTGCCAGCCCAGCGGCCCCATCCATCCAGCGGCTGCCCCACAGCATCGCCCTCCGGACTGCAGCGCGGAAGCGGGGCCAGACCAGGCCACTGAAGTCTGCAGCCCAAAGGCTCCCCAGCACGGGATCACACAAGTGTTGCCTGGCGTTCAGAGTTGGGGGAGTCCTCCTGCGAGTTTAAAGCCCAAGATGGAAGAAGGGCAAGTGTCTTGAACACTCCTAGACTCCTAAGTGGACATTTAACATTGACAAGGATTGATTGACTCTGCAAGATCGGGTCGGACCACCAGTCTCACTCACCGTGTCTCACTGTTCAAACGACCATCACATGGCTTGGGCAACTCCATGCAACTCCCGAAACAGACCGAAACTGCTCGTGTCGTGTGGATGGCCATCAGCTCAAGCAAGCAACCATTCGGTCACATCGAAGTGGGTGGACTCGCCCAGGAGCTCCAAACGATGAGTCCATTCATCTTGGACAGCAAGGATCACCTGATTTGTAGTGGGGGATGGGTTTTCCTTTGCCAACGCAACGTGTTTCCCTGTTAATTACAATAAACAAAAACATAAATTAATAAATACATATATATATATACATATCCCGAACATGCTAGGAGTCCTGGTGCATCAACAGAATATGGCTCTTGATGGGTGCTCGCCCTTGGTGGATGGTGTGGCCCAGGGGCCTGCAGGAGTGCATGGCAGTTCACGGGTGGACGTGCCAACTTGGACGTGACGGACGTGATCCGGACGTGATCCTGACGCCCGGTGATCGATGATCTTGAGCAGAGTTTAGGGTTTTAGGGTTGGAGGGAACATATCACCAATCATCGCAAGTCACTACAACTTCGAAGCAAGGACTCTGGGCAAATTGACAATAGAAACATTGCCTCTGCAAAGTAACATCAGTCACGACTGACCGCAAACCGAACAACATTGCAAGAATACGTTCAGTTACTGGCTGCGCCCTGATGACCAATGCCAGAGTAAGCATTTGAACTATGCCTCTTTCTGCTGGGCCTAATTGGTTTAGTAACTAGAGCCGTGTTAAATCTTGAGTCGCGACCTTCCAACATACCAGGATCTCTAGAAACATTTCTGTCTGAAGCACTGAAGCCCAGAGTCCTTCTCCCCTTCTCCCCAAGCGAAACTGTCCCCGACCTCGGGCGAAACAGCACACTGGGCACCGCCCCAGGCAGTGAGAAGCAGCTCACGAGAGGTGAAGTCCGCCAGAGAAGATGTTGAACTGGCACCCACCGGTAGCTGCAAGACGGTAGCTGCAAGACTGTAGCTCCGCGTTCAGTGATCATTCACATATATCATATGAATCATATGTCATATATATATATAATACATTTCTATATATTGTGCGTGTCCGAGTGTCCCATCAAATTACCAGCATCTACCAGCTAACTGTCATTGAATTGTTATCATTTTTTTGAGAAAGGCCTTCACTATCATACCTACGTACTTACGTACATCCATGAGTAAAATGCCTATATATTTATGATACACATCCAAACATGAACTTTTATGAATGTACCACCCTGACGATTGTTCTATATGATTTCTCACGTTTGTTTTCAGTCCGCCCTGACAAGCGTGATGGCGCCAGGACAGCACTCATCTCAATTGCTACCAATGAATCAGTGTCAATAAGCTTCAGCCCCTAGACTCTATTGCTCAATCTTGTTGATGACATCAGGATAGCTCTGCCTTCCCTGGAACAAAGATGGTTCCGTGGAGTTCCGCCCCTGTTGGGTATTCGGAAAATGGTGCAAACCAGGGGCCATCACTTCCATGTTTGTGCCAGGCAGGGTAAATCATGGTAAATCCACACCGAGCGTCAGCTTCACTAGGCGCGAGGAAGGGCGCCCAAGCACCCCCAGCATGGCTAAGGACCAGCAAATCTTCCAAAGATCCTTTGGAGCCCAGCCATCCAATGCCTCGAAGGGCAGCCGGTCACCCCGAACTCGGTCGGATCCCGAACTCGGTCATGACCCGGCCGGCGGGAAAAAAGAACTTGGCCCATGCGGCCTGATTCAAACATGTTCCAAACTTTGCATCTTGCAATCCATGATAGGTACCAAAGGTGCTTGCTGACTTGCTGCTTGGTTCCCGCGCATTCAGAAGAGGTAAACACACACACAAAAAAGAAAAAGCACCAAGGTCACAGATTGTGGGCATCCCCAAGGTCGAAATTAGTTTCTTCATTGATGGTTGTAACATATTGTGACTCATGATGTCACCCGATATCACCCGATGCTTGAATGTATGAGGTGCATCAATCCACCCTTTAAGGGCGAATGCGGAGTACACTCTGTCACATATGCAGGAGAACACTCCTCCATGGTCAGTCCTCTTAGCCTTCTGGGATGTATCTGGGATGTAGAGGCCAATGCTCCATCACAAGCTTAGTCTGGTTGGTGGTTTCAACTCGCTTGAGAAACGCTAGTCTGCGGGCTGAAACATCGCATGTACAGTATAGAAAAAGGTTGATAATAAACATATACTATATATGAAAACCACTACCCAGTACTGTACTTCACTTCATGTTCCATGTCCATCTCAAAGATCTCAGGGTTCTGATATCTATCTCAGAACTTCAGAACTCTTGACCTAAAGTTCTAAAGTAAAGTCTACTATGGTGGCCGCCCAGGCCAACCTCCGTCTCAACCATCACTTGTCGGGTTGAGCTGTGTGTGTGTGTGGCTTTGCCGCCCAAACGTTCTGAGAAGCCCCTTTCCGTGCCTCCACGACGGCGGCATGAAGGACCTCTGGCTCGTCCACCTTCGCTGCGTGGCGGTGCCCGTCCAGGTTCGTCCAATGAAGTGCTCGATGCCGAGAGCCGTGGGCCCCGAAGGGGAGCGACACTCCCTGGACGAAGATGGTTACGTGGAATGGCATGGTCCCCAGAAGGAAGACCAGGTCCCAACTACCAAACAAAGGGTTTTCCCAGCTTTTCACTTCCATGTTAGTTCCAGGGAGTGTATATCCCAGGCTCACCGCTAAGCCGTCTAGAAACCAACAGTCTGGCCTAAGTGTGGAGCTCTAAAGCCACAGGTCTGCCATGTGAATGACTCAGGAATGTTGAGGAGCCTTCCAGCCTTCTTGCATTATGCAACTCACGTGTCTAGATTCCACATCCATCAAATACCTAGCCTGTAGATTCCTCCATTGGCTCGCCAGCATTCACTGTCCGCCACGTGGACTTCCCCCTTTGGTTCCACCCAAAAGCCCGGCCTCCAACCTGGCGAGCGCCCACAGGAACGAGGCGGCTGAGCGCCCTCCGCTGCGTCCGCTGTGTTGGGTCTCGGAGTTCAGGAGGAGGTGCAATGCCTGAATTCGTTGGTCAGCGGCCTCACAGGTGCTCATGACCGCGTTGCAGGAGATCTCCTCACAGAAGGCAGCTGGTGTGAAGTTTTTAGATTTTTGGACAGAAACGTCAACATGATACCGCCTGATTTTGTGGTAGGTCAGGGTGAGAGGTCAATGATTTGAGCAACTGACTGACGGGTCCCGTTTGAAAGATGCTCGGGAGCGGGTGGAGGGGCAGCACACTCTTTGTCTTATTCTGTGGGTATGGGTGGCAATGGGATGCAATGGGTGGTGTTACAGGGCAAAGGTCAGAACCCACTGGGACCTTTGAGATCTAAGATGATGTAAGGAGTCTAAGAGGCCAAAGACCATTGGGGAACTGCACGTGGCGATTCCTGGGATTTGGTGATCCGATGTTGCTACATTAAAAAGAAGAACTTTCATGGTCCCAAGCTTCACTCCTGATGGCGGATGAGCATTCCCAAACTCGGGTAGTTTGTGGTTGGGGGTCACACCGAGACCTGGGGAGCAGGCGGTCTGACTCAGAAAAGAGTTGCAAAGGAACTGTTTCTTATAGTGGGTAATTACACGACCGTCGGAAAAGCGGGATAACTCACAGTAGATTAGCTGATTCGCATAATACATACATTTAGAGAAGCTCTATGGCATTGTGGTGGAGCTAGCGGCTCCGCCAAATGTTAGTGAGAGAAGCGTGAATTTGGCCAGCTACAGGACAGAATCCAACATAGTCCCCCCATGGGAAATGGGAAATGTCTATTTTTGTATGCACCTATTTTCATGATATTATGAGTTATGAGTCATGAGTGTCTCCAATTCTGATTCGCGCAGCCAATGGCTTTCAACTGGGCCTCCATTTGGAGGTTCCTTCTCTTTGAAAACCCACCCGGAACCCATCATCGACAGTATGCCACGTGTCATCAACAGGCACTTGCTCGTTCTCCATGACCTCCAGTAAGTTCAAGGCCCAAATCCATTGACTTCCCTTTTCGCAGGCGCTCAAGGCTGCTCCGTAGCAGATCTCATTGGCCTCCACAGAAGCGGACGGCATCATCCAGAGAAGCTGAAGAGCACGCTGCCACTGCCCAGCTCCTGGCCAGTTGACCCCCCAAGTTAGGCGAGAAAAGAGGTCCGACTTGAGGGAAACTAGAGGTTGATTTGGTACCAGTGACCCATTGGTGGCACCTTAGGGGACATCCCCTCTATTAATCAACCAAGCCATCCCAGTGGATCCCAGTTACCACCACATAAGGAACCAGGACATCTAGGTCTATGGTGTTGGTCTTTGGAACCACTGGTTATCAGCTATAGTGAGAAGCCATCCATGTCACCGGGATCCACCAGGCTTTTTTGGTAGCGAGGAACGACTCCATGGACGCTGAAATCAGCGTCCAGAACATGCCTTGCCTGCATCTGAGGACCTGGGAATATCATGGAACATTTACTCGTTTGGGTTCCTTTGCGGCTAAGGCTGCTGAGGCCCCAAACAAGGAATTGCGGTGTAAAAATGGTCTCCTTCACAAGCGCAAGCGCTGATTGCAGCTGAAAAGGACACCACATCCTGAGCAAACTTGGAATCATTCTCCAGGCATGACATGCACCAAACCTATGCCAACAGGATACGACCACGCACCTGGTCATCGATCAACTCTGACCAAGCCGAGACAAGGGACCTAATTAGTTCAAACCCAGCTGGTGAAATCCTTCCATCGGTGAACTCGTTAGAACACCCAAGAGAACAAATCATCCGAGTGAAACACCGAGCACTCGGAGCACTTGGGACCGAACCAACAACTGAAGTTCGCATGTTGGGGGCGAAACTGCATGTTCATCCAGACCAGATCCCTTCGGTGATCCACATGCTCGACCCATTTCCAACAGCACAAAACCCAGGTGAACTGCTACAGAGGGCTTCAGCGATTCTCACACACCTGATGGTCCAAGCTCCAATCTTCCCTGGACATCTTGCTGAGTGTCAGGCTGTCCTATCTGCTCGAAGAAGTCCAGTGCGTGGCTCCAGGACCCAGTTCCTAAGGCCTCATTGGCAAAACCTGTCGAGCAACCTGTGGTTTGAAAGAGCATGTTGGTTGGTTCCAAACCAAAGAGAAATACCAGCCCACGCTGCCGCCACGTCCATAGAAGATTCCAAACAACCTGTGGTAAAAGACGTCGATGTAACGCTGTTTGGGGGAACTCTCTCCCTGTTTTCTGGAGAGATATCTGTGGGACTCTTCTGTTGCCTGTTTGACACGTCCATCAATGTCATGAATCCTGACAATGCGAGTGTTGGGTCAAAGACACAGACCTGAAATCAAAGACAAAGACCTGAAACATGGCACCCAAGCAGAATTGAACGTCCCATGGTTTATTGCGTCCATAGTCTCATGGTTTTTGGAGTCCGACGCGGTCTTCATACAGAGACCAGCAAATAGTGGAGGTGACACCTTGACAAAGTCTCCCTGCTTTCAGGACACCTACGCTAGTTAGTCTCTTCATAGATCTGCTTTCATTTGCATGATCAAGAAACTTCTGTGCAGAGCCATCGGTGGCAACCTACGAAACTCCCATTGGGAATTGAAATGATCGCAGCAACACCTTCCATTGGAAGTGGACCGGGTCTTTCCTTCGCACAGGCCAATGGCCCATCACCCATCCAAAAAAGTATCAAAGTGAGTCTCCTTACACGTCCTTGTTCCTAGTAGCGATGCCAGGAGCCCCTAGTAGCGTCCTTGCTCCTAGTAGTAGGGCCAGGAGCCCCTAGTAGCGTCCTTGCTCCTAGTAACTAGTAGTAAGGCCAGGAGCCCCTAGTAGCTTCTAACAGACTGTATGGACCACTCCCTTTCCAAAGAAAACTCGCCCCCCTTTCGTCTTTTTTCGAGACCGAGCTGCTGTGAGGAATGCGTTCTGGGTGGCGAGACTTGGGCGAACTACCCTTTGCTTCATCTCTGACAGAAGAAGGACAGCTGAGCCCCACCTCGTGAGAAACCGGTGCCACCGACAGAGCATGAACAAACGCCATGGCCCTATGATGTCTTCTTGGGCCCAACTGAAGCTCCAAATGCCCCAGTGAAAGGCAAAGGAAAAGAATACCCTTAAGATCCCTTAAGCAACACATCCGACAGCATCTCCATTCCGTAAAGACTAAAGAGGGTTGTGTCCCGCAACACCTGACGTGGCGGTCTGGATGCCAAACACTGCCCGCCTGCCAGTATGCCCGCAGGCGCTGATCGCGGCGCTGTAGGTGACGTCATTTGGGGTCAGGTTCAGTAGCAGCCTAAGCGTGTCTCATCGTTGTTGGCCGAAACGCTTCAATGGAAATGGACTGCGAACCCTCTACCTAGGCAAACTTTACATGTCAGATATGGACCTCAGCTCTGTACCACTGTAGTTCACAACCAAAATAGCTTGTAAATGGACATTTGCCCGTCAAAATCTATTATCTAGGCTTTCTTCAGTGTCGAAGTGTCAAGACATGTCAAGACACGTGAGGCCGAAAAGGAGGTGCCTCGACGAGATCTGAAGATCCTACACAATGCCACATCGGAATTATGTTTAATACGTGTTTGATTTGTTTGATCCTACAGCATCTACACGTCGGTCAAGAAGAACATTCTCTGCACAAAGCGGAGTCACGTCGTGAACATCGGATGCGTCCTTCATCAATCCGGTCCTCTCAAGGTATTTAAGGCGAACTGCCATTGGACAGCCTCCATGTATTCGACCCAAACCTCTTCTCAACAATCACGTTGTCTACCACTTCTTTGCTGTGTCAGTGTGTAGGCCCAGCATGTCCCAGCCAACCTCATGACATGTCAAACTAGTGGCACCTCTTTTGCGCCAAGAAGCATCGTATCCAGCAGGTGGAGTGCGTCTTGCCAGCGGCCACACTTTTGACAGGCACTGATCGCGGAGCTAAAGCTGAACTCTTCGAATGGCACCTCAGTCCAAGCAAAGCAACCAGCCCCTCGCACTGCAAAGCACCAGCTCGGAGGCTTTGGGCTACCCATTAGGAAGCTCTCACTGACCTTTCATCATGTTGAGGGCCATCTTCTTGGTTCAGCCAGCGAGTTCTGCAAGTCTCCGCGCATGACAAGGGACCGGGCCACGGAACTGCCCAAACGGTTGGTCGCCTGGGACATTGGAACCACATGTTCGGCTCGTGCCATGAGCTTTTTGGTGGGTCCAGGTACCGAATGCTCCTGGCCCCTACGGAGCCACAAATGAACCAATTCCGCTTGACCACACCTGCGCAACAGCCTGCACACACCTGCAGGGGAGCAGCTTGGCAGCTACCTCTGAGACTTCTGCCAGGAGACTTTCAAGGATTTCATCAGCTTCCTGAAGGAAGAAGGAAGCAATCCAGGCGTACCGTTTTATTCTTCAACTCTTCTTACTGACTAGCCATGCGACTCTTTGCCAGGTGCGATCCAACCCACTATGATTCGGCTCGCTCAGTTTGACCAAAGGGCTTTGGGGATCCAAAACCTTGGGTGCGGAGGCCGAGGATGCCCACATGTTCATGACCGAGGATGCCCCGTTCCCAGTGCGAGTCACTGTTATTACATTCCACCGGTGGGGCAGGGAAACACAATGGAGCTCAGGAAACGTAGCTCCACACGTCCAGGTTAGAAAGACAAGCTGCCAGGGAGTGGAACACCACCTAGTAAGCAAAAGTAAACTCAAGGATACTCAAGGTAGCTTGGCTTGGTTAGGTTTAAAAGTTCAGTGTCACCAGATCTGCACCACTTGTAAATCATAATGCTAGCTGGGTGGTTGTGTCCCTGACAAATCGCCTGCCTACCGGGTTGCCAAAGGTTGAGCAGCATCACTATATATATCAAACCGAGTTGAATCTGCCCCCGCTCAGAGCTCAAGCCACTCAAACCGCCCTACCCTATCATATTCCTATCATGCCCCCACTCTATCTCCAATCCTCCAAACTCTTCCAAGTGTCAAAACCTCCAAGGCCACTTGCCATTGCCTCCCCTTCTCACACGCACTAATCAAACTACTGCAGCTCACTGCATTTGCCCCGATCTGGCTCTGCAGCATGGCTCCAAAGAGTAACATTGCCTCCAGCGGAGCGATGGACACGAGAACCAGGAAAGCCGCCACAGGCACACCCGCGCCCCAGGCGCGATGTAGGAACGGCCCACTAGGAATTCGGTTCCATCGCCATTCTGGAGGAAAACAACAAATCCATGGTGGAGAGGTGAAACGATGGGACTCTCCACACTCTCTGAGGCTCTCCCCGTTTTTCTCCCGAGCTTTGAGGCTCTCAAGGACCGCAGGTCAGCGAGGAAACGACTAGGTGAACCTGGCCTTCTCCCAGTGTTCACCGCATGCGCTGATGGCTGTGCTGAAGCTGAAAGCGTCTGGAAGCAACCTGAGGAAGGATGTGGACGGAGGCAGATGGTGGACGGATCATGATTGCTGGACCTACCAGGTGTCCCTGCCGCTCAAAAGGAACCCAAAGGAACTGAGAAAGTCATACCTCAGGTAGAAGAAAACAAGGCCAAGAACCACCAGCTGATCGGTCAACTCTCGTGGTTTCTAGCTGAGTGTCCGTATTCCTGGCTTGAAGAAAGAGACCTCTCCTTTTTGACCAGCTTTTTGGTGCCTCTGAGAGCAGACCAAGCTGACCCAAAGAAGGCCGATCTTGAGACCCCATGTGGTTTTCCAGTTCGGAGGCCCTGGACTTGGGGGATGTGAAGTTTTGGGCTCCAATTGACGCATAAAGACCTGACACCAACATAGGAAGGGCTGTGAAGACGACAAGTTCTCTGGCACCAATTCATCGAAATGATTTTGACATGTTAATTGTGTTCATGGACCAATGCATCGACCATGAAAAACCTTGAAATGAGTTAACTAAACCACCAGTGGATCATGTTGCCTTCTTTGGAACGTTTTTATCGTCAATTGTATATATAATTGGCTTTCGGGCTCCCTGGCTCTTGCGCAACCCAAAGAAGTATCATCCATGCCATGCATCACCATGCATGGACGGACACTGGCATATGGCCCGAGTAACTGCTGAGTGTACATCATGCTCAAAATGTCCAAGGCTGCCTCCCATTGCAGGCCTCACACGGGACTGGCCGGCTGGACGGTTGGAAACAGTCGAAGAAACCTGAGAGAGAGAGAGAGAGAGAACCATGCACTTCAAAAGGCCTCTGATGTTCCATGAGTTATTGTTTGTCACACTTAGTGCACAAACCTCCTCCTTGAGGCCCCTGCATGGCCTGCAACGAACGAATGTCGCCAAATATACAACTCAGGATGCCAGTGGCAATAGTCATCATCATCATATTTTTGCTCTTTGAAACACCTGGCCACATCCTGGCCTCTTTGGCAGGCGCGAATGGCAGAGCTATAGGAGATAGCGTCAGGAGACACCTCGCTCGGTGACTCTGCCATCTCTGGCTCCAAGCTTGAGCCACCGGGACGACCCGTCCAGCGGTCGCTTGGTGTGACACATTCCTAGTTTACACAACTGACATGCAACCACCCCAATGCGATTGTTCTTGCTGCCATCCAATTCTGGAAAACACCCAGATCGTCGAAAACTCTCCGGCATCTTCACCCTGGTCTTACCAAACAGCTGGCACCGTCTGGACGATAGCTCATGGGCGGTTCCTTGAAATGAAGGGAACATCGTCCATTCCAGTCCCCGTGCATACCCGGAAGCTAGCTCAACTAGTTCATGGAGGATGGTTTTCACTACGGCCCCTAGACTCACAGCTCAGAGTCCATGAAGGCTCACCCCTAACCGTTCTCTCCTGGAGTTACCCCTCGCAAGACCATGTCCCTAAGAATCTTATATCGGATAGACCACCAATGAGAACACTGCACATGCCAAAAGACCTCCAATCATGCTTCCCCTTCCAAAAAAACACCGGCATTTCCGGACGGAAGATTTGGACCACGATGGGGGTGTTGTGAACTCTTCCATTCTGCTACACCCACGACACCCTGACACAAGGTTTGATGGAAGAAATCGCATCCCAGGTGCAAAACCCGTCCCTGGGGAGTCCAGTGCCATTTTAGGTGACCCTAGGGCAAAATGTGTAGTTTTTCGACTTCTAGATTCTAGGGCTTCTACTTCTTCGTCCTTCTTTGTGCGAAGACAGTGGCTGGAGACAGCTGGGGAAGAACAACAGCCCACGGTTGACCTTCACTTGCGTAGGCAAAGAAGCCGCACGTGCCAGACAAGCAGTCCGACCATGTCCTAGCTGCGCATTATCTTCTTCAAGTCACGTGTGCGACGTGCATCTCCCGGAGCATGTCCAGGGAGATGAACCAATGCCGACTGGAACCACATGCAGTCATAGCTGCACTAAAGCTGATCTGGTCTGGAACGAGTGCCTGGCGGGTTCAACGCTGGGTCCGAGTGCCTCGGGCCCCCCAGCAGTCGAGTCCTTTAGATCAAAAAGAGGGACCTAGAGAGGCTAGGTCCTAGGTCGACTAGGTCCAACCCAACCTAAAAACACCTCAAGCGGAAAACGCACACACACATGTATGTATTTTTGAGTTTCGGGAAGGACCCTCTCCCCCTACGACAAATATACCTCAAGAACTTGTGACAAAGCTCCGATCGTACTTGGGTTGACATGAGCTGCCCCTCATTTGCAGGTGACACTGTGAACTTCTGCGGTGATAGTTTACTGCTGTGAACTTCTCCTCAATTACTTGGTAATCATTACGTTGTTTCGAAATTTGTATAAGTGTTTATTAACCGCATCTACAAATGCTTGCGCCAACCGCACCTCTACTTGCACAGAAGTGCCTTGCAAGAGCCCTTCACCACATTGGAAAGACAAACACTGAGGTGCACCGCACCACATTGGTGACTACATCGAAGCCTATTGGTTGGGTATATCCCAGGGCCCGCAGGGCCCAGTGGATGATGCTGAGTCAGGCCGTTCCATCTCTAGTTGATGTGCTCGTTGACCGACTGTTACAGGATTTTCTAGGATGGTTCCCCCAAAGGTGCGATTCTGATCGCCCATGTTTTCGTGGCGTGCAGTGAAAAAGAAACAGTTGGCCAAACCCAAAGGATTGGAGTCGTCCCCCAATGAAACCGCGCATTGAGAACTTTGTGCATGAAACCATGTACCTATTGGTTGTGCTCACTTTTGCCAATGTGCCCCCCCCCCCCAAACCTCCACAAGTGTCCACCTTTTGGGACGCCTGTGCAGGGCCGCGCCTGCGCAGGCATGCTGGCCAACATCGCCAGCGCGACCTGCCAGGCATTCTCAACGGCTGTGATGGCGGCATTGAGGGAGATGAGGGTCAGGGGCCTCAGGGCAGAAGGCACTTGGACAGAAGGCCGGGCTGAAAGAGATCGGAAAAGGAAGCTGTGTGGCCACTGTGTGGCCAGCAGCACAGGTTGGACATGGACAAGAGTGAAGATGCTATGAGATACTTGCGTCACATTCTCAAGGAAACGCATTACTGTCGGGGTACCAAGGCTTAGCGGCTAAGGGAGCATTCAGGGATACAAACCACAAGTCATGATCAAAACGCAATGAAACAAAGCGACACCTTCAAACAAATGAAACCGCATCAAAGAAAGACAAACACCTGCAAACCTTCCCACTACCCAGCAACAGCCAGTCTTGATTCTTGGATTTGAGATGATTCTCAAGCAAGCAAACGGTCCTCCATGATTTTGTGCACAACACGCGATGTACATGCATGCAAACACACATCACAAAAGTTATAATGTAGCAAACACTCTCCCAAGAGCCCGGGGGGGTTCATCTTTATGCGTATCCAATTTTGCGGGCGCGTGTTATTGCCCTGACGCAACGACCTGGTGATCCTGGCTTTCAGACTCAACTCTTGTGGGAGCAGTATATAGTTAAGATAGCTCAGCAAATCTCAGACAAACCCTCTCTTGCCCGCCAGTTTCCTCCTCACAGGGCTGGATTGCGTAGCGACTTCATCTATTCGACTTGTCCATCAGGTCGCCCCACCGAGACCGGACGAGGCTCACAGCGCACGTGGTGGCCGCCTGCAACAGGTCTTGTGCACAGCGCCAGGGTGCTGCACGACTTGCGCCTGAGTGTCGCAATGCGACTTCGGTCAAATTTATGTATTTTTTCAATATGTTTCAGGCGACTGGTCAAAAATTCCTACACCCGCAACTGCCAGGCTGGGACCTCAGCATGTCAGTAGAGACCCCAAGGGTTGGGGTCTGAGATGCAAATCTTACAGCCACGGCTTCCCGGCTTCCCACAAACGTCAGACCTTGAAGTTTAGGAGTTGGTGATGAAGGGGGGTCCAGGTCAAACCGAGTGTGACATGATTGTCTTTCATGCAGACTGTGGACTAATATAGTTAAATCCCATCTCATCCCCCGAGGACTGCAGGATGTTAACCCATCCTGGAGACCAGGGAGGTTTGATTCATCCACCATCTACCAGAGTTCCTCCAAACCGCGTCGACCGTGAAGGCTGGTGCGGTAAGAGGCGGGCCGAATCCGAAGAGAAATGGCAACGCCCCGTCGGTTGAAGGAACATACTCACATATGCTCACAATATCAGTAAACGCAGCTGCAGCTGGGTGGATATGGTGGATGAGAATTTGTTGGACAGTCTTTTACTCTATAAACATGTTGGGAGACCACACTTCTGACTCTTGTGCTGTTGGGAGACCACCCCCCCCCTTTTGAAGCAAGCCACTGATGGCAGCACCAAAGGAAATGTCTGTGTATCCGACCCTGGCCAATGGCATATCGGCCAGCACGCCCAGTGCCCACAGCCATTGCTGCCCCTTTCCAAGGCATGCGATGGCCGCGTTGAAGTTCGCAGACTCTGGCATGGACCGCTCCAGCACAGCAGGGGCCAATTGCCAAACGGCACGCTTGGCTGCATCCTTGATGATACCGTTGCTCAGAAATCTGGAGTGGTTCAATTTGATGCTGAACTCATGCAAAGCTGCCGTCCAAGCACGCGGGGCAAGCTGTAGGCCCCCGTGCTCCGCGCGCGGACGACACATGCGAGAAATTCCGACGAACTTGAACTTGGAAAGAGCTGCGACGATCAAATATATGTGATCAAGTGGCTTCGCAATCGCTCAGCCGTGCTGATCCCTAAAGGTAACGAGAGCATGTTGATGCGCTTGAGTCTTACACATTTCACGCCTGGATTTACGGAAGACCTTTCGAGTCTCTTGCCTGAGCCTGCCACATAGCACTAACCAGAATAGCTGTTCCAACTCACCCAGTCACCTACATCAGTAACTCATAGGAACTCACTATGGACAATGAACGGGTCGGGACAGGCCTCTTCAAGCCCAAGTCTCCTGCAGCAAACGATGGCACCCCTGCGAGTGAGACTTATCATAGAGACATCTGCGTAGCAAACTCTAGCAAAATGCTGGCAACGCTTGAATAACGGTGCCATAATCTTTCCCACATGCAAGACCTCTAAAATTTATGCCCCTTGCCTACAAATGGCATGCAAATCAATCATGCAACGTGCCCTCCTTGTCGGGAGCGGGAGCTGAAAGCTGTAACATGTGACAGCTGCTGGTGAAGCAATCAATGAAACTGATGAAGGATGGATGACTGGAAGACTGTCAAAAAGCTGATCTTGACAACATCCAGGATGCACTATCACTAAACGCCTGCATCCGTTGCACCTTGTGTGAAGCATATTGCGGACTGTAGAACAGGATGCCCGCCACTCTAAGCATCACGTGGGGTCTCCATCATGTCTTTGATGTGAATCTGCGATGTGGTCGAGCAACTTGAGGACCTTCCAGGTATATGCATTATATAAACATATTCATCATTATATGCTTCTATTTAATCTCCCCGATCTTGAGCCAACCGGGCCAGCCGAAGTTGACAAAAAGAATCATGTCTTCCAATCGGAGCCGAGCTGCCAGCTGTACCGAGCTCAGGGCAACCCTGTACCAGCTGTACACGCATGGTTTTTCCCCAAATGAATCACCGGTTTTCAGAAGCTCACCATGCTCACCGGTGAACAGGTGCTGTTTTTCAGCTGCGAATCCAAACAGCATTGACCTGTCGAAAAAGGTAAGCAGCTACACCAGAACACCTGTTGCTCAGCAACCAGATTCACCTGACCCCCTGTTGGTAGTGGATCACATCCTGTTGGTAGTGGATCACATGAAAATTGTAATAATTGGAGGCCCTGCTTATGACCCTGTGATGCTGGGGTGACAGCAGTGCCCAAAGACTTCTTGCGGTTCTTTTGACCAAATCCTGTAGTCTGTCCAAATTCACAGGGAATGAGCCGCTCTTTGTCTCTTTCTCACTTGAAGTGCTGCTAGAGCTTATCTAACGACAGCACCGCATGGTCCGCATGGTCTACATCACATTCTCGTGAATAAGCAAATAGCAAACAGCACCTACAGTATGAGATCCTGCGAGTACGCTAATAGACAATAACATTTGAGAAATCAACTGGCTTGACAGCAGAACACCTTCGTCATTGAATTGATGTGCACATAACTGCATATATACATATTACTGATACATACTGCATATAATATATATATATAGCAAGAAGAAAAGAGAGGTAGATATACCGTCTCGAGCCTCGTGAACACATGCCACCCTTTTGTCTTGGGAGTTTGAGTCAGGCATGACGTGAATTGTTGATGACTTGGTGGGTAGTTGGCCAGCAAAATGCTCTGTAACTGCTTCCGGTTTTTGACATACGACCGGAGTGTCGCGTTCGGGTTAGGCGACCCCCCCGATCCGGCCAGTGGCCAGACCCTTCAGGTGGTAATCGCGTGATGTTTCATCGGTTCAAACGTGGGGGGTTCAATGACCTTCCTGCATATATAGATCAACAGTAGTGCCAATCACTGCGTGGGATATTTGTATATCATTGAGTGATTGTTGCTTGCACTTTGCTTTTCATCACTACCAAGGTCTGACAACTCCATACGACTTTTCTCAGTTGCCAATTGGACACACATGACAACATAACTTTACATTACATTACCGTACGCACATGCATATATGCGTATACATATGTTTTTAATATATGTTTATATAATTAGGTCTATCCTAACACCTGTAACAGTGGATGATGAGGCTCAAAAAAGGCCTTTTCCAAAAATAGTGATGATAATTGTTTACTGAGTTTACTGACTGTTACCGGTATATATATATAAATACGTTGCACCTTTCGCCCACGGTTTTCCCTCCTGACTGCGTCCTTTGAGAAACATGCTTAGTGGCATATTGCCAACAGGTTTCCAAACGCATCACCAAGCGTGTAAGCAAGAGAAACGCATGCTTGCAGAATGCCTTTGAGGGAATTAACTCGATCTCAAGCAGCTCCGTTACTGGCCATCGGAGTCTTTGTGAGAGGCTGGCATCATAAACCAACACTTGTGAATTGTCCGACAAGCGGTGTGGGTGGGGGAGGAAGTGCCCAAACATGCCGACACATGACACAAGCGACAAGCGACAACTCCGGAGTCCTGTCATATCAGGATCGTCTTTCCTTAGATCTCAATGTCGGGCTTTGGACACGAACATGCGTGGAAATGCATGCCTTCAAACCACACCTGACACGAATCGACTGCACAAATACAGTATGCAACCAGTGTTCTATACTTTGATATGATTTGATAGACCAGAAACATCAATTCCAGCACCTGTGGCCAACTTCCTTTTCTGAAGGCACCTGTCCTCCAGTGCCCGGTCCGCCGCTCTTTTGGCACAGGTCTGCTGGACTTTTTCCTTTCATGGCAAGCAGGTCTGCTAACCAGCCTTGATGGCGGGTGTCTTGGTGCGGAGGGTTCTTGTGAGCTCTTCCTGTACATATCTTTCCTCTGACGTGTCGGTGCCTCTCTCAGCCCCTTGCGATCAAGCTGCTTGCGCGCTCGAGGCGAATGCATGGCATGATGCTCGTGGTGGGTCGCTGCCCAAAGAAGAATGGCACACCTTGTTGAAGTAAAACCGTACACAATACAGGGATAGAGATTTCCTAGTTAGTTGGCCCAATCATAATCAAGCTATTATATATATAACGAGGAATTTGCTGCGCCTACTTTCGCCCAGTGCGGGATTGCCACACGTGACACCGAGTTCTTCCCGTTGTGGTGACTGACCAACAATCAATCCTCCAACCACCCCAGCACTCCCCCCGGAACATCCTCCCGCCTTCGACCACCGCCCGGAAAGGCAGTGTTTCCCATAGAATGTCAGACCAGCGGGAATATTCCTGCATGAGAAAGAGCGATGCAACTTGCGCTTTGTCTGCCAGAAGAATGAGCAATAATAGTTCAACATAGGAGAACCCTGACGGACGGATGCAACCTTTAGAAGCAACATTTGCAGGCAGTCTCATATTACAGGCCTAAAAACAATAAAACACACTTTCAGATGAGCTTTTTTGGGAGGCAATGCTAGCAGCTAGCAATACACTTCCGTTGCACAATTATAGCCGTTTCCATGGTCTATTCCGGTTGAGGAAAAAACCGACAGCACTTGAGATAAATGCTACACTCTTCACCGAACTCATTGGATATGTCTGCAAGAGGAGGACCTTCTGTGATCTTCTGTGTCTTGTTTCCACCTACCATGGCCACCCAATGGGTTTTGGGTGGACTGTCCTACACCGCATACACACATAAATAGTAAATATATATATATTATATTGTAAATATATAAATATAGCAACATAGTTCAACAGACTGAAGGGATCTCTAGCCAGGACACCCATCAATTGGATAATGCACCTATCTTGTGTCTTTGTTTGGTGAGGCCAAGTCTCATAGGCCCAAATGCCCAAGCTTAGCAAGCAGAACATCCCAGGCCCGCCATAGGGCTCCACCCAAATGCATCCACTCATTGTCAAAACCTGAGTGGTTACACTGCCTGGAACAAATCATGGAAGTGAAAGATTTCCAAATTAATAAAATGTTCTGAATACCAAGCTGGTGGAAAGCCCACTTCCATGTCAGTGACTCTAAGTGTAGCAACATGTTTTTTCTTTAAATGAGGGACTTGCTGAATGAGAGGCGACTTGCTGAATGAGAGGCTTCGGCAAGTTTTAGATTTTTCCAGACTCCTCAAGAAAACAAACCTGAGAGGCGTTGCACATCGTTGCACCATGTACAGTACTTTGAGAACCTGTTTCGAAGGCATTGCCTTGCACTGCAGGGGCCTGCAGTAAAGGACGCAGCTTCCCTACACGTCCCAGCACCGGACCCAGCCGTACCATGCCGTACCCCACGTCGTCGCCGCGGCACGAAGATCGGCAGGATGAGGTGAACATGACGCAGCTGCTGCGCCCAGAAGATGCCGCCCAGGTCCGGCTTCGGCAGCTCTGCGAAGACCAACAAGTAACCTGACCCAGCTGAGTTCATGTGGACACGCATAGCCCAACCAAACAGAGTTCCCCCGACAGCTACTGAAGGTGCGGGACAACCCCCTGGACCCTGTCAGGTCTTCTACCAGTGATTGACGTAGAGTCGGCGACTTTGGAAGTTAATCATGTTGGAGAAAAGTCGAAGTCGGCCACCCTTTTCTTTCACCGCTGGGACCTCCAGTAAACCCGAGTCGAAACAAAAGGAACACCACCGCCCCAACGAAGCCACGGACACGAGGATCCAACGAATACATGGTGGAGGGCATCAAACGGATGACCAGGTTCTGAGGATCCAACGGGTGCTTTTCGCATGGTTTTCACTCCATGGATCTGAAAACCGCTCCAAACTCAAGAGGCCCGATCACAAAACATACGAGGCAGCTGGGCGGCCCCCTGCCCCTTTTCCCCTCCCCTTCTGACAGTTGACCCGCAATGTTGAAGGAACTGACGACCCCGAAGATTCATGATGTTCATCCACAAATGCGCAGGTTCAAGGCATGTTGGACACCCAAAATCATAGCTAGCGACCTTCGCCTTGCAATGTCTCGTGGCAGCTTTCAACCTGAAAACCTGATTGGACAAACACTCTGTGTAGTGCATAGTGCCCATAAAAGGCCAAACACATGTTTTTGACCTGAGGATGATCGAAGAATTGTGCCAGGTTGCCGAAGACTAGGCGGTTGATGAGGAAGAAAAGGAACACCACCTACAGTAAACATGTATGAACATGACAACATGCTATGACCACCGTCAAACGTCCTGGGTGGAGGTTCTCAAGTGGTTGGACATCGAACATCTGGCGCTTCTTCACCCTGGGAATTCCAAAGCAAGAGCAAAACAACACTTATAAGATTCTTAAGACAAAGCTCGGATAGAGCCCAATGCAGTTCAGAAATGCATTGGCCCTGAAAACAAGACCAAATCCCAGGCCAACCTTTAGGTCTTCGGGCGTTCTGATGGAGCCTGAGATCAGACCTATTAGGCAAACAACTTGGCAGCCGGTCAGTTCTACGAGAGTGGTCTGTGGGGAATGCAGGTCGGCCGACCGGTCGGCCCAGAGCTAACCTTGCATCCCAAAAGCCTGGCTAAAGGCCGGAATCGTGCTGAGAAGGTAGGAATTCTAACAATAATGCGAGCTGAGCTGGTGGCAAACAAAGGCAAACAAATGCCAGCCGGAGTGCGATCAGGATGAAGGGCGACAGCAGGCTGAAGACCAAGCCTGAACATGTGGGTGATTGGTTTCAAATGTCCAAAAGCTCAGGGAAGTACTTCCAACGGGGTAGGGCGGTGTTGAAACTTCAGAGCTTCAATCAGCTGTTTGTTCGCCTCAAGGCCCCTTAAGACACCTCGTCAGAACCCGCCTAAGTTTGTGTCGTCGTAGCTCGGCGCGATTTGCATGTCCCAACCGTAACACATTATATTCTACTAATACACAGGCATATATAAGTATAATATATATATATATATATTTAATTGTTGGATTCATTCATCAGCATATCTATGTACAATCTATAGTGTACATTCAACCCACGCAGCATCCCACAACTTCATTGAATATCTTATCAACAAAAAGTCAGTGTCCTCGACGTTCGCCGTCGGACGGGCAGTGGCTCCGTCCCCCGCTCCGTCGGCAAGGCGCCGATCGCCAAAACCAGGCTCAAGCGAGCGCTTCGAGAGCCAACGCCTCCGGTGTCGCTCCGGTGTCGCTCCGGTGTCGACCGAAGGAACCGAAGGGAGTGGAGGCATCGGTTTGGGAGGTGTTGTAAGGGATGTTTGTGTGTTTCTGGTGGAATGCCTAGAGAGCAACACATGCTTGGAATTGTCCACACCCCAGACCCCAGCATAGATTGAAACAAAACCGTTCAAACCTTCACCACAACATACTGACATACCAAAACATATCCAAATTGATGGATTCCTGGATAGATTTTTCCAAGAAGAACTGACTGCTTGGAAATCCCGGGGTAAAATCCCAAGATCATGCAAGTGCACTCATCAAGATCAAATGCCTGTGTGTGTGCCAGCGTCTCTCTCACAGGCCGTGCCCCGATCTTTTCAATTGACCCAATGGCACCCGTAGCAACGTGCCCTTAGGTGACCCCATGCAATTATGCAAAAGTGTGATGCGCTACATCCTGCGCCTATGGTTTTGAGAGGCCAACACTCACAAACCTTGGAACCCTCAGCAGGTTGAAAAAACCACAATTTGCCGCAGGCCAGTGGCACCTGCAAAGCCAGTGCAACCCTTGGAAAACTGAAGGAATTGTTCACCAACCTGAATGCTTCTTTAAAAATCACACTTTGCACCTTCAAAACATCTACAAAACTACTTCACGCCTTTGACAGGTGCCCTACCTGCAGAATCCAAGAGCTGGGCGGTCAGTTTTCCAACGATGACTCAAGAAAACAAACCCGCAGGGTCTTACCGGTTTTGGATGGTTTTCGCGTGTTTTTCCCCTCTGCAGCGGTAAGTTGGGATAGTTCGGGCGCACCCATGGCTCAGAAACGATATAGAATCAACCTGTCCCCATGCCCTGCATCATGGATGTCGGCTGAGAGGCCGTAGTAGTCCTGGTCTTCCGGTTCGGACTTGTTCTTCGCGCGATCTTCATCACCTGGGGCGGTCTCCAGCGCAAGCAACAAGATCGGATTGAGGAGCCTTACCCAGAGGATTCCTGTCTGGGAGTTCTGCATAGTTCTGCTCAAGAATGTTCAGGAGCATCCTGCGCCAGTAGTGTAGGGTAGTCATGAGTAGTCAGGAACCCCCAGAATGTTGGATGGTCCTGGTAAGTATGATGTGCGTGTGCATGTACATCACTCCAGCCGCCTCTCCCTAAATGTAGACATACACATACGTATCATACTCACACATACATGTGTTCTTTACTTTATTTTACAATAGATGACACTGCGGTATATTACAAACATATGCATGCAAACATACACCATAACACACACATTTCCTTACTTTACATGAAATTGACACATGCATAATACATTAATGCATGCTAAACATTTCGGTACATGGCGTCATGGCGTTGTACATACATACAGGATACAAACAAGCACGTAAACATACATGCGTACAAACAAGCAAACAGGCGGGCATACATTCATACTCACACACATACACATGCATACACCCTTCACCAATTTGATACCATACCAAGCCATACCATACCTCACCATTGCGTTACATACTTGGCTGCTAGAGTCTGCTAGAGCCTCACGTGTCACATCCGCTTCAACGATGCTGTTCCAGTTGAACCGCAACGCAAAGCTATACAACCTAGAATCTCAAACGCCAGGGACACATGCGCAGTCAATGGCACAGTCTTCGCACCGGTGCCTACGCTTCTTCCACCACGACCGCAATCAGTGAAACAGCCTAGCGAGGTGGTGCCCCGCGTTGTCAGGATGCACAGAACTCCTTGGGCATCACAGCCCCCGATGCAAAATCTGCATACCTTTGGTTGAGGAAATCTCCACAAAGGTCGTCTCCTCCAAGGGCACATGTCTCACTCCCAGGTGTCTTCTCATGGAGAGTTCGTGCAAAAGCCACTGACTCGACAAGAAAGAAATAGCAATGTCTCACTCGTCTGATGCTCAACACGCCTCCAGTGTTAGGCGTTTCACACGCTGCAGGGTTCTTCGCATGGGAGGGGCGCTCATGTAAAGAAACATAAAGAAACTAGCCCCAAAGAAACACCTACATCTCATATCAGTCTGACTGAGGTTCAAACTTCAAACGCGCTTTGTTGCATGTTGTTCGACCATCTCCGCAGGCTTTGCACCTCGCTCTTCAAAGGTGGCTCTCCTGCAAAGTACGGAAATTGATGTCAAGAAGCTAGAAGAATGATGATGGATGTTTGGGTATACGCATATGATTTGTGGAGCAGCGGCAAGAGCGACAGCAAGAGCACCAGTAAGAGAAACAGCTAGAGCAGCAAGCCCAGCAGCAGGAGCAGCAAGAGCAGCCGGAAGAGAAACAGCAAGAGCAGCAGCAATAAAAGCAAGACTAGATGGAGCTTGGGTGTTGGTGCCGCTGCAGGGTGCCGCTGCCAGGTGCCTGGCCATGTGGGCGTTGGAGTTTGGGTGCTGATGCCGCAGCAGGGCGCCGCTGAAGGGTGCTGGCCGTGTACGCATTGGAGCCTGTGCGCTGGTGCAACTGCAGGGCGCGGCCAGATGTGTATGGTGGCGCAGCTGGGAAGTGCCGCTGCAGGGTGCTGCTGCCAAATGTTTATGGCAGTGTGGTGTGCGCTTTGGAGCATGCGATGGTGCCACTGTTGGTGCCGCTGCCATGGTGCTGCCCGCAAAGTCGTTGGTAGGTCAACATGCATACCTTTATGATGCAGGTCTATGGGCCACACAAACATCTGCAGCCGAAATAAACATCCGCTGGAGACGCAGGTAGAAACGCCCGTGGCTCCTCAATAATAAACGCTTGTCATTGTCGCTTGTGTCGTAGAATATCAGAAAAGTACGGAAACACCCGCAGACTCAAACATACGGCTGTGACTCCAAAATATGGTTTTCACGCTACAAAAAAAATCAAACACACTGACGAAGTTTCAGGCATCAATATTTATTGTATTATCATATATATTAGCAGCACAGACAAATGCCACAGGACAGGTCTGCACCGAAAACGAAATAACTTCAAAGTGTTGCCTGTTTGGAGATGTATTCTCACTGAAGGTGGTGAGTGACTCTGTGTGCCAAACATGTGCCGAGTCGCAAATCGTGTTCCATGCCAAGAACTTGACAAGGTTCTGATAGCGCAGGACATTCCTTGACCGAGCGAAAGGTGGGTGTCACACTTGCAGTTGGCTGTTGGGCTATAGGTTGGCAGTTGGCAAGAGTGGAGGGTCCACAAACAAACTCCCCTGAGCTACAGCGTCAGCTGTGTTTCAAGAAGAAGTTTGCAAGCGTCATCAAGCGACAAGCGCAATTCCGCAGGCTCGACTCGACCCAGTGCATTTCCTATACGACGTGGTCTATCTTCACACCAAGGCTCAGGACAGTCACGGACCACTGCAAAATGACGTAGTCCTGAGGCAGGGCTGCCCCCAGGCGAAACGATGGAGGAAGTGTTACAATGAGTTTCCGAACAGCCCGACCACTCGCCCTGAGACCCAAGATCAACAAGGAGATGCAAGGGAGCTCTGGTGTGGGTGGGGGTTTAAGCAGGGGTTGGAACATGTTAGAACCTCATGATCGTTACATTGCATCGGTGTGATGAGATATAAAACATTACAAGACTAGAACCTGAAATGAGAGAGAATCCAAGAAAACAACGCAATTTCATTGCCGTTCCTCCATTACATGATCGCATCGTACAACGTGTAGAGCGCTGATACGACCCCTAGCACTCGGAAACGTATCTTTGATATTTATGGGGGTGTGAGATGGTCTGTGGTTTGGGATTTGAGTGGTGCGCCAATTTGCAAACAGGAGCAACTACAAAAGGATACCAAACGCCAAAGCAACAATCTTGCTCAAAGCAAATGCCAGCTGTCGATGTAAAAGGTAGACGTATTTGGAAGGCTGCCTGCAAAGTCAAACCTGCCCAGCGGAGAGACAGCGTCTCGAGACCAGCCCATCATGTACAACGAAGAAGATTGCAATCACAAATTTGAGCAAGGGAGCGATTCAGCTTACAGCTGTGGCTGGGGTCATGAAACTTCAGCTAAACACATCTAAACACTCCCACTCAAAAAACCTTTCACAAAACACTCCAGCTGGCACAATCGAGCCAAGGGGGCAAAGCATGGAAGGATACAATATGTTTCAATATGTTATTGTCACCAGCTTTGCCCTGGAATCAACGACCTTCCCCAACCTGGCAGGGATCGCACGGACGCAGAGGGGGGAACATGACCCTTCGGAACAATATCTTCCCAACATGTCAGAGCCCATGCTTTGGTTTGGCAGGTCTCCCCCACCTCGTTTGGAAGATTTGTCACGCTTGATCCACTGAGTAATGTGAGCATGGCCAACACACAGTGCCTCTCAAAATCCTAAACTCTCCCACGTGAACCACCAACCAAGCGGGAAGCAAAAAAGGAACAGATCTACATGTTATCCCTGAGCTTGCAAAAGGCTTGGCAGTTCTTTCACACCCTTCCGTTGAGGAATGCTGTTGAGGAATGGTTTAAATAATAGGTGCAACATGACGTAAGAACAGCAAACACATTTGAGGAAATAACACTACGTCGTTGAGAAGAAAAGCGCCACATGCGTCGTTGATAGGTACAGTAAGAATATCAAACACATCAAACGGTTTGTGTTTCGAAACGGACCGGCGACCTGGGCAGTCCGCCCCGACTCGACGTTTAGACCCGACCGGTGCCGAGGAACAGCACACCCTTGGGTGAGGTCAAGACATCGTTGAAGCGTTGCCACAGAGAGGTCCCGACCGCCGTGACCAGCAACACGAAGATCACCTGCCGAAAAAGCAGCGACGTGACGCAGCGTGGCTGAACCACACGGTAGGTCTAAGGTACCTGGCGCATGGATTAAACATGGTCATTGCATAGCTGCCAGGCGACCTCAAGGGATGATTTACATGTATATTGTCATATATCTTCAGAAACCTGACAGAAGAAGGAAGGTGACTTCCTGGCCATCCCAAAATGACATCCTTGAACATCGACTGCTCATCTGTCTGTGAGGCCCTTCAATCAAGCAGCTCTGCTGCAGTGCACCCTTCATAGTGCTCTAAAAAGCGAACCATGCATGCCCTATGGAAAGGAGCCATTTGGTGCGGGCCCTGTATATGCTGTATATACCTTCTCCGAATTCGTTACCCTCTAGCAGAGCAAACGGGACTCATGTAGCTCCACGAGAAAACCGCGGTGCCACGCTCGTCTTGCACCGTGTTGCTTCACCTCTCACTTCCGCCATGGAGATTCAGCAGCGGGGACACGTCATGAGGTCAAAATGTCCCTCAAACTCATCCTGCCTGAAACCAATAGTACCACTCTTGCAAATAGAGCTGGCTCTCAGCCCGGGAGGTCAGCGTGAAGGTCTTATCAATGATGAAAGACAAAGTGGTGGGCAGGAAACTCATGAAGAGCGACAGCAAGAGGGTGGCAAAAATACCTGCGCGAACGAAGAAAGACGACCGGCCCTCATGAAGTGCCACGCCAGGTTGACAATTTACAGTATACTTACCCTAGCCTTCCAGATCCCAAGAGCATTAAAGAGTTCGGTTGACCTGGTTTTGCAGCCTAAAACCCTTGGTAAATCGATGGTGGTTGGAAGCCTGGGATTATTCATTTAATTCCAGGCCTTGTTGTCGAAGCAACATGACTGTCCAGTCCCTTCTTAGAGGAAGCGCACATGGCTGCCAGGACCATCGGGAGCACATGAAACCCATGTAGCTTTCCCGCACCCCGCACGGGGCCTTCAAGAAATGATTGGAGCCAGCTCGAGCTGGTGATAATCCTCGCCAGGTGTCGCACAGAATGAAGGAAGGGGGAACAAAAACCGGTCCTGCCAAGACTGACTGTGACCAATTCGCATGGCAAGGATCTCTTGTGGGTGGGAGGTTGGCAGAACCAGCTTCTGTTTGGTATTCTTCAATCTTTTTGATATGCTGCTCATGCCGCATACCCTACACAGTGGTGGAACCAGGTAGCTGGCCCGCCAGCACGTAACAAGGCCATAAAATCTTCGAGCCAAGATGAGCCAAGTACTGTAAGCTGTCCTACTCCCCATCGATGAAGCACGAGTGGTGGATTTTCAAACTCATGCCAAAATGGTCTTGAAATGCCCTTTGTTACTAGTGGCTTCTTGTTACCAGTAGTCAGGCCAGGAGCTACGTCGGCTACGCGTCCGATCGCTCAAGAACAGAGTCGCAATGCTCATCTGTGTAATTCAACATGTCGGCCTTTGGAGGGTCCGGCCCTGATGTGGCACTTGTTTCTATTAGCTTATTGTTACTACTAGTAAGGCACTTGTTACTAGAAGCGATGCACTTGTTTCTACTAGCTTATTGTTACTACTAGTAAGGCACTTGTTTCTACTAGCTTATTGTTCGGCCTTTGGAGGGTTCGAGGCCCTGATGTTTTCATCCGGAAAAAGCGTCTGTTTGATGAAGGCCATCTGCTCCAAGTTCTCCAGATTCACGATGGACGACGCCAGGCCGATGAAGGGGAAGAACAAGAGGAAAACGGTGAAGATCAGCACATAGCCAAAGAGATGGGACACTTGCCTGCACGTCCCGCAACCACTGACCGCATGAATGTGGCACATCCCGGCCCGAGAATGGGAGCCAAAGGTCACGAATTGTGCGGTTGGCTAATTTCAAGTGAGGACGTAAGTTTGGACGAGAAAGGCTATCACAGTTGCGGAACACCTTATTGTTGAACTGCGCCCTTTCCTTCTCAAAAAGTGAAGCGTTCTTTGCCCAGTGCACCAGTAGAATCTGTAAGACCTTCGGATCCTGACATATTCTACTGAATGACACTTCGATCAAACGTTTGAGGTTCAGCTTGCGTCCAAGCTTGTGTGAGGGTCAATGGACAATTAGGTAATAAATCGCCATCGTAATGTTAGCAATGGTGCGCAGCGTAGGGCAATGGCTCACTTGGCTGTTTGTTCCGGACATGTCGCTTAGAAAAACAACGACAACCCGCTGATTATACCCCGGTGTGCCAGCTCATGAAGCTACGGGTTTCGATGGTCCAGCCGATGGTGTGATGAACTTGGTTGTTAAGCCTTGGGCATAGGCATGGGAAATCATGGGAAAAGTTGTGCATTTGGCTCCTCGGCAAAAAGTAGTTTGTCGCTACCACGGTGCGGACCGTTTTGCTTGAGACGTGCCATCAGTTTACAGGAGCCTCCGGCGGCAAAATCCAGCGGCCGACAAACAGTGGAACCGTACTTTTTCACACCGGTATGCAATGTCTATAGAGGGGAGGCGCAGTATAACATAGTATAAACCTGTGTGATGATGATCCTGTCATGTCAAAGTACACATTACACACAGGGACCTTAGTGGCCTTAGTATGCCTTAGTTCTTCCCAGTTGTTGTTGGATTCATCCATCAACAGTGCTATTAACACCAGCCTCAGGGATTCTGCTGTCCTCATGATGTCACAGTGGGTCCGTGCAAAACCGATCGCTCAAGCTGAACGCTCATCCACTCATGCCCATACCGACCAATGGCAACTACCCACTACCGCTTGGGTTCGAACCCAATGGTCTGCTTTTTAAACCCTTTCGAACCCTTTGCACGTTTGATCATGTATTGGACATAGCATGACATAGCCAATAGCCGCTTAGATATTTGCGTTGAACATGGGGTCAGTCTAAGATCAGTCTGGTGATGTCTGTTTGCAACTGAGCAAAACAGCCTCACCATGCTCTGCTCCGCTCTGCAAACACCCTCGCCACCTCACCCGCCCTCCACGCCTTTGCCAGGGACTGGCGAGAAGATCCTCGTAGGCGACGTCTTTGGGTGCTGGCGCGTACTTCATGGTGAAGAGGTGGCCTCCGGTACCAAACAAATTGCTAGGTCTTTTCATGCATTGAGGAGGGTCGGTCCGGCGGTGTGCGGATGGAAAAGCATCGGATGCCCCACAAAAGCACCCCCCCAAAATGAAAAACAGCACGTAAAGAATGCAAATAGAGAAGTCTCAGGAGAATGGATCGAACTACCCAACAAACATCAACAAACTTTTAAACCATTTTAAACCCAACTAAGAACAACTGGCACCTTGGTCGCCCAGAGTCACCACTGAAAACATGGGCAGAACCTCCACAAGCAAGTCAGCCACTGAGTCTTTCAGTGACGTCCAAGAATCACCCTGGTAACTTTCACTGCTACACCTGCTCTAGCTATCCCTCCACTACCCAGGCAGTTTCCGCCCCGGTCCAACCACTCCGGGTCCCACCGAACGTCTCGACCGAACCGTCTCCATCTCCGCGTCCGTCTGCGCAGTCCGCGGCAGTCTCCGTCCGCGCAGTTCGAGCGGGTCATCGACTCGGTCCTTCGGGTTCCAAGCGCAGGCGCAAGGCCATCTCCGCGTCGCGCGAGGCTTTGAAGGTCACAAAGCCACTGGCGCCGCAGAGCGACTCCTGGGGTTGGGTTTGGGGTGCCAGGGGGGTGCCAGGGGGGAAGTGAAGGGGTCTGGTATGTGTGAGGGTGAGCCTGGGGAGCATGAGAAAAAGAAGACATGATACACAGAACAAAGGACCAATGAAGGAAGAAGGAACACCAACTCAAGACAGATTCAACTCATTTCAACTCGAATGCAAAGTTCAAAAAATATCAAAGCCAAAACTCAAAACAGACTCAAAAGCACAGTCAAAGCAAACTCAAACAAAAACCCAACAAATACTCAATAGCAACTGAATTAGTTTTGAGTTACTGAGTCTGATTCTTCTTTGATCCCCTATTGTCTGGGATCATCATGTCTGAAATTTCTCAATGTGAGGTTGAGGTAGAGTTACTGAGTTATGGGTGGTACACACACATACATATATACCCTACACAACCAAACCCGATAAAATTGTAGGGTCTCAATCGGAACCTCGGGTATTCTTGTGAAATCTCAGGCATGTTCTAAAAACCTCGGGTCTTGTTTTTCTAAACTGTGCTAAAACCATATTTAACCCGTACTAAACCCATTTAACCCGTACATACCCGTATTTTAGTATATACTGGTTTGGAAAACCTGGGGTTTCCTTCAGAAACCCCAGGTGTTTCCATCGACCCTACAAATTTACAGGGTTTGGGTGCGTAGGGTATATATTATATATATATATAAGATTATATAAGTACATCCCAAAACATTACCAGGCTATAGAGAGAGGAAGGGACAAAAAATAACTCAAAACTACTGTAGGTTTATGTATCAGGATAATCTAGCAGCCCGGATTAAGCACTTTTCTTCCCTCAAATGGAGGGGTATTGATGGGGGTATGTTACTGTTGTGCATTGCACACCCGTAACATCACGCGCAAGTACATTGCATGTTTGGTTTGATCCATTTGACCATGAGGCAGCAAGGTGCTCAACCAGGTATGCGTCAAGCACCACTGCACATGGCGCCTGGATCCCTCAAGTTCTAACATCTTGCACAAAGTTAGCCAACTTACCCTGATTGATGAGAAAAGACTTGTTTCGTTCTCCCCCTTGCAACTCATCTTCCTCCAATCTGAGGAAATTCAACACTTTGAACAAATGGTCTTTCCGCAGAAGCCTAAAAAAGAACGCAAAAACGTTGGAGCTCCCCGCTGCGCGCAGGCAGCGCTCTGCCTGGGTGAAGGCATCAGCGCTCTTGATCTGTTGCCGTTCGGTCTCCACAAGCCGGGTGAGATGCTCCTGGAAAACATCCGACGAGGCAAAGGACATGCATTTTCTGGCACACTCGGTTCTGAGTCGCAGGTGCTGACCTGTTGTAGGGTCCTGGTATAATAACATGTGAAACTGGAACCTGCATGGGTTCTAATTTTTCTAAATTTGTCCACATCCCAGAAGCTCCACGCCATGAGAGTTTGCAGAGTTGTCCGATTCATGCATGGCCAAAAGGGGAACCTATATTTAGCCTCCGGTTATCGCCCACACCGCCCAAGCGATCACCGGCCTCTCAACCCCGAGCGAACCGATTCGGCACCGGCCTTTCAACCCGCCGTTTCCGTCTGCAACGCCCAGCTTTCCCACGAGTTCCCACCACAAAGAGGGCTCCAGTAGTCGCGTGTAGTGCTCGATGCTGTCCACCGGCTCGGCCTCTTGTTGCAAAGTGATCTTGGGCCTCATCTCAGGGTCCTGCGCGGCAAAAACACTGTCCATGTCGAAGGATGAGGAACATCTGAAACAAGCGGAGGCGAGGATCTGTTTCTTTGGGGGTTGAACATCGGCGCCCGGATTCTGAAACCACATTTATATAGGTCTTGGACGTTGGGAACTCGCCTAGACAAGGAGGGTGTTGGGAGAATGCCAGCTGAATTTAAGAAAGAAACATAGCTGATCCTCATTGATCCTCCGAGGCCAGAAGATTCAACGGAAGGTGGATGGACTATGATGGACCTCCGGATGTGTCGTGAAAATATCTCTGCGCCCTGCGCCCAGTACAGCTCCACTCCTGATTGCGCTGCATCCACCTCGCATCAAAAGGGCTCAAATGGAGCAAATATGGCTGGGTATGGATGGACTACAGTTGAACACTTGTTCAAGAGCTTTGGTGCCCAAACACATGTCATCTTCCAGTGATAATTTTGAGAAGGATGCCTGGCGGCCAAGCATATCTGGCTCTACATGATAGATACGATGGACAAAAAGCATTCCTCGATGTCAAAGCAACCTGTATAGAAGGACAAGCCTCGTGAAAGGCATGCTTCAAAAAATGACAAGCCCCGGAACTCCAATCTCTGGGCACAACTTGCAGGTTATACATCCATGTGCCCCACGCACCAGTCTCGACTTCGCTTCCTTGCCCCTGGACATGGCGCTGATAGTGAGCTTCATGAAGCTTTTGCTCAGCGTCATCGAAGTCCTGCAAGAGACCAACCAAACCATGCAAATGCTTCACCTCGGCGGGAGTCAATTCAGCCACGGCGCACCCATGCGCACCCCGTACCCACGACTAGACTCTCCCGTGCCCGGGTACTCGCGTTGGTCGATCTTGGAGTGGGAAACCGGGAGTCCGGCTTGAAAAGCCCAAGAGTTTCATGAAGCCTTCAAACAGGAACGTTCGCATAGGGCACAGGGCATACCACGCGAGTCATATCGTGGGAGTCATCCACCTAGACTTCGACCTCGAGCATACGCGAGTGGCCAAAACTCACAAGTCTGATCCCTGATCGGCCCAGATCTTCAGCATCACACGGAGTATAATCAAAGTTGCGCAAATCAACCCATTTTGAGATGGGGATCCGCAAAAACAACAATGACAACTTTTGGTAATCGTGTATTCAACTTCGATTCTACATTGACCCAAAGTATGAATCAATTTATCTAATTATCTGTCTATGTACTATCTACTACATAAAATAGAGAAAATCAAATTGTATCTCGACTCGATTCCATCATGATTCCCTACCCTGAATCCCTTTCGGCTGGGCTGACGATGTAGACGCTCTCGATGGTGCCATCGGGGAAGAGCCGCTCGAAGTACGTTTTGAGCTTTGAGTCCGAACCTGGAGCAAACAGATCCAAGTCTTTTCCAGTTCAACTCACCACATCACTTTTCCGAAAAATAAGCCGTTTAGAAGGGCATGCCATATTTCCTCCACACAAACTTTTAATGCTTTTAAGGTCTTTTGAGATCAGTTCTCAATGTCGGCTTCAGAGTTTGTGGAAGAGTAGGAGGCAAAAATCACTCGGAAAAAAACAAGCATGCGCAGGCAGGCTCTAAATGCTTGTAGACACTTGCGGCACAAGTGGATCTTTTGGGGAACCTCCTGGAGAAGCGCCCTCAACAATTCACCATCACAATTAAAGCTAGGATATGACCGCGCGGATCTCTGTGACTCTGTGGCAGTCCAATGCAGCTTCTGCGACAGTCGCGGGGTCAAGAAACTGCACACATACAAACATGTTTTAGTGTTCCAACAATGGAGCAATCGAGCAGCCGCCAACGCCACAGGAATCACTAAGCTTTGAGATTGTCGCAAGAGTAGACTCTGGTTGATATGGAAAACAAAGAGACTATGGGAGACACACCCCCAAAGGCAGCAAGAAATACCAACAAAGCTGCCATTAAAAAGGAGCCCTTTACCACCCTTGGATCAGAATAGAATCCTTGTAAGTGAAATGTCCTTCACACGAGCCCCGGCAAAAATTGCGGTCTTGTATCATAAAAGGCTTCCCTGCTTTACCAGAAGTCTCAGCACGCAAACGGCACCGCATCTTTGTCAAATAGGAGACTTGTCCTAAAATACCAGCCAAAGATCAAAGCCCGCGTCCCAAACAAAACACCAAATTGATCTTCCAATTGTTTCATTCATGCATAGACACCTTTTCGACACTCATTGTGTGTAATGGGTGTTAGGTATTTTCTGTTCTTGTGGCATTTTGGGCTGCATGTTTATCTTTAAAGATCATCACCACGCTCGCTATTTATGTATACTGTAGGTTAAACATAAACACCATGCATGCAGTTCCACGAAATTCCGGGCGCTCCACCAGCAGCGGGCGCTGCCCAAGGCACGATAGCGGGGAGGGATGTTGGAGACGAGGATCCTGGAAGGACGAAGATGGCGAACATCTTCCACTGGCATTCTTTGTGGTTCATCATGGTTCAGTCTTCCACTCTGGTTGCTGCTTCTTTTTTTGCTGGTTGCTGGTTGTGGGGTTCAGAAGGTCATTCGAATCTTGAGATCTCCCCGAACGGGTGGGAAGAAAAGACTCCGGAGACATTTTCTCATACCAAGGCACCTTCCGGCTCTTGAGAGCTTTTTTGGGGGCTCGATGTGCAAATGGATATATACACTATCATATTCTGTATGCCATGGCCTACGTCTATCCTTTGTCGAGCCTCGTCGGATGACACCCTGAAACCCAATTTGTGACATGTGTGTGCCTTGTTTTTTCGCACAGACGGTTGATTAAACCAACACTGGATGGTTTTTTTGATTCATCAAGAGTCTACAGCCACCCTGAGCGTTTTGCCGAGATTCGTGGAGCTTTGTGGTTTGGGCCTCCTCTGGAGCCACTCGATGCGCCTCTGCACGAAGATCTTCTGCGCATCCCAAAGCATCCGCTGGACACCCCATACGACCAGCCAAGTGAAGACTGCCAGCGCCCAGCCTAAGTATTGCTTGGGTCTATCCTATTACCAGTATAGTATAGGCCTTTTAAAATAGTCATTTTAACTGTTTCAGGCAATGTGACAAACCCAAGGTATATATTGCGTTGGTTCTTTACACCCACTTCTTTTTCCTCTAGAAAGGGAAGGACAAACCGGCTTTTTGCACAGCAGGTGTTGTGTAGCACAAGGGTGCGTTGGGTAGCAGGCTTCTTCGAGTTGATCTCAACCCTGTGCTCCGTCCGCAAACGTCAAAGGGCCCACTGAGGTCGACAAACTGCCAAGCTGCGCATGGTGAGGTTACACCGGAGTGAGGCGATGCTAAACAAATCCAATGAGCTTCGAGGTGTGTGATGAACCTGGGCACAAGCTGCCAGGACCCTTGTCAGGTGGTGACCTCACTGACCCTCTAATGCCTTCAAGAAGAGGCTTCACGGGGGATTCTGCATGTTTTCCCTTAAATCAACTTGATTTGGCACAGACTCATAACAGTCCCGCAACATGCCCCAACGGTCAAATCAGCTGGTTGGTGAAATTTATGAAACGGACACCTTCTCGTCCTTCTCCATCTGTCTTCCAAGTTCTTCGGAAACGACACACACACACACACATACGCCGCTGACATACGCCCTTGATTCTTCTCAATTTCCCAAGAAACTCCGAAGATGAATGTCTGCCCCTATGAGCCCAACAAAAACTGATTGTTGGAGTCCGGGATTTGCTGGGTTCATAGGGGTTATGCGGTACAACATGGTACAACCTTGTTTGTCCTCTTTCCCCTGATCGATGGAGGATGATTGGACGATGCACCCAAGAACAGGGCTTCATCCAACATCATCCAACCATCCTTGTTGCCACGTTGCAGCGTTGGGGCACTGATCTCCATACGCACCTGTGCTGTGAATGAACGAGGATGACGAATGATGACGCACAGGAGTACGGTCAGGACATCAAATTCTTTCCGGCCGGTCATGTAGTTCCAAGCAAGACTCATGAAGAAAGCTGATGACTTATCACAGTTCCTCCATTTTCTGAACGCAACCACCGTGACAAGTACTCAAGTGACTCAAGATCAATCTACATACACTCCCTGGAACTTGAAAGTGGATGGCATGGCCCCTTGGACCATGAAATCCTCCTCCAAACCAGGGGGGTGAACTCCATGTTCGTTCAAGAGAGTCTTCCACCGTACTCGTGCAACTCTAGCGTCGGCTCCGGTGGTCATCTGAGACACCTGGATGTTTCCCGAGGACATAGTAGGATGGAAGGCACACGAGGGCGATTGGGATGCCGATGTACCTGAGCGGACCCGATGTCGTGACACGGAATCGAAGGACTTCCAGCGACTCCGAAGTGGTCGATCTGTATCGCCAACGCATGAGAATCGCCGCATGAAGTCCAAACCTCATGAAGTGACACCTGGTGGAGGCCTTGACACCTGGTGGCCAGAGGTTTTGACAATTTGACTCTCCAAGCCGAGTCGCGCACAAATCTTCATGCCAAGATGGCAGAATTCCACTAAGAGTGCCCCATCCAAGCCGGAATATTCCTGCGACGAATTCACTTTAAAGCAGCTCTAAAGATCTGAGATTGACCCTACACATACACTGGCAAGTGCTTCATACATTCCCTGTGGTTCCTTAGCTCGTTTAAAGGGGAATCTGGCATACCTCCTGCTCCGTTGCTTCCTTCCAACCACTGGCTAGTGTGCCTCCCGGCTAACATCTTTGAGATGTGCTTTCTTTCTATGTATTTGGGGACCTGTACGCTGTACAACTGACGGTGACGACTGGATTCTTCCATTTGGTGGTTGTTTTTTCTGCCTTCCATTTCCGCTCTCCACGTGATGATGCCACGACCATCCAACAGAGTCCATATCATGCTGCGAACGATGCGACAAAAAAGGTCTCTTCGAACATGACACAGTGAAGATCGATGAAGTGTGAATATTGCTTTTATGCCTGACGGATCCTTGTCATAATGACCACTTCAAACACCTGGCTGAAATGAAATGTCAATGGTGCTACCCTTATCATCCCTTATCCAGTGATGCTTTTGTATGCTGTTGTGTGAATCACTGAGCATCCCCCAGCGCCTGAATCTCATCCCGGCTCAACGTGCAGCCGTAGTAGGAAGGTCGCGGTTCAGGCGATCGACCGCGGCGGCTGTTGTCCAAATACACAATGGGCTGAAAATGCCTGGGGAAGCCCAAGCGCAGCACATTCACAGCATCATACAGTATACCCCAAATGATCCGACTAGAGAAACAAGAAGGCTACATCCACATGCGTCACATCCTCAATAAAATGACATGCAAGGCATACGAGAAACAATGATTCTTTTTCCAACAAGGCATTTTTTGTTTCTAGAGGATTCACTGTTCGACGTGCCGGTCACCGACTCCTTTGTTGAACGACCTACGCAACAGAAAGACATGTCAAACAGCCCTGACTCTGACACCAGGGGCAGCTCGGAAGAGAAGAACACAACACGAACTGCCCTGACTCCCTGACTCATGGAATTTCTTCAAACAGCTTGTCTGTGCGGCATTCCTTTCGACCCCTGTGCGATCCTGCTCCCGTTGCATCCATGGTGTTCTTCCCTTGGTCCCAACGCAGCATCCAAACACTCCTCTTTTTCGCTTGTTGGGCGGGGTTTGGTGCAGTGCAGCGCTGTCACAGTGACGCCCAAAACTTCACAAACGTCCAGCCATGTGACTGAAGCAGGGCAAAGGCCACCAAATATGTAAGGATCAGAAGCAAGTTGAACACAAATGAGGTTCGCAACGTCTGGCAGTTCGCTGCTGCGAGGGTCGGGTTCGTTGGATGACTTTCTCAGCCGAGACCCACACATCCAAGAGATCGAACATTTATGTTGTTTCATCTTGTCATATGTGTTTCAACTGGATTCTTAAGGGGGCACATGACAATGAGCGAATGTGTTAGTTATGGACACATTGAATGACCTGAATGTTGCATGATGATGAATTCACACCGTTGGCATTTACAGAGTCACATCTTGTTGGGGCAAGCTTTCCTGGACCAACTGGATGGATCAAAGGTGTTGGGATGTGTTGGTCGGTCGAATGGAGACTAGCTCAGTAGGTTCCTGGCCTGGGCCGGTCACATCTGAAACGCAGCGAACGTCATTCAACTGACACGTTCAGTGAACGTCACCCTCGTCGAGAGTCGAGCACCCTCGTTGAGAGCCCGAACCCACCTCCACATCTAAGCTGCTGTTGGTCTTCAGCCCGAGTTGTTCTTGATACACTTCACTCCCACTGTTGCTCCCTGGGGCGGGCGTTGTCTCTTGCCATTTACGGTTGGTGTGAGGGACGGAAAGAGATCCAAGTTCACCACCTCACGTTGGAATTCGACGACATAATACCATAATTTTGTGTAGACCGGCTCAAGCTTGTTTGAGCTGTCTTAGGTCTGGGGGAACGGTGAAGCAGCACAGTTGTGGATCTCCTGAGGCTTTGAGTGCTTGGGATGACCAAACGGTTTGCTCTTGTTGGGTGTCGTGTGTGTGTGTGTGTGCACCTGGTCAGACATCTGTGGGAAAGCAAACGGAATTTGGAACAGGGACAGGGAATACATGGAGAAACATGTAAATATATTGTTTACTTATAATTAGAATAACTAACAACATACAATGTAATAAACAAGATATTGTTTGTGAACGAATGTTTTCTTATGTAATAAGAAAGGGCAATATTTACAAGAATAACATGTTCTCATAATGGTGACCAGTCAAAACAAACATTTAAAGCACGATTCTTCCAAAAAGTGTACGATTCAATTTTTCATTTGAACAAGTCAGAGGAAACATTCAGCATCCTAAATAGACTGCCACACTTGGTTTTATGTCTTGCTACGAAGTCGTAAACATCTGGGCTATCCAACAAACGTTGAAAAGAACATTGGTCCCTTGCAAAGGGTTTTCATTTCCTTGTTCGACCATCTTCACCCTGAATGGAGTGCTCTGCGGACAACTCAAGAAGGGGCCATGGCAATATTGATCCTTTTTCCACAGTGGCATGGGCTCTGCATGATCAAAGCCCAAACCCTTGCAGTGTCTCTACCCGTATGGATCCACACACCCTATGAGAAGGTGGTTGGAGACACTTCTACATAGGCATGGAGGGTACTAAGCACCAGCTGAGAAGGTATGTGGATCCCAGGGGGTAATGATGGACAAAGTTTTCTCAATCACCCTTGCGGTGCATTTCACTGGCAACTCTTAAAGCTGGCGGTCTATTTTGAGGACTGCTGGCCAAAACCTCAAGCGGTGGTTTCTCTCATCGGTTGCCCCAAGAAGCAAAACCATGCAAAGTAACATTCGGAATTTGAGAAAGTCCTGAGAAGGGAACATCTGAAGCAGTACACCATAGTGTTTGAGCGCTCGCATCGGTCATCGACCCCACCCAGCAAAGCACGGCGATGGCGAACCTGTTTGGTTGGGCCGACGCTCAAAGACAAAGTTTGCAACCTGTTCAGAGAGATTCAACGGAGGGCTTTCTCAGGTTAGCTACTGGTAGAACCACATCAAAAGCAGGCATGGATGCTATTTGGTGTGGCAAAAGTTCCAAGGCAAATCTCTTGCACTGATTGGCAGCACCAAACCTCTTGACATCAAAGCTCTTGTATTCGACCCCTTACAAAGCCACATGTTCGCATATGTTCGCCTACAGAACAGGTGAGCTCTAGACAATGCTAATCATGCTAATCGCTCTTATTGATGCCTAGGCATAGTGGGCTTTGCCGGGAAAATGACCCACCTTCTGAACATCGTCTTTCAATGTGTCGACGACCTCCTGAGGCCATCAAGGCAATTCAACCCATGCTGAACACTATATAACTCTCTCTCTCTCCATATATATATATAATGACATGCCCATGAAAACGACAAGGTCGGTCCATCAATGGCATGATTTTTTGTAAATATGCAAATGGAGGCCTTGTCAGCCGGTTTCGTCTCAGTTGCCAAGGCATGGCAAAGCACGCCATTGACTTAGTGTCTGTTGTATAGGATGTATTCATATACAGTTTATACACGCATTTGTGGGGTATCCCGTAACAGTAGGATGGTAAATGTGTTGGTTGGGCAGCGGCCACAGGAAGCAATACTTATGATACTGATGATTGTTGCGCGCAAGCCACAAATTTCGACCCCCTCCAGCTAACTCGCTGTGACTCTTTGTGCTTCCCTCTCCTTCATGGTATCATTCATGCTCTGCGTCTGAGCGGTGACCTGCAGGGGTTTACTCTCCTTCTCTTGCACAGGGAGGTGGCCCATATTAATATGTAAAACATGTTGTGCGCATATATATATATGTAGACGTGTATAAATGAGATATACAACACATATACAGATACATGCGCACACACACATGTATATATATATATACATAAATATATTATACACACAGGTTCCGAGAGTAGATGGCACAATCTCAATCTCCAAGAGAAGCTTTGCATATCTTTGCATGGGACCAACAAACATCTTTACCGCTTCGATGATTGATATCCAGGGTTCACTTTGAGGTGGTACCCCCAGCAAATTTCCATGAGCACACCCATGGTTCTCCATACTGAGAAAAACACACACAAAAAGGGCAATGTCCCGAAAAGGGGCCAGGGCTCCAAACAGCTTCCCTTCCTGTCTCTGTTCGGGAAACCTATCTCCAAGCTGCTGAACTCCAGCCTGAATGAGCATGAGATGCTCCCCAACCTCATCGACCTCATCAAGGAACTGGTCCCTGGGGCGCTCGCCAACCTCCGAATGGACTGCTTCAGGAAAGGCTGCCAGGGTGGCAAGAAGTGCCCAGAGCGTCATGCCACGGCCCAGCATTGCGCTTTTTCTAAAGAAGGAGAGCAAGATGGAAGCGACACCTGACCGGTGTCTGGTAGACTTGGAATCAATGTAATTGAGGCTACAAGCTTTGGCCTTTTGCCTTTCGTAAGTGGGTTGGCTTCGCTGCTCCGTGTGGCATTTGGCCAACAAAACCACCAATGGCATCAAACCCATGGATGTGGCCCAGCATGGAACCCACGCCGGGCCGGTGTGAGGTACGGTACCCGTCTCGAGCCAAAAGGTATCCCAAAAGGCAGATGCCGAGACGCATGCGGGAATTTTGGGTGTCTTCCAAGCAGATGTAGGTGTATGTGTTTAAGAGGCATTTACAGTAATCATATTTCATCTGCATGAATCTGTATTGTCTTGGAGACCTCTTGAAACAACATGAAACAACCAAATGTGATTAAATCTATCAAAGAGGTTGGGATCTAGTTCAATTCAAAATTTAAAGGGGTGGGTGGTTTGCCATGTTTTGCCACGCCCTGGGGTGCTGAAGAAACAGGCAAGGACATAGCAGATCTGGCAGCCTCCCCACAGCCTCCCCAAGGCTACAGTATGCGATCCTTCTCTCTAATCCTTTCAACTGCCTTAAGCCTTGCAAAGGATCCGGATCACTTTTTGATGTATGCGAGAACCACATGCGATGGCTGCTCCTCCAGTTCTGGGCTGGCCTGGAGTCTTGCAACTCACATCATCCTGTCAGGTGAAACATTTTCCACTGCAGCTGACGTCTCCATCCAGCGGCTCGCACCAATGGGGCTCGCGCCTTCTCAAAGCTGTCTTGGCTAGCTGTCTCGCCCTCACATCCACGGTCACAAGGCGTCGCCGGATTGCACCACCTTCCTGGCTGGGCTCCATGCATTCTGCATTCCAGTCAGTGGGTGCAGCAGTTCCTTGCTTCACCACTGAGCATCTCTCACTAGTCACGATCTCGGTGACCGATCTTCCCAGACTTCCCAGACGTGTGGCTGATCCATCTAAGCTTGTCTGATGTGTCACCGAAACATGTTGACATTCTCCTCAACCTCTTTGCAGTCATTCCCGACCTGCCCAGTGGCTCGGCTCCGAACCTTCATCTGAATCCTCAAGCGTTCTTGGACTCTTTGGCGGTTGACCACGTGAGCGTGTCGTGCGGGGCCGGGCCCGCAGGGCCCGCAGGGCTCCGGGCTGCAGGACTCAGCACTCCTGAGCTTGGATGTCTTTCCCAAAGAGTTGGGAACTTAAGCATCACTAGCGACGGTGAGATGGGCAACTTCAGTTCCAGCCTGGATCAGTCTGGAAGTCCTTCCCAGTGTGGGATGATGAAATCACAATGAAGTCCGTCAAATGGCCAAGCTTGCACAAACACATGTCCAAATGCAAAGGCGGAACGAGTATACATGCACTAATGTTAAGCCTTAAATAAATGACTTTGACATACCCTACCCTATATATATATATATTTTTATTACTAGCATTATATTGTTACCATACAATCCAAGAACCTCTCTTCTATCAATCTAAGCCTCTCTCAGCCTGCAGATTCAAGCGATCCAAGATGTGGAGAACAGGCCGATGGCAACCCGCACGCAGGACGCAACAGGCAGCAGCATCAAGACCTCAAAGATTCTGTTCCACCATGTTCCACCGCCAGAAAGGTGCCAAATGCATGAGCATATGGCAAAGGAGTTATATACATATAATATTTATATAAAGTAACCATTAGGTAATGTATAGGCTCTTGATTTATAACCTCCCCGTGCTTCAGATTGAACAACAACTTCATATGGGAGGTCTATTAATAATCAAGAGTCTACATTAGACCTCTCAGCACTTGACGCCAAGATGCTCACGATGGACATGACGCCTCCTCTCCCCCGCCACAACTCCACCGTCTCGCGCCAGCGCTCGGAGGTGCACAAGCTTGCGGCGCAGGCCTGAGACGCCCGGTGTCTTCGTCTTCGGCCGTTTGGTCGTCGCTGGAGCCTCTGTTGTCGAGCGTCGAAGATTCAATCATCTGATCCAACATCCACTGCTGTCAAACCAAAAGTTTGACCTAATTGCTACCACTAAACTATGTATATATACAATTATATACAATCATCAACAATCATTGTAATTTCAAACGTTGAGAAGCCAGGTCATTCGTGATTGTGCTACTTCAAAAGTTGCCTTGACTGTGCTCAACAGGAGAAAACTCGACCGCCCAAGATCAACGGGAGAGTTGCATTGTAGCAAGTCTCATCTGGAGAAGCGCCTTGGAACGATCGCAAAGGTGGGACACCACACCAACCATCATTTCCAGGTGCATCAACTGCGAGTTCCCATGCCTTAGGGAGTGCTAGTGGGAACACATATGATTTACAGCGGCTGTGGTTTCTTGCTCATTCTGCATGGTTTACAACCTTGTCACCTTGTCATTCCATGCTCTAAGTTGATCCTTCGGAAATGCATTAATATATATTGTGAATTTCGAACCTTTCGGTCACTGAGGAACCAGTCTCGACCCACTCAGGTGTGTTCACGTCCGAAGCCACGAGTGTGCGAGGCCGCAAGGGTGGTGTAGGGTGGGTCACCCGTGACCTGAGCCATAGAAGCAGTGAGGACACTGCAGGGCGAGCCAGGTTCCATCTTTCAAGCCTTGGTGAGACGGACCTCACTGAATGGTCACGGAAAGTAGAGTTCCTGGCATCACTATGGACTCCAGAACAACTACACCTGCTTGCCCCACGAGTTGCATTGCAATGTGAGGGATCAGCCTTTCAGAGAGTTGCCAGACTGGACCCAAAGGAGCTGCGTGTTGGAAACTTGGAGGGAGTGAAGGCCATCGTGGAGGCCCTTGGGGGGATTTGGGGAAAATCCCGATTGGAGGACAAGTTTGAAAGGTTTGAGCGTGCAATCTACAGCACGGTCCAAAGAGCCGACGAGACCCATGAGAGCTATCTAGCTTGGCGCGATCATCAATTCGAAGAGTTGCTGAGCATGAAGGTCGGCATGGATGAGTTTCGTGCATACATCTTGCTTCGCAACTCAGCCCTGAGCTCAGAAGACAAGAAGAGACTGATTGTTGAATCGCAGGGTTCACTGGAGTACAGAGAGGTGGTATCCAATCTGAAGATCCTGGGGAGTCGATTCTTCCATGAGGTCCACTCCAGCGGAACGCAGAACAATCCAAGGACCAAAACCTATGAGGCCAATGCGTTCATTGCCCAAGAAGCTGATGGTCACGACCAAGCACCCGACGAGCCCACCTACAATCTCGATGATTGGACCGAGGAAGAATGGATTGAGAGTCTTGCAAATGATGGTGACGAGGACGCCGCCATGATCATGGAGTATGAATCCACAATGTTGGATGCAGTGCAAGACAACGAAGATCTAGCGTTGACACAATCATCATACATGGATGCCCGTCGCCGCCTGTCAGAGCGCTTCAAAAGCCGTGGGTTCTGGCCAACAAGTCAGAACAAAGGCAAAGGAAAAGGGAAAGGGGGTGAAAAAGGAAAGCGATCCCCCTACTCCTCAAAGTTTTCTGGCAATAGAAAGAGCCTCCAGCAGAGGATCATGGAGAGCAGCTGCAGGATTTGTGGCCGAAAAGGCCATTGGAAGGCTGAATGCCCGCAACGTGGATCTCAGTCGGTCCCATCGACAGCTGTTGCTCCTACACTGGTGACAGTGAATGATGAGCAGGACGCGCTGCCACTGGAGTTCATGGATTTGCCAGAGCTGACCAAAGAGACGCTCAACGCCACCCAAGAGAATACGAAACAAGTTTTGTGTGTGTTGTGAATCAAGGGACACCGGTGTTCTGAGGGGTTTGTGGGAGACCAATGAAGGGGAAATCATTGATTCAGCCCACAAAGGGGAAATGATCACCGAGTGTGAGAATTTTGATGTCAGGACTAGCTTGCCAGAGAGTGCGTTTGCTAGCACCGCCCAATCACCTGAAGCCAAGTCGATGCATGACACCGAAGCCAGTGCATTCTCGAGCTTTTCAACTCGCGATGCCCTGGGAATCGTAGATACAGGTGCTACTAAGACCGTCATAGGAAGCGGTTTCGTAGCCAATCTCCTAGCCGCACTAAGGCCAGAGGTTCGGAAGCAGGTCCAAAGGTGTCGTTGTTCAGTGGTTTTTCGGTTTGGGAATCAAGGGACACTTGAAAGCAAGCATGCACTCGTTGTCCCAATCGGACCGCTGAAGCTCAAGATTGCCATAGTGCCAGGCCATACACCTTTCCTGCTGTCGAATACTCTGCTCCGAGCCATCGGAGCCACCGTAGATATAGCTGGTGAAGTGATCAAAAGCACTCTCTTGAAGCGCAATATTCCAATTCAGCTGAATGCCAAGGGTTTGTTTTTAGTTGATCTAAATGATCTGATCACACCCACCAGTCAAGATGCCGAAGCTGAATCTGCCGAGACCTTCGCCACTTTGAATTGCAAAAGCTTGCCAAGTGTCTCTGTCCAGAAGCCTGGACAAGTGCAGTCGGAAACCAAGACCATGATGAAACAGAACGTTCAGGTGAGGACAGGTCTTGTAACAAGCAGAATCCAACAGTTCGAAGCCGCCATACCCGAATCAACAAAGACCCATACGAACACAAAGAAACCAAACGAACGTCCGAGCGTTCGCGGGGGTGAGAAAGTCTCATTCGAATCGGTTCCAGGGGGGTCCAGCCCGGTGTCATCCGTTTTGGGTTCAAGACCGGATCTGTGCAATCACACACGTGTGACCATCCCATTCGTTCACCTGTGCCGCATCACTATCATGCCGACCTCCGAAGCAGCCGCTCTGAGTGCCCGCTTGGCACGTGTCATGGGGGAAGCAAAGAAGGAAGAAGCCCTCGATCAGCTCGAAGCCTTCAAGCTCCTATCACTGGACGAAATGGGCCAAGCCAAGATCGATTTCGGATCAGCCCATCTCGGTCGGACCTACTCGGAGATGTGGGAAAAGGAGGGCAAGTATGTGAAGTGGTTCCAGGCAAGTTACCACTCGTCGAACAAGGTCAACCATCAGAAGTTCATCCACTACATCTCACTGAGGGTGACCTATGCCGAGCACCAACTGGGTCTGAACAGTCAAGACCTGCAGCCATCACCAAGTCAGAGGCCACTTCATCCGGCTCTCAAGAGCAAGGCCAAGGCCAAGCCGATTCAGGAAGTGACCCCGCAGGACTTGGCAGATCTTGCCGAGGACGAATCCTGGGAACCAGTTCAGGAGATCGAGATCCAGCCAGAGATCTACACGGAGATGGCAGCCATGGACACCCGCCTTCAGACCATCGAAGGTGCGATGCAGGAGATCATTGCCCACCTCCGGGCTTCATGAGCTCGTCATGGCTAGACTCCTTCGAGGAAGCTGATATACATGTATCGTCCATGTGCCAAAAAGATGTCAGTCCAGGTAAGACTCACAGTCTGTCCCATAAATTCCATGCACTGGTTCAGCAAATCTCAAAGGAAGCCAGTCTAGCAAGGGGTGATCCAGTGATCTCGAACGGATGCAGCCGTCTGCATTTGCTGGAAGTGTTTTGTCATGAGGCCAGTGAACTGACGAAGCAAGTCCAATTGCTGGGCGGCAGAGCCAACCGTTTTGGAAGGGCGCAGGGGGACCTCAAAACCAAGGAGGGGAGAAGTGTTCTGTTTCAACTGGTGTGGAAACAAAGACCCCGTCACATATGGTTCAGTCCCACCTGTGGACCATGGAGCGCATGGAACACGTTCAATGAAATGAGATCAATCCAATTGTGTGAACATGTTCAACGAGAGAGAGAGTCACACTTGTTCGAACTTGCACTAGGAGTAGTCTTGCTTCGCATGTCACAAAAATCCATCATGTTCAAGACCCCACTCCTGCAAGAGCTGTATTCATTTACTCAGGAAGCCAATTTCGACATGTGTCGCGTAGGCCAGTTGACATGTCCAGAAACGAACAAACTCATACAAAAGGAGATGGCTGTAAGAACGACATCGCAAGAGATGTATGCCTCGTTGCATGGCCGGGTGTGTCGTCGAGATCATGAGCACAGACCCATTGCCGGATCCGTGACAACGCCTCTCGGGAGAATCACCGTCAGTAGCTATACAGAGAACTATCCAAGAAAGTTTGCAAGACAAGTAGCTAAGGTGATGTTGAAAGTGAAACATGAGCCATGGGTTACTGCCCTTGTAACCAGAGGAATAGATCAACCGAGTGAGGAAAGTGCATCCAAGCGGATCCGTGTGAGTTCTCCCACGCAGAAGTCCCAAGGTGGGCGACTGCCACCAACACCCCTGGAGCAATTGTCGAACGAGTGCAAGCGCCGCCGCATTGACGGCAAGACGGCCGAATCGCAGAGTATGAACATGTCACCTCAGAGACAACTAGAAGAAATCATCAAGGACATCCAACCAATGTTGCCAAGAGTAGGGAAGACTTTTATCACAAACCACCAAATCTTGGAGAGGCTTCAAAACATGTTCCCCGAAAAAGAAATCAAGAAAGTTCAAGCATGTAAGGGATCAGATCGAACATTGCCACCGCCAAGGGATTTGGTAAAGAATGAGGCCCCATATCGTCGTGCCATCATCGTAAGCCGAATAGGGGGGGTAATCCAAGTAGAAAAGGACTGGGAATACTGGCGAGACCTGTCTCATCGGCAGCAAGTCCGCCCAGCACATCCCGCAAGAGTCAATATCACAATGTATGCATGTTTGCCCCGGCCCCAATCCAAGTCAGAAGCATCAGGTGATTCGACCGAACAGAATATGAGTCCCGAGGCAACGGGAACAAGCGTCGAGCCGCAGGAGGCAACCGTCAGCCTGCCAAGTAGTGACCAAGCACCTGTCACAGAGCTGGATCCGGATCAGAGCAAAGAGACAGGAGCGAGTTCGAGTCAACTCCATATGCCGAGCTTTGACCATGGCCCAAAGTTCAAGACCATATCAGCCGAAGAAAAATCGTTCTTGCTGAAATTGCATCAGAACCTAGGACACCCTCATGGTCAAAAGCTGTGTTCAATGCTGCGTCAACAGGGGTACTCACCCCGATTGTGTCAAGCTGCCATGGACCTAAGTTGTTCCGTATGTCAGAATACTAAGGAACCCAAACATCAAAGACCTTCTACAATCAAACGTGAGCTAGACTTCAACGACTGTATTGGGATAGATGGTGTTGTATACACGAATCTGGCAGGAACCAACTTCCACTTCTATCACATCATCGACTATGGAACAAACTACCAGGTAGCATGTGCAAGCCCAGGTAAAAGCAGTGATGATGCAATAGACAAGGTGCTCAATGGATGGCTCCAATGGGCAGGGGCTCCGATTGAGATTCACACAGACTCAGGGACGGAATTCACATCCAAGGAATTTGTCACTTTTCTAGGCCAGTTCAACATCAAAGCAATAGTTACCCCACCAGGTGCACACTGGCAAATCGGAAAAGTAGAAAGACATGGTGGAATCCTACAGGAAATGCTCAAGAAGTATGAACAGGAACATCCAATAACGTCATACACCAACCTGCAGACAGCACTATCGCACTGCACTTCTGCCAAGAATGCACTGAGCCAGAAACAGGGATACTCCCCAGAAACTCTTGTTTTTGGAAAAGGGTCCAGAATTCCAGCATCAATCTCATCGGACGAGCAATTGCCATCGCACCTCCTGGCAGACGATGACACCCAGGAAGGAATCAGATTTCGAGAAAAGCTGGCATACCGCGAAGCTGCACGACGAGCTTTTCACTGTGCAGACAACAGCTCTGCGTTGCGAAGAGCTGTTCTCCGGCGAAGCTGTCCTCACCGAGGATCCTATGACAGGGGAACTTGGGTGATGCTATGGAGACAGACTCCAACCCAACGGGGGTGGTTTGGTCCAGCCAGAGTCATCCAACAAGAAGGTCCCCATTGTCTTTGGTGCAATCACGCAGGAAGCTTGGTAAAGATAGCCCCTGAACATGTTCGACCCGTAAGTGCCATGGAAGCTCAGCATATCCCCCGAGCTCTAAGTCCGATCGCAGGGATTGAAGGCGAAGATACACAAAATGCAAACATTCGTGAACAAGCGCCCGCAACTCCACCAGAGAGCCAAGAAGATAGCAATATAATCCCACAACACGTAGGAACAGGAAACACATCGAATTCGTCAGAGGTCCAGCCAGATCAAGAGCCCTCGATTCCAGAGAGTCAAGTGTCTCCAGCGAGCCGACAAAGCATCGAATTGCCGAGTGACCCCGGCGGTCATCAGGATGCAGCAAGTGTGCCGGTCTCAAGCGAAGCATCCGATCTCAGTGATGAACTCGTATGTGACTCCCTACTAAGTGTAGAAGATCAGGTCAACTGGTGCCAAACCCAAATAGACTCAGAAGCTGTAGGATGGAAAGCTGAATTCCTGTTTCCCCAAGAAACAATGATGAAATGGGATGAAAACTCACCAGCAACAGATCTTATCATGATGACTACCACCACCAAGCGTGACCGAACAGAAGTAAAGATGCACCAATTGTCCACCGAAGAACAAGCTCTCTTCCGTCAAGCAAAGGAAAAGGAGATCACAAATTGGTTAAACACAGGGACGGTGAGTAAAATCTTTCGGGATCAGCTGTGTCCGGAACAGGTAATGCGTTGCCGCTGGATATGCGTATGGAAACCCCTTGATGCTGACGACCTTCAAACCGGATCAACTGAGAACGTCAGACCAGGACCAAAGACCCATAAACCGAAAGCACGTCTAGTAGTCCTTGGATATCAAGATCCCCAGTTAGACAGCATACCCCGGGACTCGCCGACACTTGGAAAGCAATCCAAAATGCTCTTGTTGCAAGCAATATCATCCATGGGATGGACTCTGAAAAGCTTCGATATCAAAGCTGCATTTTTGCAAGGCAAAACGCAGGAAGATCGAGTTCTAGGCCTGGAACCTGTTGAAGAACTTCGAAAGGCATTGAAACTTCAACCCAATCAAATCTGCAAACTCGAATAATCAGCCTACGGTTTGATCGATGCTCCTTATTTGTGGCATAAGGAATTGGATCGGACCCTTCGTGATTTGAACTTCATTCCAGCACCCTTCGACCCATGCGCATACGTACTATACAAACCAGGACAAAGCAAAATTTCGGGGGTCCTAGGAGTTCATGTTGACGATGGACTAGGTGGAGGAGATCAATACTTTGAAGAACAAATCTCAAAGCTAGAAGCCAAATTCCCATTTGGATCAAAGAAAGTAGGTCAATTCACGTTCACTGGTGTTGAGATGAACCAACAGGCAGACAAAAGTATCATCATGTCCCAATCCAAGTATGTAAGCAAGATTGAGCCAATCCACATGAATGCAAGCAGACGAACATGTCTGACGGATGAAGCGACCTCCGAAGAGAGACACTCGCTCCGTGCACTTGTGGGAAGTCTTCAGTACGCGAGCATCAACACGAGACCGGATCTTTCAAGTCGACTAAGCTACATCCAAAGTGAGATCAACAAAGCCACGGTCCAAACGTTGCACGATGCCAACCGTGTACTTCATGAAGCAAAACGATACAAAGACACATGCATCAGAATCCAACCCATCCCAATCAAGGATCTCAGATTCTTGTTATTCTCGGACGCATCATTTGCGTCGGCCAAGAGCCCAGAAAGTCACACAGGCATGATCATCTTGGCCACCCATAGGGATATAAGTGAGAACTATCAATGCCCAGTCAGCCCGTTGTCCTGGGGTTGCCGCAAGATCCAGAAAGTAGTTACGAGTACTTTGTCAGCCGAAACAACTTCGCTCCAAACAAGCTTAGACCAGCTATCTTGGATGAGACTCTATTGGGCATGGATCCAAAACCCCCAAGTCAATTGGAAACGACCACATGAGGTTTTTAAGAGTGAACCCAAACCAATCCAATCTACCACAGCCTTAGCCCAGTGTTTGCCACGATCAGTAGCTGTCACAGATTGCAAATCTTTGTATGATTTGGTTACCCGAACTGCTCAACCAAATTGCCAGGAATTCCGTACACAACTTCAAGCAAAGGCAATAAAAGATTTGCTATCCGAAGGCATTCAATTAAGATGGGTCCATACAGGAGCTCAGCTCGCTGATGCGCTAACTAAGGTGATGCAAGGAACTTTCCTCCGATACACTTTGCAACGAGGCATGTATCAACTAAATGACGAACTGCAAGTGCTGAAAGAGCGAGCTGACAGCAGAACACGCCTTAGGTGGCTTGAGTCCGGGATCCCTCTAATGGGAGACCAGCAGCAAGAAGGATGATCGACACACAACCAAAGAAAAAGATTGATAGAATTTTTGATGAGTGTGAATTTCGAACCTTTCGGTCACTGAGGAACCAGTCTCGACCCACTCAGGTGTGTTCACATCCGAAGCCACGAGTGTGCGAGGCCGCAAGGGTGGTGTAGGGTGGGTCACCCGTGACCTGAGCCATAGAAGCAGTGAGGACACTGCAGGGCGAGGCGCCCGACCGTTCGTACCAACCTTCAGGTGAGCTGTGAGTGGAAAACGCACGCGGCTGTGCGAGGGAAGGAGGATCTTTTGTTGCTACCTTTGTGTCAATCACTATATATATATAAATAATATACTAATCAAATGAATTTCCCGAACAACTCTTCTGTTTCTGGAGAACCTGCTCCCAAAATGGTTGAAGAAATATAAAGTACAAGAAAATTAAATAAACATTAGTCATGGGAGGGTAAACAAGCTTCACTTGGACCCGGGTTTGAAGAACATTGGCATCGATTGATTCGGAATATATATATAGAAGCCAAAACAAACCCAAACTTGGCCAATTGCTGAGCCAACAATCCCTTTCCCCTATTGTTGATTTTTTTGAAGTTGGTAGTGCACATCTGTTCATGTCAGATCTGCCGCAAGTTCCCCCTCATCTGCTTCCAAGTGTCGTAAACGCTGTCCCAACAGAAAGGTGTGCAGACCTTTCGCTGCCAAATCACAGGAATCCAAGGCAATGGATCACACAACACCTTTAATATTTGTATGATACCATGTTGATCATCTGCGTGGGCAAAAAAAGCACATGCAGCCGCGGAGTTCCCTCTCAAACGTCTATAATTATTAGATACATTTGATGTATTCGTATTCGTTGCATTAATTAATATGGATTAATATTATTTTGGCCGAATAATGAAATAGAAATACAATATATATAAATATATATTATATAAATAAGCGCCATTGCCAGCTCAGACCCGTGCAGCCATTTCCCCCGGGTTATTCATCCATGACGAGTCGGAACCGCGGTCTGTGAGATATGGTTTGGAAGATCTTTGAAAGGACGATCAGTCTGGAAGATCTTCAACGCATTTGTGTGGAATGGCTGCACGCGACTCGGTACAAATCGCTCCTTCTTGTGAACTAACTACTGCTGACAATTGGTGGCACTCCTCATGGCCCTGGCGAATGAAATCCTGAAGCATGAACGAATCTGTCATCCGCTACATGTCTTATATGTCTTCAGTGTGTCGCCAGATGTTGCCAGTTGGTCGTTTTGGGACCAAAGACCAAAGAATGCCAGGTTGGACATGTTCACGTGCCGGGTGGATCCGAGCGGCAGAACCGCCATGTGCCACAGCGTAGCAGCGTTGCGAGGCAAACCTCGTCCAGCGGCTGCTGTGCGACATGCAAGCCCCGCAGCGTTGTCTCGACTGAGGCAGGCCAGCGCCTGTTGGGACGGTTGCAGCCGCTTGGGACGGGCTTTTGACATTGCGAGGATTGCTTCGTGATGTGCAATTGAAGCACGCAGTCAAATTTTATTTCCTGGAAAGCAATCATGGCACAAATTGAGGCACGTCCTAGCATGCATCAGGTTTCGGGACGTGGATATTGTTTGTGGACGCTGTGACAAGCTACCAGAAAGCTTGGAAGACAGGGCTTCCTCCCAACGGCGCGGCTCGCTGGGCCTCGGCATCGAAGAAAAGCTGAGCTCATCAGGCTGCAATCTGCCGCTTCGAGCGAGGGTGAAGAGTTCAACAGCCACAGGCCAGTGTGGAGCTGAGGTGTCCTGCTGCCTTGGAGGTGTGCTGCTCCCAGGTGGATGTGGTCAGAGTAGAGGCTTCTGGCGGGAAGCAAAGAACTGGGATTCCTATGCAATTTTGCATTTCAATTTCGGATCTTGCAGGGTGAAAGAAAAATTAAATGGCAGGTTTAGCAAAGGTTTAAGCACTTCTGCCATGTTCAGTGTGCACGCGTGACCCTGGAATCTCCACGCAAGTTGTGCACATCACCTTCCTCGCGGACCACTGACTTCTGACTCCCTCAGTTCGCTGGAAACAGACTGGTTAACCGTTAACATCCGTTAATCATCTTTTTCCCCTTGTTGGTTTACAGTGGGGGAGCCAGAATCCCCCCCAACAGTTCAAAGGCTATCCACTTACTATCCTCGGGGCAGGTCCTGGTAGGTGTTCAAGTTCAAGTGCATGAAATCCTCAAAAGCTAAATACAATTAAATACATCTATATATAAATACTGTTTCAGGCCACCACGAAATGTGCCCGACTGGGCACATGGAATACAGGTCCCGCCACTGCATGACAAACGCATGACATGCAAGCACTTCGAGGTTTGACAGAACATAGAACATCTAATCTTCTGATTGCGACATGTTCAAGCACAAAAGTGCAGCAACATAATTCAGTCTTGGAGGTATATACTGACTATAACCACCCTACACACACAGTCCCCAGATCCACTTGACATCAACTCATTGTGTACTTCTTAGTGCTTAGTGGCTTCCTCCGCCAGCAAACATACTCACATAGTCAGTGAGAACATTTACAACACAACAACATCCTTCCCAGCCCTCGTGTGTCTTTCCCACCATGGTGTCGCCGAGAAGCGCGACCAGGGCCATGGCTGCGTTGCAGCCACTGATCTGCCGAAGCTCCTGGCGGAGCCCGAGGAGCCCGAGCCACCCGAGCGACGAGTGACGTGACAGACGTTGGAATCGCTGATGGATGAGCGGTTTTCGGGCAGTGGCGTTTTCGGGTCCCCACGCGATTGGATCGTTGGAGCCACCTTGATACCGCTTGAGACCTGCATTTGGTGAGAATGAGACGCCTAGATCAGCACGTTGGGTGCGGGTCACGGTGGGCATGGGTGGAGCAGAAACGAACAAAGAAGGTCTTACAATACAGGTGGAGGGCATACGTTCTAATTTGGTTCTCCATTGTGTTGGACAAGCAGCATGTTTGGGGGGATGTGAATTTTTGTGTTGTTCATGTGGCCCCTGTGTTTCAGCAGCTCTTGTGACTATGAATGGTCAAGAATCGCCTCACTGATCAAGCAGAACGAAGAAACATATAGCAAAGCAGGGTCAGCCATCCTGAATCCTCCCAGGTTTTCTGCTTTACTTCCGGTCCGGTCAAGCATTGAACCTTCACTTGGCTCCAAACAGTCGATGGGCCAACTCCCAAGTTCGGCATGGTCAGCAAAATGTCGAATCACACTTCTCCGGTCCAAACCCGCCCTTCTCCAGTGCTCCTGGGGACTCTCATGCCACAGCTGGAGGCCTGAAACCGATGCCCGTGACAGTGGTGGAACACATCGGTCACGCCGGTTCAACCAAACTCTTTGTACACCCTCAATGTAATCATGCAGAATTTCCATGACGCAAGAAGGTCCCAAAACTTTGGTCTCTTGACCTGACTGGGCCCGTCATCCGTCCCGCCGCCTTTTTGCCAGGTCTGGCAGCTTTTCACCAGAAGGCTTAGCTCACCGATGCCCAGTTCGCCGGTCAACGTGCTGGGAAACAGCGAGCTCCCGAGCTGCAAAACGCTGGACCAATGGCCCGCACGCAGCCGGGAAGACATGAAGTCGGTCCAGGAATAGCTGAAGACCTCAAATCTCCAAGAACGATGGGAATCCTGCAGTTCTGGAACATCAAGACAGACACATATTCATGATATGTGCCAGGAATTGAACATTGTTGAGCTTGGTGAAGCTGCCCAGATGCCCCATGACTGGACACCAACAAGTTCAGGCTGCAATGCCACTTCTGGTTCCTCAGCTGAGCTGGACACCGCCACCTTCCGGTCATGTCCTACTCCGGGCCGCACCCGGCAGGCCATGAAAGAACGGAGTTTCTTCAACTCACTTACAAGGCTATACGATAGGCTATATGGTGTACTCACGATGGGCTATGACATTACAAGATTACATTAATCAATTTTCGAGAAGCAAAGGACACTTCTGAAAGGGCTGGGCTGGCCCTGGCTTTGAAATGTGCCTCCAATTTCAACTCAATACCGAAATCCGTAAAGCAATAATTGAGTCATATATAGGCTCAAAATTAACCTGGCTCCAGGACACGTACGAGTCACTATAGTGCCAAATGTGCCAATAAAAGTATCTGGTTTCCGTGCTTCCCATGCAACCTCCGCTGAAACGACTCGATGACTCGATGATGCCCACCCTGTCGAAGCGAAGCCCAGGAACTCCTCGCATGCCAGAATGACCCTGCTGCAGCCGTAGTCATCGATGGGCATGCGTTGCTCAAGGGCAGCCACCACGAGCCGAAGCGCGTGCTGCCAGCGTTGTCCCATCCATGCCGCCGACAGTTGCGCATTCAGAAGGAGAAGATCCGCTTCCGAAGAGTGGGCCCCCAAGTGCAGGGACAGTGGCCACTGACGGCCGTTGGTTGACGTGGTCGACAGCGCAGTGGTAAAGGCAACATCCACTTCCAGCTGCTCCGATCTCGCTGCCACAAACCTAGGGAAAAGGAGCACTTGCACTCAGTAGTATTGCGTCAGCGCCCTTTTACGGCTAATGATGCTACTGGGGTATACTGGGTAGGAATCAGTATCTAACGCCTCTACCCCGTGCAGCCCTGTGACATCAAGTCAGCGGCTGAAAAATGGTTGTCACTTCTTGTAGACGAAAGAAAACGTGGTGTTCAGTACACCTACTATCGCCGTTTCCTTTGGTTTATAGTAATATTAATATCATATATGGCTTGACGGCACTTGACGGACCCAGAAAGATCTCTTGTTCCTTGAAATCGGTGCGCACACACCTGCGCATGCTGTGCCGTGTGGGGTGAGGAAAGCAAAGGGCCAAAGCTCGAACACTCGGTCACCACCGAGCCGCAGCTCGACAGCCCAGCTCCAATGCTCCAACGAGCTCACAAGGGCGGTGGGCAGTGTGGTCGGCCAACGACAAAGGTGAAGTCCCATGTGCCAAGGAACCTCGATTAGGTCTCCAAACCCATGGAATAAGTTGGTCCAAAAATGAGGTTCTTCTTGTTGAAACAAGGAAGGTGAGAGTGGTGCCACGGCCTCCACGGGCCTCCATGGATCTCAAAGCTTTGCCAAGGCCTGATTTCCCTTATATAATCGTTTGTAAAGTCTAAATTTGAGCGGCAAACTCAGGAAATGTGTGATGAATGCAATTGCCATTGCAGAGCTATACAGTATAGATCAGTATAAGGATGTATAAGGTAGTTACGTAACATTACAAGAGTTGTTCAGGGTCTATAGCATGCCAGGTGTGCAGAATCTTGTTCATCAGCCATGTCATAGGGCCCCTACCAGTGGAATTCCAAGTGTCACTCACCTGTCCCAGTCACTCCACAGCTGGCCGCCGTCGCCAAGGTGACTTCATCAGGCTGCAAGGTCAGGTCCTAGTAGCTTCTTGTTACTAGTAGTAAGGCCAGGAGCACGTAGGCTACGCGACCTTGCTCCGTTCGAGTCGCGATGCCCTTTGTTACTAGTAGCTTCTTGCTAGTGGTTCGTTGTGATACATTCGGCTTGGCTCGACCGTCCGGTGGCGTCCCGACAGGCGAGACCTCAAACGAGAGACGGAGAGATGACCGATGATTGGTGATCTCGTGGCTCAACCTCAACCCCATGGGCCCCAGCTCATGAGTTCAACGGGTGCCATCACAGCTGCCCAGATTGCGGATGCAACATGATGATATCATGTGAACTAGCTCCAGTTGGTCTGGTAACCATGTATCTGCAAAACACTTCTTCACCAACTGCTTCGCGAATTCTGCATCTGAGTATTTGTGGACCGGGACCGTTGACACGCCTTCGTTCGATTGGCCACGCCGTGCATTCCGGACAACTCCTTTCCTTGCTCCTTGCACCGAATGTTTGCGTCATTTTGCATCCCTACGACTCCGCTCATTTCAGTCCAGTGATGTCCAGTCGTTTTGGGTGAGGCATAGCCAAATCATGCGACTCGGGTGGAAAGCAAAGGGGCTAGCTCCCAGGAAAACCGGACATCAGGCGACAGCGTCCTTGAGCTCGGAGAGGTACTTCTGGCCTAGTCTCAGTTGCATGAAACCCACCCCAGGGACCGAAGCTGAGAGAAAGCTAGTAGAATCGCCCCAGCCCAAAAGAATAAGAACATACAGGTCAAAGGCGGCTTTTTCCGCACGCGTCCCAGGGTGATAGATCAACCATTCCACGAAACATGCTGGACCTGTGTGGAGCATTGTGGAGCCACATGGAGCAAGTGCACTGCAAGCAGTGCTAACCACAAAGTCGGATCAGTCCCGGTGACCCCATTGAAGGACAGCCTCCAATCATCTCCAACCCTTTGGCCACCACTTCTGGCCCCTTCTCTGAAGTCCTTGGCCTAGTCTCAGCATGATATGCCAGGCTAGGTCTATGTTGCTTTAGTATGCTTTAGTGGCGTTTTCCAGGAGTGGACTCCGAAAACTGCATCGAGGCTAGATGGGTGTCATGAGACTCTCATCTGCAAACTGTGAACAATGCCAGATGCACAATTTTACGGGAACTCAGTCAGTTGCAATCCTTTGAGTCAGCCACAAACGTGGGCCTGCCCCAAAAAGCACGTCTTTTGGCCACTGGCTTCCCCTAGCGTTTGTTAAGAACCAACGGTCCCTGGGAGGTTCCCGGCGCCTCGAGGCCATGGGCTGTCAGCCAAAAGGGTGTTAAAGCCAATGAGGTCTTGGTGAATGCGCATGCCTCCGGGGGCCGTCTTTTTAAAGCAGAACCTACAACGAGAACCTACCAATACTACCAAAAGGTTGGCGCAACATCACCGAAATGATAAAGTGATCAACACATGTTGGCACGGACAAAGCCCTAGATCAGCTGGTTGATGGTATAGGTTATCCACCTGAAGTATTTCGCAGATTAGCGCCTGGCAATTGGTACATCATGCTCGAAGCCTTAGCACTCTAAGTGGCCAGTCAAGGAAAAAGAAACAAACATTGATGACGTGGGGCAAATCAAAACAATATAAATAGCAATACCTACAACATCCTACAACCTCGTCTTTTTTGCTTTTCTTTTTGGAGGGGTCGGTAGTTCAAGACCTTTATTTTGGTGTGTGAACCACATAAAAATCCGCAAACAAAATAAACAGCCGCTGAAGAAAAAAACACGCTCGGGTAAAACGACGCAGGTGGTTCACCAATAAACGCCTGTTACTTGTGAAAAAACACCCGTGGAATATCATAAGCAAACAGAACACTAGAGAAACATCGCGGACTAAAATACCGAGCTGTGACTCCAAAAGATTGTTTTCAAGTCGCAAAGATTAAAAACACACACTTGGATTGTTGCTCGCAAGAGCTAGGATCAGTATGAAGTCCCCCTTGGCTTGATGAACGGAAAGAAGCACAAACCGAAAGGTGATGAAGTCGGCGAACTTGAAGATGTTTAACAAAGTTTGGAAAGGCACTAGCCGCTTACTGCAAAACACAGGACTGGACAGCTTGTCAACAGTTGAAATAGGTAAAAGCAGGTACGTGAACCTGGCGTCCCAGGTTCATATCCTCCCCAAACATCAGTAGCTTCGTTGGCCACAGACTGATGAATGGAGCTGTGGCCCCCCTGCCTCTTTTTTGCGCTGAACAACTGCACCCCTGCCTCTTTTTCGCGCTGAAAAACTGCACGCTAGTAGCGATACCAGGAGCCCTTAGTAGCGAAACCAGGGGCCCCTAGTAGCGTCCTCCCCTGCTGGAAGAATGGTGGTGAAACATGGGTATGGAGAGACCTTAGAGACAGGTGGTCACACACACACAAAAGGCCGTGATCGGCGCTCCCTGTGATGGATTGGGCATGGTAGTGCGCGGGAACAAAGGGTGACCGGAACATGCAGCTGGTCTTTTCAAGTCTGGCTGACATAGGGGAAGATCATGCCCTTCTTGGACGTACAGTTTCGTTAGCTGAGCGAGCGCTCACCCCTGCAGGGGGGAAATTGCCCCCTGCTGAATGCCCAACTTGCAAGATAATAGCAATACCAGGAGCCCTTAGCAGCGTCCAAAAGCCTCGTAGTACGGCCAAGAGTCTGCAGTGGTATGGTCCTTGCTTTGGTAGCGAAGCCAGGAGTCCCTATAGTAGCGCCCTGTATGCCTCAAAAGCCTATCGGCGCGCTCTTTTTGGCTTTGCGGATGGGGAAAGAGACAGGTGCAAAGGGTGCAAGGCGGGGGGGGTCGGTGGGGGTTGGTGGTGGGGGTTGTGTCTGCCCGAAGGCGTGACGAAAGCCGTAACCGACGCTCGCTAGACTGAAAGAGCCTCGTCCGAGCTCCCCTGCTGAATCCCAAGCTTGCAAGCTAATAGCAATACTAGGAGCCCGTAGTAGCGTCCTTACTGCTCATATAGCACGGCCAGGAACCTGCAGTGGTAGCGTCCTTTCTTTTTTTGTAGCGAAGACTGGAGCCCAGTAGCGTCCTTCACGTCTCAAAACCTTAGGTACACACACACAAGCACAAAACCCTCTCGGCGCGCTCTTTTTTGGGAAGAGAAAAGTGCAAGGGTTGCAGGGGGGGTTGTGGGGGTTGGTGGTGGTGGTGGTGGTGTCTGCCCGCTCGCTTGACTGAAAAAGCCTCGTCTGAGCTCCCGCTGCTGAATCCCAAGCTTGCAAGCTAATAGCAATACTGGGAGCCCTTAGTAGCGTCCTTACTCCTCATAGTATGGCCAGGAACCTGCAGTGGTATCGTGGTAGCGATGCCCGGAGCCCCTAGTAGCGTCCTTCATGACTCAAAACCTTAGGTACATACACAAGCATAAAACCCTCTCGGCGCGCTCTTTTTTGGCTTCGCGGATGGGGGGAGGAGAAAGGTGCAATGGGTGCAAGGGGGGGTTCGTGGTGGTGGTGGTGGTGGTGTGTGCCCGAGGACGTGACAAAAGCCGTAACTGGCGCTCGCTTGATTGAAAAAGCCTCGTCAGAGCCCCCCTTCCGAATCCCAAGATTGCAAGCTAATAGCAATACCAGGAGCCCTTAGTAGCGTCCTTACTCCTCGTAGTGCGGCCAGCAACTTGCAGTGGTATTGTCCTGCTTTTGGTAGCGAGGCCAGGAGCCCCTAGTAGCGTCCTTCATGATTCAAAACCTTAGGCACAAAACTCTGTCGGCGCGCTCTTTTTTGGCTTCGCGGATGGGGGAAGGGAAATTTAGAGGCGCAAGGGGGGGGGGGCCTTTTGGGGGTTGGTGGTGGTGGTGTCTGCCCGAAGGCGTGACAAAAGCCGTAGCCGGCGCTCGCTTGACTGAAAATGCCTCGTCCGAGGTCCCCTGCTGAATCGCAAGCTTCCAAGCTAATATCAATACTGGGAGCCCTGAGTAGCGTCCTGACTCCTCATAGTACGGCCAGGAACCTGCAGTGGTATCGTCCTTGCTGTTGGTAGCGAAGCCCGGAGCCCCTAGTAGCGTCCTTCATGACTAAAGAACCTTAGGTACATAGACAAGCACAAAACCTGCTCGGCGCGCTCTTTTTGACTTCGCGGGGGGAGGATAAAGGTGCAAGGGTTGCAAGGGGGGGGGTTGTGGGGGTTGGTGGTGGTGGTGTCTGCCCGAAGGCGTGACAATAGCCGTAACCGGCGCTCGCTTGACTGAAAAAGCCTCGTCAGAGCTCCCTTGCTGAATCCTATGCTTGCCGGCTAATATCAATACCAGCAACCCTTAGTAGCGTCCTTACTCCTCATAGTACGGCCAGGAACCTGCAGTGCTATCACCCTTGCTTTTGGTAGCGAAGCCCGAGTAGCGTCCTTCATGATTCAAAACCTGAGGCGCATACATAAGCACACTTAGATGGTTGCTCGCAAGAGCTAGGATAAGTATGAAGTCCCAGTATACACGCATTAGACCTTGACTGAAGAAAGCGCAACAGGAAAGGTGATGGGTCCGCAGATTTGAAGGTGTTTTAACAATGTTTTGCAACTCCTGATAGGCTAGGTGACAGCTTAAAACATTCCAACGTGGTCAATGAACATGTGCGACTGAGACATGCATGTGCCCTGCCTTGATTACTTAGCTGAATGAAAGTGATATGTACATGTGTGAGATTCCAAACTGGAGTTGATCTCAGTAAGCCCTGCGGCATAGAATCAGTGGTATCGTGCAGTACCGTGGATCAAAGGGAATCAAGAGAAGTTCAGGACTGCAAAACGAAGCATTCAGAGTGGGTCCGGGTCTGTGCACATGCGGCGCCCCTTGACGGGGATCACACCAGAGCCCTCAGTGGGACCCTGTGGCGAAAACACACTTGGATTGTTGCTCGCAAGAGCTAGGATCAGTATGAAGTCCCCCTTGACTTGATGAACGGAAAGAAGCACAAACTGAAAGGTGATGAAGTCGGCGAACTTGAAGATGTTTAACAAAGTTTGGAAATGCACTAGCCGCTTACTGCAAAACACAGGATTGGACAGCTTGTCAACAGTTGAAATAGTAAAAGCAGGTACGTGAACCTGGCGTCCCAGGTTCATATCCTCTCCAAACATCAGTAGCTTCGCTGGCCACAGACTGATGAATGGAGCTGTGGCCCCCTGCCTCGTTTTTGCGCTGAACAACTGCACCCCTGCCTCTTTTTTCGCGCTGAAAAACTGGATAGCAGGAGCCCTTAGTAGCGAAACCAGGGGCCCCTAGTAGCGTCCTCCCCTGCTGGAAGAATGGTGGTGAAACATGGGTATGGAGAGACCTGAGAGACAGGTGGTCACACACACACGCTGAGAAAGTTCCAGGCATTGTTTATATTTACTAAGACCGGAATATAGATGAAGAAACCACATAGCTTAAAGTTGCTTCACTTCTACAGTAATACGTTCGTGATCTTTCAACATTCTTCTATGTCTATGCCCGACTTTTCATCCAGGAGGCTCTTCTCCACTCGGCCTTTCCACAGCGCAATGCCATGTTCGCCTGGCCACGTCCGTATGTCACGTGCAACGGTCGACCAAATCTGAAGGGATGCCTGGGCCTTCAGTGAGCCACTGGGCAGCTGTAAATCCGCACCAGGTTCAGCCGGTCCAGCGCCTCCAGTGTGGACCGTGGCGAGTTCAGCGCCAAGCGCCAGCGGGCACCACGGCAGGCACGGAGCGCCAAGCTGGAAGCGGCAGAGGGGGCGAAGGGCAAACCTGGTCTAAAGCGAAAGCGTCGAGCAGAACTAGTGGTTGATGTAGTGACAAGAGGAAGATTCTTGTTTGGGAGGGGCTGGGGGTGGTAGAGGAATCCGGGGGGTAGTGGTGGGGGTAGCAGTAGCGTTGGTAGTGGCAGTGGCAGCAGTAGGAGCAGCTGGAGTAGCAACAAATAGCAACAGCAGTATCAACCACAGTCGAAGTAAGTAGTGGTTGCTGTTCCATTCTTGAGGTCGGGGTGATGGGGAGGAGGGGTGATGCTGATGCTTCTTGACAAAGGAGGGCGGTGCTGACTTGTTGTCACATTCAATTGTCCATTGTGTTCTTCTGCTGGGGTCTGTCCAAAGGGTGCCAAAGCCAAAGTAAAAATAGCACAAACCCAGGAAGCTTGTGTGCAAAATGCTGGCAGTTGAAAACACTGGCATGTTTCGAGTCAAATTAATTAGTGCTGGATACGAAGTACAAGCTATGTAGAATCGATTGCGTGCACACCATGTTGAATCTCCTTGGGGCCTGCAGTTGGTTCCAGCTTGAAGCCCCTCTGCCAGGCAAAGGCTTTTGATGGGACCAGCTTTGTGCCGGATTGGACGACTAATCCATGCCAACATCATCCAACATCCATGTTCGAATGCAAACAGGCTGAAATCTCTCACAACTCCTTGGCAAATAATAAGCATGCGGTGCCCTCCAACTACACCAGTAAAAACATTAAAAACTAAAGGACAATGAACATACAAAAATGGAACATCAGAATGCAAAAACCAGGTCAGCACCACCCTCCTTTGTCAAGAATCATCAGCATCACCCC